AATTACAAATTTGCCTCAGAGGGCTTTACAGTCTGTACACATACAACATCCTCTGCCCCGAAACCCACTATCGGCACAGGAAAAACTCCCCAAAAAATGAAAAAACCCTTACAAGAGGGAAAATTGAACTGATAAAATAATGAAGTAGGAAAAATGCAAATAGGCTCCTGTAAATCCATAAACCATTAATTTAATGCAACATATTAATTCCTTTTAATCTAGCTGTCCAAAGGTTCAATGGGTTCTCAAACGCAACTCAGGGAGAACAATATGGATGCACAGGGGAACCCCGGCAGAGACCTTTTCCTGTGGGCTGTAGTCCAGAGCAACAAAGAGCTGGCTGAAATTGCCTGGGAGCAGGTGATTAAATCTCTCACCGTTAAACAGAAAATACCCATTTGCATGTACATGTATGTTTGTGTGTGTGTTTGGAAGTATGCATGCTGTTGCATCTTTCTGTATCTGCCCGTGCACAGTGCAAAGACTGCATGTCCGCCGCTCTGGCCGCCAGTAAGATCCTGAAGACGATGGCCGAGGAGGAAAGTGATGCGGACGAGGCGGAGGACATGCGGGAGCTCGCCAGTCACTTTGAGGATCACGCCATTGGTAGAGTACCTCAGAAACCACTTTACTGACGTGAGACGTCACAAGTTCAGCACGGGCCTCGTTGTGTGCGTTTCACAGGTGTGTTCAGCGAGTGCCACGACAACGATGAAGAGCGGGCCCGTAAGCTGTTGGTTCGCGTGTCTCCGTCTTGGGGGAGGACCACGTGCCTGAGGTTGGCCCTGGAGGCTGACGATAAAACCTTTGTAGCTCAGTCGGGCGTTCAGGTTGGGAAAACGTCCCTATTATAAAACACTCGTATGCTTTGCCATCTATCTGCACCGTGACCCAGAACAGTCAATGTTAAATCCAGATGTTATTAGTGTACCAAAAAACAAAACATTGATTGCTGATTAAAGGTCTGTCTTGAAGGCTCTTCTGACGCAGATCTGGTGCGGTGGGCTTTCAGTGGACAACCCTGTGTGGAGAGTGCTGATCTGCATGGTCTTCTTTCCACTCATCTACACCGGCTTTCTGGCGTTCAGGTGAGTCAATCTGTTACATGTGTGAAACTATGAGAGCAGACCTCTTGTTGGAGTCGGCCCGGCCGGTGTTTTAAATGGTCACACAGCAGCTAACACATATAAAGCAACACAATGTTGAGACATTAACTCAAGATAATAATACCACTATTAATATTCAAGGCAAAAAAATCAGGGTTTAAGAATATTTGGATGCAGATATTGCGGTGTTTTTGCCTTTTTTAATAAAAATCATATTGATGTCATAAAAGAGGACATGTGGTGGAAATCCACCACCTTCATAATTCTGAATGAAATGCTACTATGTGCATACTGAACATGAATAAAACAGTAGTGCCATTGTTATATAGTAGTGTTTATTTGTCCTAAAAACTGCTCCCATGAATTTGCATTTGCATTTATTTGACTTCACCTGGTGGCAGAAAGAGATATTTCATTGTTTCCTTTGCCCGCCAAGTTTTATTAACATATTTGTGCTACTGACTAATGGTTTGTTACTGCTTTATAATTCTCCCTAGACGTGATGATGACATTCACAGAGAAGACGAAAAGAAGGAGATCAAGTCAGTGGAGACGAAAACAGGAAGAACGTCTCAAACAAATTCTTGTGACCAGTAAGTCGCTTTTCAATGAACTAGCAAATTAAGCTCTGCTCGAGAAGCTTGTGTATCGATTTCCTGACAACAAGGGTCTGCAATGTAACCTTGTTGTCTTGTAGAGTTTGTACACATCTTCATATTTGACCTTTTTCTCCTTGTGAAAGTAGAGATGTTGAAGGTCAATTGGGGTAAAGCTTGTGCTAGATGTCTCTGACCCTCCAGTGGCCGTTCTCTCCACAGTGACTCCCCCGACCCGGAGCGCCAGAAGCCTCTGAGCTGCCGGAGCCGGCTGGTCCATCTGTACAGCTCTCCGCAGGTCAAGTTTTACTGGAATGCCGTGTCTCACTTTGCCTTCCTCTTCCTGTATGCTGTGGTGGTGATGATTGACTTCCAGGCTACGCCCTCTGCTGGGGAGATGCTGCTTTACGTCTGGCTGCTCTCACTGGTGTGCGAGGAGGTCAGGCAGGTGAGCGAGACACAAGCAGGATGCTGCCTTCAGAGGGTTCCCCATTCTAAGAAATATTCGTACCACCACTTTGCTTAACTGACAAATGCAATGTGCGTTTTCTGCCTCAGGTGTTATATGATCCTGATGGCTTTGGGTTTCATAAGAAAGCCAAGATGTACATCAATGACCTGTGGAATATTTTAGATGTTCTGTCCATCATTCTCTTTGCTATTGGCCTCACATTTAGGTAGGTTTCATTCCTCCCTTACAATCAATTGAGGCAATAGAAGTGCACCACTCTCCTCTAAATCGCAAAGGTTTTCTACTTCAGGCTGACAACTGAGCTGTTTTACGTGGGTAAAATCCTCCTCTGCATCGACTTTGTGGTATTCTGCCTCCGGTTCATGGCCATCTTCACTATCAGCAGTACCCTGGGACCCAAAATCATCACAGTCAGGAGGATGGTGAGAGGCTTACGTGCAAAGGTTACGAATGCTGACCTGATGTCATGTGGGAGCAACTACCCACTATGCTTTGCAAACACCATTTATCTGATACAAAGGGAGGTTTCTGCCTCACTGGCCCTCCAGCTGCTGTCTGCAGATGTTTTTAATGCTAAATAAAAGGTGTTTTTGAGCCAAGGGTTGCAGCTGGTCTGTTTTCAAATAGTCAAAAGTCATTATGTTCGTGCACAGAGTGCATGCAGAGCAACAGGGTAACTTCTTTGAATAGTGAAACTTTCACTGTTAACTGAATGTAGATCCGTAAAAGTCCACTAGAAGAAAAGGAATCCTCACATGTCAGTGATGTGTGTTGGTCCTTCCAGGTGAGGGATATGTTCTTCTTCATGTTCCTGCTGAGTATCTGGGTGGTGGCGTACGGAGTGGCCAAACAGGGCATCCTCATCCACAACGACAACCGGCTGGACTGGATTGTCCACGGGGCAATATATGAGCCGTATCGCATCATATTTGGGGATTTTCCAAAAAATATTGACTGTGAGTTAATTGAGATAATTACTCACAATATCAAAGCTCGGCCTGATTGTTTGACTAAAATATTACTGTGAAGAAAAACAAACTCTTTGCCCTCTGCAGATGCTGCATTCGATTTGGACTCCTGCAGCATGAATGGCACCGATCCTCTGAAGCCAAAGTGTCCTGTGCTGAATGAAAACCTAACGCCAGCCTTCCCCGAGTGGCTCACCATCATCATGCTGTGTGTCTACTTGCTCTTTGCCAACATACTGCTGCTCAACTTGCTCATAGCCATCTTCAAGTGAGTTCTCTTCAACATCTTAAGTTTTTGATTTTTTTTCTGCACTATCTTTGATGCTAACCCCTTGTAATATCTAAGACCACTTTGTAGCCGTGTGTCCTCGTCGTCCTCTTCATCTCTTTGTGTTCCTGCACAGCTTTACGTTCCAGACCGTTCAGGACAACACAGACAGAATTTGGAAGTTTCAAAGATACGAGCTGATCCAGGAGTACCACAGCCGCCCAGCCGCCCCTCCTCCTTTCATCATCTTCAGCCATTTTTACCTCCTCGTTCGCAACATGTTTCCGGTCAAGGCCTCCATCATAAGCGAGGAGTTTAGTAAGTATCGACCTATTTATAAGAAGACTGATCAGATTTGGTAAAACAATCATTGAATTGGTCTCTGATCAGAACACAAAGGTGTATTGTTGGCTTTTGAATAATAAGAGATTGATTAATCCCATGACCTTTGACCCCTGCACACTAAAGGGCGTGACAGACTTTACATTCACACATTGACAGTACTAGAAAAGGTACACAAAAAGCATTTGACGCTGTATTTTTTTAGACCGCGTGTTACCTCCTAGCGAGGAACAGCAGCTGTTGTCCTGGGAGGCCCTGATGAAGGACAGATACCTGCTGTCCACGAAGCGGAAAAAGAACCAGAGCATGGAGCGACGCATCCTGGACACATTTCAAAAGTAATCCCACAGAAATGTCCTCTAGTGTAACTGCATGCCAGTCGTCCACAGCCTGTCCACGTGAGGCAACACGCCACGCCTTAATATATTTTAGTTTGTAAAGTTACAAAACCTATTAATACTTTGCCTAAACATTAAGACTATATAAGGTCTAACAAAATATCAGACTCCCACACTGTTCTTGTCTGTTTCCTGAGGGTTACCACCATAGCCGATCGGCTGGAGACAAGTTCTGCTGCCGTGGTGCAAAGACTGGCTGGACTAGAGGAGCAGGTTGTGACTCCATATGTGCTCATCACTGATGTCGCACCTGTGTTTGTGACCGCTGTGGAGTGGGAGATGTCACGATGCACAAAAGAGATGAAACACTTTATAACCTATTTAAATGTCTTGGATGTTGGTGGAAAATCGATCATCTTCACTTCGATCATCTCTAAGATGTCACGTTGTTGTCATGTTGTTTGACCCCCTTTGATTTACTCTCACCAGTCAGCCAAAGCCCTGCAGTGGATTATGGACAGTTTGAAAAGTCAGGGTTTTGCAGCAAAAGAAGCACAACCGCCAAGTCAGCACCAAACTTCCTCACTCAATATGAATGTTAACATATCGCAGGTCGCATCTCCTCTTGTTCTCACTCTCACTTTCATCCTTGCCTGCAGCTTGGAGTGCAGCAGACGAGTCCACTGAGACAGAGACTGAGAAAGAGGATGGACACCATGTGAAAGCCCGTCAGCTCCACTATCCTAACAGCAAACTCACACGCTTTCCTGTGCCTGAGGAGAAGGTCCCATGGGAGGTATTTAACTTCCACCACAAAACCACCACTAGCTGCTGGTTACCCACATCACAACCGCATTGCAAAACATTATTTATTGGATTCAGATTGTTTCAAGTGCTTTGTGTTCTTCAGGTTAGCTTCAGCTCATACAGCCCGGCTTATTATTCCTCTGAAGACAGTGGAGACCACGTGGATGAGTATGTTGTTACCAATTACCCTGTACATGATATTGTGTTTGTATTAAGGTTCACGTATGCATATACTGTATCTGCAGTCTTTTTGTTAAGATAACACAAGAGTTTCCCGCTTACGTCTTTGGTGTCATTTATCATTTCTCAACAGATCAGAGTCAGAAGCCTTAGATAATTACAGGTATGGCATTAGACACTCAATGCATCAAACAGCCTATAAGTCACTTCACAAGCCGGCCTTGATGTCCGATGTGTGTCTGATCTGTCATTAGAAACCCGAGAGGAAGGACTGGCATCAGGGGACGAGGGACACTAAGCCGCCTCGGTCCAAATCGAAGTACAGAGCTTGTGCTTACACGGTAGGTCCCCCGACGTCTTTACAGCACTTTTAAAAAAAGTTGCTCTCCACCACTTGATTGCAAGGCCTGATCAATGACTTTGACATTTTCTTTTTAGCATTCAAGAAGGCCACAGATCGGTTTTGGAGTACTTGGAGGTTTCGGATGAGTGCAAGGGAACCTTCACTTTACCTGGAGTGTGTCCCGCCGTTTGTTCTCCCCAGCTGTTGTTGTTTTTAACTTTTGTAACTGTTTTAAGTAACGTACCTTTCTGGTGTCGCTTTAAAATCTGCAGGGGGCGCTCCAGTCAGCTGACTACTTGCCAGTAACTCTTGATAGCACCATTAGGAAAACGATGAATGAAAAAATAAATGCTAAAGTTTCAGAGGGAACCAAGGTATGTTTGTTGAACACTGGCTTTTTAAAGAGTAGCACGGCTTGAATGTTGCTGGAGGAGATATTTGGTTTACAGATGGACAAATGTATAAAAATATAAGTTAAGTACAGAAGTGAATAAAAAGTAGTTTGAAACCACATATAATTTGCAGACTGAGCCAAACCACTTCAGTAAGTAAAACCAGAAGGAAATGTATACAAGCGGGAATTCGGGTCAATGAACAATATTTAGGTCTTTAGACTAGTTTCACTCAACATAGATTGAAGATCTGACCTTCAGAGGGAGAAATAAATGAAAATCCATGCAGTAAAAGGAGCCCTTTATCTCATGATCTGGGAGGATTTGATTGGGATTTAAAAAGAGCCCTTATGTATATGGAAACCAACACACCTGGCACATATTGGAGTAACCTACTCTGTGATACTTGAAATATAAATGTATCATTTAGAAGTGGAGGGGGCGGCATGGTGGCGTGGTGGTTAGCACTGTCACCTCACAGCAAGAAGGTCTTGGGTTTGACTCCGCCCAGAGCCCTTTCTGTGTTGAGTCTGCATGTTCTCCACGTGTCTGCGTGGGTTCTACCGGGTTCTCCGGCTTCCTCCCACAATCCAAAGACATGCTCTGGGGATCAGGTTAATTGGGGACTCTAAATGACCCTGATGTCTCTGTGTAGCCCTGCGATTGGTTGGCGACCAGTCCAGGATGTACCCCGTCTATCACCCGAAGTTGGCTGACAGACTCCAGCTCCCCCGCGACCCTGTGTGCAGGATAGCGGTTTGACGATGAATTTAGAAGTGGTCAATTCAACATGCTGGCATTCATTTATATTTTAAAGATCTAATCAAAATAGAACCAAATACATAACAATTTCACTATTACTATTTTTTTAATGTTATGTCATTTACTGGGCCCCCCTAGCTAAAACTAATGCAGTCTTAATATAGCAGCATTGCAATAAATTGTTCCATTGTCTTGTAAAGAACACATGGTTGGCTGTTGTCAGGCATTGAGCCTGTGTATTTGCATACTGTCTTAAGAATTAAAAAAATTTGATGATTTATAATTAGCAACCAGTCTTTTCTTGACTCTGAGGAAGTCGTTGATTCTGACTCTCGGCTGCTGTGTTTCAGGTGTGTGAGGGTTACGTGGACGACTGCAGGAACACGGACAACGCCTGGGTGGAAATCACCGTGCTAAACATTCACCTGGAGAGCACGAGCCAGTTTGCCGCTGACATCAACAGCACGGTGAGGACATCATGATCGTGCCCGGGTTATGAATTGTATTCCTGAACTTTAACTTGATCCATCGGCCAGAACTCGGATCAAGTTCTGGCCGATTGTTTGTTCCCTTTGCATTTTAGGTGACATCCCCTTCAGAGGATATAGAATAACTTTTTGGTTTTCATGATTATCTCTGTCTCAGGTGGAGAGCAGCAATGGTGCTCTTCAGTGGCAGGAGGTGAGCGTTAAAACCAGACTGCACTCCCATCAAAGAGAGTTCTTGCGGCTGGTTGCGAAGCTGCACAACAGGAGGTTCTGATGTTCTTCACTGCTGTAGCTTTAAATGTGCGTCTCCATCCGCGGGGGGGTTCTCTCCCTGTTCATGTGGCCTTTGTATTAATTCAGTTACACTGAAAGCAGTTGAATCAAAACACTTCAAAGCCATAATGTTATGCTGCCGGGATTTGTTATTTTTATTTGCATGAATGTGTTTAGGACAGCAATCAAAATGTTAAGCTGACATTCTGTGCTTTACACTATGTGTGTAAGTATGACGTTATTACATACACAAAGAATATATACCTACTTTTTGGGGTAGTTGTAATTCAAAGGAGCACTCCCATTTCCCTCTACCTCATACCTCATACCTCATACTACATTTTGGTACTTTTCCCTTTCGCATATGGATGAAAAGTACAGTCATGCGTTACTTTTATTTACTTTTAAAACATACATTTATTTACTTTTAAATCCTCATCTTACTGTTTATACAATTTTGCATTATTCCAGATCAAAATGCATCTACCAAGTACTAGCTCAACCTTCAAAAACAAAGCAGCAAACAGCAGTAATAGCGTAATAATAACATGCTGCAGTGTAAAGAAGTACCTGGTCCACTTATAAAATATGTGTTCAATTAACTCCATGTGTGACTATTACATAATCATCACTCCTGCCCTAAATATATATATATACATTTTTTTTAAGATTCTGAAATTGAATTGTGCCCTTGCATGGTGTTTAATAGAAAGCATGGGTTGTCTCACATTGTTCTGCAGGGATATTAAAGTCAAACGGAAAACGTTGGGATTCTTTAAAGCAAGGTTACTTCTGCATGCGAGAGAATGCTTTTTATTTTGACCTTGTAAACTGATTTTAAACCTCCTGCCGGCGCCTTAATAAAGTCTGTGTGTTCAACTCTCCAAGCAGTCCTGCTAACATTTACTCTGACTCATGTGATCTGTTCCAACATTCCTGCCTTTATTGTTATTATTTGTCCTGTAATACCTCGATGGTCCAGTGCCAATGAGAAAATACAGGTGCTATATTTAACTACAGGATCGGAGAGCAGAATAAACGAGGAGCTTTCACTCTGTTTTTATTTCATAATACAGCAAACAGTTCACCTTTTATTCAAGACAAAGATTTAAAATTAAAAAGGTATTTATCAATGATGCATGGATATGAACACAGCAATAACATATTCTACATATTTACTAATATCACATATCCAAAGAATACAAAGCAAACAATGTATGGACAAAGTATTTGCCTATATTGCATTATTTTGTTAATAATGAGGAAATGACAAGTTAAGGGAAAGGATCTGCATTTTTTAGCAGAAAATAGTGATGCACAACTGCTGCAGTTTTTATTATTGTTGCTGTAGGAAACTTTTCTTTGTGTTATTCTTTGGACACAACTCATAACCTTTAAAATCGTATCGTGAATTTGGTCCGCTGTAAACAGAACGCACACATAATACACACATAATTGGAATAACAATTGTGCTTTTATGTAATCATTTTAACCTCTGTGACTCGAAGTCAAAAGTAAAAAATACAATATTTTCTTCTGAAATGTATACATTTCACTATAGCGAAGAAGACGTGTGAAGCAGAAGTAGCAGAAAATGCATATAAAAGTCAGGGTACCTTGAATCAACCTCAATTATCGAAACTTCCGGGTGGGATGGAAGAATAAAAACAACGTTTTTTGGTGATATGACTCCCTTATTTTGTACACGTTCTTCTTAAAAACTAAAAAACTAAATAAACGGACTTCTATTTCTCTAATACACGATCTTCGACTAGCGTGAGAGGTTTACAGGTGCACCGGCCACAGAGTACCCGGAAGTGACGTAGAAGTTTCACACGAGCACGCTATTGGATCGAACGATACTCACATGGAGAGAGAGAGAGAGAGAGAGAGAGCGAGAGAGAGAGAGACATGGGGAGACAGCGGGTGGACATCTCTGAGAGATCCAACGGAGCTTAACGGTAATACGCTGTATTTTGTATTAATTGTATCAAGTGACGTGACGTTGTCACGGCGACATCAGACGGGTTGGTTTGGTCACGTGGTGATCGTGTTTGGCCGGTGTAGCTACGGTAAAAATAACGCGAACAACATCGAGAGAGTTAAAAAAAATGCGACTCTTCACTCGACTTCTGATCGCTTTCCGTCACCAACTCGACACCTGTGACGTCAACTAAAGAAAGAAGCCGCAAACAGTTTGACTGATAGACATTTTCTGCTTTAAGCATCAAATGTTTCGAGGTGTTTTTTATGCTTCAGATTACGCAACGGAGTGGAACATCTCTCTGAATATTAACTCTTTTCCTAGTGAGTTTTAACCGGGAGAAGCAGGAAATTACAGGCTGCTGTTTGCTTGTGCAGGAGTGGAGGCTAAATTATAGTGAGTGGTCAAGAAGTGTTTGTCTTCTTAGTGAAGTAGTGGCCAAACCGAAGGTAATAACAATAAAAAAAGATCCTGGATGGGACAGTTTGAATATTACACAGACCTCTCAGTATAACGCAAAGCAGAAATTAGTCTTCATGAATTCCTGAAACCGATCCAAGTCATAAGCAAGTAGTTATGAACCCTTCAACAGATAAAACGCTATTACAGAAACAGTGATCCCGTTATAGTCGAATGATTGCCCTTTAAACTCAAACTATGTGTTTATGAGGCGTTTGGACTCTTTTTATACAGGGAGAGCATTGACATTCAATCTCATGATAGAACCGGGTTCCCTTTGTTACCATAAACACGGGCATTGGCGTTGACCTTCGCTCAGTTCACACCATCCAAGTCCCAACAAAACTAGGAGGAATACTAACAAACAAATTGTGTATTCACCTGCAACTGAAAATAGTGACCTGCAAAACGCACTTTGGTTGCCTATTTTAGAAAAAGTGAAAAAATGACACTGTTTTAAAAAATGAATGAGCCTTTTTGTTGAGTTTCTGTTGTCTTTGTGTCCATGTTGACTTAAAATATGAAATCATTTTTGACCCGAGGCGAGGATTGAATGATTTGAATGACGAGTTTTTTTTTTCTTCTTCTGGATTTGTTGAGAATGACAAAAATATTGAATTATCATATATATATATATATATATATATATATATATATATATAAAATAATTAAATATTTTTTGGGTACATTTATTTATTTTTCTGTACAGTCAACGCATGTCGATACTTGCATCCTTTTTTTGTTCTAATTTTTCACATTTTATTTATTTCTCGTTTATTTGTAGTATAAGTATTATATTAAAGTATGCAGAGAACAAAGTGGAACCCGGAGGCAAATTCCGTGTATGCTTAAGAATACGTGGAAGCCAATGAACCCGTTTCCTTTTAGTGGTTTAACCCTCAAACCCCCTCATGTCGAGGAAGCGGGTCACCCCGACGACACAACGTTTGTCCTGGTGTCAAAAGTTCCCGCACATCTGGGCTGCCGGGGGCCACACTGAGCCGAGCATCCGAAGCAGAGGAGGAGGAGGAGGTGGTCCTGATGCAGGCGTGGAGATGGGAAGCTGTCTTTATGTAATGGACATGTGAAGCGGCGGCGGCAGCAGCAGCAGCGTGGCCTTGCAGCTGGTCTGAGCTCTTTAATCCCGCCCCCAGAGGCTCGGCTCCTGTTTGTTTCGGGTCGCACTCTCACAGCAGCGACTCCGGTCGGTGCCGCGTCCCATCAGGCTTAAGGAGTAAGCCCACCGCTGTGTTTCGTGAGATGAAGCCATAACTAAGAAGTGAGGTTCTTACGCGTCATCACAGCTGTGCTGCCCCTGATGAGGATCAATTGTTACAGTACAACCGGGATGGCTGTAACGTGAGGAAAGTACTGTTGTATTTGAAAGGTTTCTGAGGGAGTTTCCTCTTGTCTGCATTTGCTACTCTGTCTGCAATTATGACACAATCGCCTGGCTGCCATTTTTCTGACCATTTTGCACAATCGTTGGATCCCACAGCCATCGTAACAGCAAAAAACAACTAGTGGTCAAATTGCCAACGTTGGCCGACGCAAGAGATTTAGTTAAGATAAACTATTTAAAGATTGATTGACAGTCCAGCAGCCAACAAGAAGGAAGTGCAGACTCTCGTTTGTCGTGTTAACTCAATTTATTGATGTCTTTGTACATTGAAACAGAGTCTTTCTTTGTATTGATTTTAGAAAATTCAACCTTCAACCCATAATGTCTGTTGTGGGCTCAGTGTTGCTCAATGTTTTCCTTCAAATGCAATTTTCAAGTCACCATTAGACGGTGCGACCCACAGCGTGGCACACAGGGCACCACGTGCACTTTAATTCACCGTAACAAGCTCTGGAGCCATTAATTGCTGCTTTTTTTTTTATTGCTTTCACATGGATTGTGGAAGATGGCTATAAGGCATTTTTCACACATTTGTTCTATTGACAAAAGCATTAGGCAGCATTCCTCCACCCCACTGAACAAATGAAATAACAAATGAATTATACAACAAAAGTGTGATAAAAGAAAAGGGGGTTTACAGTGAACGCTTTAAAAATAGACGTGACATGGGCCCGTGCGCTGCGCAGCCTGTAGCACAGCCGTTAAAAATTCAAAGAACAAATGTTGAGTCGATAACATGAATGTCCTGCCCCCCCCCCCTTCTTCTCCCTCCTCCCATGCTGCCTCTGGCCTCCTCCTCCCCGCCTCCTCCTTCTGAGTGACATTTCTGTAACGCCGTCGTCCGAGCGCCGCTCCTTGAAGCTCTCCACGGCCCGCAGCTTGTCCCACCGGGCCTCACGTCTGCATCGGACCACCTAACGCCCATAAACCCAGCTTCAGCTTTCTTTAAGAAAGTATACAGGCATCTACTCCATCTCCCGGTGACCCCCCCCCCCATCCGTTTTGTCGGCTCCTTCTGGAAACAAACAAACAACAGTGCAATGTGTCATTGTATTTGGGATGGGGCATTAAAATATTTCCACTGTGAGGTTTCATTGGCTAAGCGCTGTTTCACCCTTAGTGGGCCTTGGCTTTGCAGCTAATATTATGCAAGCTTCACTTCCCGGAGGAGCGGTGGAGGAATTTAGGTGGTGGTTTCTTGTCTCGTGGCTACAGGCTGGTTATGAGGAAAGAATTATGCATTATTTGTATCATGGAAAAACACCAATATTATGTGGAAAAGTTTGATTAAAATGCAGCTTACATCAATGATTAATTTCTATACAAACATCTACATTGTTTTGGTCGTGTGCGTGCGTGTGCTTTTAGTTTGTGTGCACGTACTGTATTCGCGCAGCTGCACGTGGCTTTAAATGTACTTCTCTCTTGTGATGAGTCTGCTAGCCGAGCTTCTATAATTACCACAGCCTGCAGCGCCTCATGGGGAGCGAATTAACACACACGAGTGGAGCAGCGCACAAGTCACACAGGCCCAGTGTGCGTACGCGTGTGGTGTCTGGTTGTGTGGTTGGCAGTATCTCCGACCGCTGTCTGCACAGTAATATGTGAATAAAAGGGATTGGCCGTTACTTGCAGATCATTTCCCCACGAGCACCGTGCGGTGGGGGGGGGGGAGCATTAATCTCGCGAGCATTATCTATTTCTATCATCCATGTTGGCCAAACGGGTTCGTCCCCCCTGCATGAAGTCAACACATTAAGGGCCAAAGGTCATTTTGACGGTCAAAGGTCAAGGTCATTATAACCTGAAATCCGTCCTATTCTCGTCAATGTGTTTGCTCGTATGCTAGCTGGGACAGCTTTTGGACGTGTGTGTAAACATGATGCTCGGAGGTCTAATAGTCAAAATAAGAATCTGACTTATTTCAAGTTCTCTAAATGAAGGAGAGAGTTTATTGGAGTCATTTCTCAACTAAAGGAAATACATCAAAGTTCACTATATATGTTATGAAAAAGCAAAGTATGATTCTTATCTTGACTTATGATCTAATACGAAGTAAACCTACTTAAAGTTTGACAGTAAAACAGGCAGTGAAGTTCTGCGTGTTTCTACGGGTGCATTTCGCTGTGCCTGAACAGGTAATGATTATCTTAATGATCCGATCACTGACCTGCTGCCTGGAAGGGAACAGAGATTGAAAGGTGAACCTCTGTTTGATTGAACTGTTGCCATGCCGACAGCAGACACTGAGCCAATCATATTGGCCCGCAGAGACCTTTACTGAAAGTTTAATTGCACACACTATTTCCAAGTTTAACACTTGCTGGTTCAGTACTTTTTCAGAACCTTTCGATAGGCCTGCTCCACTATAACAAGATATTTAGATATTGAAGTGGAATGTGAAACTAAGCAAACAAATTCTCTATTCAATAAATAATCTTTTTGCATAAAGCAACACAACCAAATGGACTCTTGAACAAAATGTGCAATGTGTGCGCAATGCACACAAGAACAACCTTTCTGTGTTTGTGGTGACATTGTTGTGTCAACACAACAGTTCAACACAGACTCCAGAGATCAGCAACAGCGGCATCATGATATTCTATCATGAGCCAGTATACTAACTATTGGGACAGTCTTCCCTTAAAAAGCACTCTGATCCGCTAACTTCCATCAAGTGAAGCAGAAGCAGTTATTCAGGAACTTTACAGCGATTCTATTGTTTTAGATTTAAAGGTTTTCTGATCAAACAAGCAAACGACTTTAAGCAAATTGTTAAGTACCCAAACTGATAAATGATTTCTTAAAAATGCTTTTAAAATAATTTCATGGCAGGCACATACCTGCAAGCGTTACCGTAAGACTGAGAAGACCTCCATGGAAGACTTGATTACATATTTGTTATGGAGTGTGTGTGCGCGTGTGAGTGTGAGAGTGGCACATATTGTCTACACCTGGCTGCGCAGCGTGCGATGGCAGATTGTAAAGGTAAACCTCCTGTAAGCTGCGATGCTGCGGTTTCTCTTATTAATGCGGAGGACACAGGAGCTGTCAGTGCTGTTGTTCCGCTGCCGGTGAAATAGTAATGAGTGTGTGTGACCGTGTGGTTTACAGCCCCGTCGGGCTCGGAGGTGAGCCGCGGGCACGCGGGGCACCGACCGGCCGATCGTCCGATCGTCCGTGCACAAAGGCCAAACACGCGCGCTGGGAAGAAATCACATACATCACAATATTTCAGACCGGATGCCTCGATATGGAGATTAGGAGGATATTGGTGCTTTGGCCAAATCGATAGCACATTGGGAGTTTTGATAAATAATTCACAGTAATGTGAATTCAATGACTAAATGGAAGAAGGCAAATAAATGACAGTCCAGTAAGTTTGCCAATTACATCATTTTACTGTAATGCAGCCTTTAGAAGCAGGAGAAGACAACATGTCTTATTGGGATACACATACACGTTATCCTGAGTCATATCACAACCCATAACACCTTAAACCCGGTAAACTGATTTTGATCATCAGCACATATTTTCATTAGATTTTAAGAAAAAAACAGAGGACTTGTTACTTTTTTTGTTTTATTTTTTTATTGTAAACATAATCATTTAATTTCTTGTATTTTTTGCATCTTTCGAAGAGCCATACAGAGCTCTTCAGTTTTAGTTTGCATTTTTGTATTGTTGTTTCCAAGCTTTTAATGTTGCGTTATTAGTGCACTTTGCTCCGAATGGAGTCAGACTTACTTCACCAACATGTCCCAATTTCCTAGTTGACTGAAAAAGAAATCTATTTTTGTTTAAGACGGATGTCTGAGCAGTCTGTTGATTGAGGAAATGCAATTTAAGATCAAAGCTCAGATTGCTGTGACTTTGGGTGACTTTGGGTTTGGATACGATTCTGAAAGAAAGTAGTTTTATGTTGTGTGTTGGGTCAATTTTTTTAATTTGGTAAATATTGTAAACACTGGAAGGCCTCTTTAGCTTCAGGCTAAGTAGCTAGTGTGGATTTAACGCTACAAATAAAGTAACAACAACAAAAGTTTGTCCTTGTCCACTGCTCATGTACGAAGATGCCCTTTTGTGATGGAACCGTTTTATTCACCTTTTATTTTTTTTATCAAGAACGCCTCAAGCGTTGTTTTGTTTTTCTCATAACTCGTCCCTCCTGAGCCCGCAGGCCTGTGACCTGCCGACCTTTTGGAGCTTCAGCCTCTCAGCCGAGCGGCCTTCTCTCAGAACGAACAGTTCAGGTATTTTAGCTCCGTGCTTCCACTGATATGCAGCGCCATCTCCACCTCTCTTCGCCATTATTTAACCAGAAGTGAGGCCTGCTGTGTTTTTGTGGTGTTTGCAGGAGCGCAGAAGTCCCCCCCCCCCTTTAGCCTCACCCCGGGATACCGGCCCTCCTCCCCCGGCAGCCCTGCGGGGGCGTTGCCTGAGGACGCAGAGTGGACAAAGCTACTCCACTTTACCCCCCCGCCCCTCCGCCCCCCGGGTGCATGATTACGTTCCGGCTGCTCCCTTCCTCTCTTTATCATCCCCAGAGGTTTGAGAGGATAGAAGGGGGAGGGTGGGGCATCTGTTCCCCGAGCCTTTTTTCCTTTCATCCACAGGCAACCCCCCCCCCAGTGAAATACCCTCTCTGGTAGATCTATTTTTCCATCACTGTCCTCACATACCGTCTCTACGGACTCACCACCTCCCTTCATCTGAAGTCACCGCTGTGAGAAGCTCGGAGGCCACCCGACGGGTCAGTGCCAGAAGTGCAGGTCTTGCTGCAGGTTATTTGTACGTGCTCATCGAAAAGTTCAGACTTACGGAGAGAAAGCAGAAAACTGTGCCAGGCACTTACGCTTGTTTAATGCTAATAACCCGACGACCACCCGTCCAGAGTTTGTCTCACCACAGGTTGAGAGGACTGAAGGAATCAAACCGAACCAACGTGCTGTAATAACGGACACGCGGTGCAGTCACATGTGGGATTGTAAACCGACTGGAATGGAGAGAACTGATTGCTGATATATTTTTGTTTTCGGTACAAAGGGATTTTCTCTTGTGCAGAAGCCGTCTGTCCTACTTACAGAGACGCCGCCGCAGCCTAACCTGCTGTTCCCAGCTGGTGCCGCTCTGAAATACTCCCCCCTCTCCACCCCCTCTTCCTTTTTTCTTCTCCTCTCCTCTCCATCTCCCTTTACTCCTCCTCTCGCTCTCGCTCTCTCTCTCTCTCTCTGGAGTGCGTGCGGAAGGCTCCGCCCCTCCTCGGCTCTCCGGGCCGCGCGTCCTCCCTGCGTCAGACGGCTCCATTCATGAAAAGTGTGACGTGAGCGGGTCTTCAGCCGCCCACTCACTTCCCCGGTGCTGCAGGAGTTAGAGGAATGCCCGTTGATCTCCGTCTCTCTCTCTCTCCACGCTCTTCTGGCCGTTTCCTTTGCTCCGTCTTCACCGCCGGTTCATCCTCTCTCCACCTGGCTTTAAAAAAAAAAATCCCCCCAAAAATTCCTTCTTCTGTTTTTTCTCCATCGCCGCCTCAGAGCTGAGCGAGGACCATGAATCTGAGCCCGGTCTGCTGTGAGTAACCTGCTGATGCCGTGTGCTGTACATCTCAGTGGAAATGTGTGCAGGTTCCTTTGCTTGCACATTTATCTTTGTATTTTGTTTATGACGTGTGTGCGTGTGTGTGTGTGTGTGTGTGTGTGTGTGTGCGTGTGCGCGCTGTTTGTACTGTACGTGGATCAGCGGTGTCCGTGTTTGTTCAGCGGCAGCGCTGCAGGAGTGTGGCCGAGCGGTCGTGCGTCGGTGCGTGCGGCAGCTATTTTGGGCTCAGCGGCGATGCTGCTACTGCTGCTTCTTTTTGATGCAGGACGTCTCTCTGCCCTCTGAAGGGCGGGTGGGGAGGTGGAGGGGTCAGACGATGCCCCCCGCCCCCCCCGGGGCATAAAGAACGCTGGTGATCAGAGAGAGCGAACTCTCTGCGACACGCGTGTGTAGCGCAACATCCGCGGGCTTTTCCATGTGTGTCGTCAACAAATCACGCCCACTCTCCAGGTTTTGTCTTTGCCCGTCTTATTTGCCCGTCTTCCCCCCCACCTGCTTCACCGTAGTTGACCCCCCACCACCCAAACTGCGTATTCATCACTGTTTATTTAGCCCTGCCTGGCAGCAGGACAGCTGTGTGCATGCCCACCTCTGTCCTCTGCCACTACACATGTTTATGTAACTGCACAGGATGAGCAGCCGGGCTTCAGTGGAGAGGAGGAGGAGGAGGAGGAGGAGGAGGAGGAGGAGGTGGTGGAGGAGGAGGAGGAAGAGGAGGAGGAGGAGGAGGAGGGCAGAGTCCGCTGTCCATCCAGTCTCCACACGGGGAATAATGGCTGCGTGTTTGCCATCTGGATTGTACTTCTGGAGTGTCTAACACGTATAAAATATAAAAAACACAGGAAAGTTGCAGGAGAAGGCACTGATGTGTATTGATTCCCTGCCTGTGTGCTGTGGGTGGAGGCAGAAGAAAGGGAGATGTGGTGTAACACCCACTTCTCGCTAAATCTGACGTGCCCCATTTTTTTCTGCTCTGGTAGCTTTTGTGTGTATTTTCGTACGGCGACCATTAAAATGGCGTCCGCCACAGCCGGTCTCCTGCGCGATGAGTGTTTGTCTGTTGTGTCACTTTAGTGTGTGTGTGTGTCTTTCTCCCTTTTTGGCGGTGCAGGCCGGCCGTCCTTATTAAAGGAGCACAAGGGGGATTGTTGTGGCAGCAGCTGCTCTGGTGTGCAGTGTTGAGTGTGTGTGTGTGTGTGTGTGTGTGTATGTGTGTGTGTGTGTTTGCCTATGTTGTTCTATGTGTGTGTGCGCGCGCTGCTGTTTCCCGGGCCGTGGGGGCAGACAGGCCCAGTTCACACGGAGCCGGCTCCTCTTGTGTCCTTTGTTGTCGCTCTGGGAGTCTTTTTTTTTTTTCCCCGTCGTGGTCAGTAGAGCGTCACGCCGCAAGCGTCCACGGTGGCGGCAGAAAAGCTGTTTCTCTTTGTGTCCGTTTCTGTTGTCCAGCAACAACATTTTCTCCTCGCTATCTCCTCCCTTCCCGATGCCTGGCTAATCTGCTTCTCCTCCTTCTACATCCCCCTACGCTCCTCTCTCCCTCCACCGTCCCTCCCTGTCGGCCTGCATTCATCATCTGCAGAATGGAGCTGGTTAGCAGCTCTTTAAAGCTCTATCGTTAATCTTTTGCTGGGAGCGAGAGAGAGTCTGCTTCAATCAGAAGATACTCAAGCGCTGTGAGTTCATCCAAAGCGAGTACGTGGTAGTTGAAGTTTATTCCGGGCGGCTGTGCGTCCTGGTTGCAGTGGCTGAGTGAAGCCGGAGGGACAGCGCGCGTCACACGCCGTCCTTCAGTTATTTATTTTCTCCAGTTCTGACGGGTACTGGCTGAGGCAATTTGAGGAACAAATTAAGTGTGTGTGGAGTACTAATGATTCACAGCCATGTTAACCCTGTGAAGTGCAGTGTTTTCTTGAACGTTTTGTTGTTTTTGTTGAGCTGAGCCCACCCGACGCGCTCCCTGTGACCTCGGCCGGCTTTGACCTTCTTCCTATTTGCTCAGCAAAACCAGTCAAACCCGAGCAGGCAGGTCGGCAGGCTTTATTGCTCCGCGGTCCGTGTCTCCAGCCCTCGGCAGGTCATAAAAGTCAGCTCAGGTGAGTCGCCAGATGGAATCAGATAATGAAGGAGAGATTGGGGGGTGGGGGGGGACGTCAGCCCTCTGACTGCAGATGCCTGAACGCTGTGCCAGAATTTATTTATTCGCCCGCTCCGCCGCTGTGACATTACCAGCGGATTACTTTCACCCACGTTAGGCTGCCCAATCCCCTCTGGCAGGACTCGTGGCCGTGGTAGCCGGGGAAAGCTGATTTAGACATCGGCCCACATCCCGACAATCAAATCAGAACTGGGTGGCTGTGTCGCCGCGGTCATGTTTCCGAGGCCTCTGGATTCGATGTTTTGGGGGGGGGTTTGTTGCTAAATATGTTCTAAATTCTGTGTGCCTCCGCTGACAAAGAAATGCTGACTTGTGACTGCGATAACGCTGTGTACTCACGCGACCGTGGCGGGCCATGAAAGTCCATAGTCTGCACCGACGAGGGAAACTAGTACAAATACCAGAGTTCAGCTGCTCAACTGTGACCCAGAACAACAAGACGGTCACGAGTAGTCCAGACTGTGGAGACGCCAGAGCTGCCGATGGTAAGAGCCTCTTGCCTTGTCCGGTGTCATTTTTTATTTCTCTAAGCCGTTCCCTGTTATTGGTCATCAGAGGCGCTCAGGAGGGGAAGAACCTGTTACGGTTGAGCAAGATACAATCCAGCTTGTTTTTCGCACAACCTCACTTTATAAAGAGTGACGATTGAGTGTCGTTATTCCAAACCCGTGTTGGAATAGAGGGAGTGTGGCTGGTGGCAGAAGGTCGGGGCGGATGCTGTGTTGACATGGTAATGTGTGAACGATGAGGTGGTACGGCGGCCAAATCGGTTCTTTGTTGGTGGCGCAGCTGTCCCCTGAAGGTGGCTCCCCCCCTGTGGGGGCCCGGCAGGGCTTCCCTTAATGAGGAGCAGGAGTGATGGAGAAACAGACCAGGCTGCTGCTGCTGTGTTAAAGGTCTGTTTGTTGCTGCGTTGATGTACCGCAGAGGGAGAAAGTAGAATACGCACAAACTAAACAAGCATGTCGGTGTTTGCAGAGTGCCGAAGTCCTCTCCCCAGAGGATTGCTGGAGTATTGGGATTAATGGATCCGGCCGGACACGCCCCTGGTGTGTGTCTGTGTCTGTGTGAGCATATGTGGTCTCAGAACCTGATCCTGCTGCATCACCAGCTGCCGCACACACACACACACACACACACTCTCATAAAGTATGAAGAGTAACGACATCAGCGAGGTCTTTATCTGCCAACGCGGCTCCACGTCCACAAGTGCTCTCGTGTGCTGAAGACGTGTTTGTCGTGATGCATCGTGCCGTTGGTCGTTGGATTTAGGTTGTGTTTAGAGGGGCATGAGAATCAAAGGGAGTGTTTAGAGGATAGATGGAGGGGTGAATAGGGTCTGTGTTTGTACAGCTCTGTAGAGGGATTAAAGGATCAGCCCTTGATAATTTCTCTCTCTCTCTCCCTCCCCCTCTTTATTCTTTCTGCTGAGCATTGGCATTGTGTACTTTACTGAAGCATTGTGTACTTTATGCCAAATTAAAGTTCAACGCCCGGGGGGGTGGCGGTCAGCGCGTCCTTTTTGCCCAGTCACAACCCATTTCGGAAAGTTCTGTAAATATTGACCGTGTAAATGAAACCGCGGGCCCTTTCTTGACGAGGCCCAGACATTATTCATGGGATTATATGTACATTATACATTACATCTAATATCCATTAGAGATTAACGGGGGAGGAAAGCGAGTGAGCAGAGAAGAGTATGGAGTTATTATAATCTTTCTTTCTGTCCAAACGTGGCCTGAACTCATCATTTCGTCAGTCTCCGTCGTGTTGTCGGGGTCGCTGCGCGCCTGAACGCGCCCAACCGCGTCCGCCGGCGTCAGAGGCACAGCTCAGAGGATCTTCCGCGGGGTGGAATTTCAGCGCCGGGCCTCGAGTCGCCCGGCTCGATTGCCTCTGCTGAGGAAGAGGCGGATTTATTGGATACCTGAGAGAGGATTCTTTCCTTCCCCTGCACTCTCAGCAACGTGCTTAGAGACCGGCCTGCATTATAGATGAGCTTCTGGCAGCCGCGACACTCTCACAGCGCTCAGGTTACACCCCCCCCCCTCCTTCAAGTAGAAACAAACAGATACAGTGCATGCATTTGCATGGACATCAGCCTGGAGGCACATTGTTTGTTTCACTCTCATCTCCTCTTTCCCCCCATCTTCTGTTTTTTATATTTGGTGTCCGATAAAGTAAGAACAAGAAATGCATCATCCGACGCCAACGTGTTTGGCTCTGACATGAATGCACGCAGCGTTTCTGCAGCAAAGCTACTTGCTTCAGAGAAATCCTGCGGTATCCGAGCCTGAAGGTAAACGTGACGTGTTTCAGTTTCCCCCATCAGACAAACCTCCACGTACCACAGAGACAACTCCCCGCTTCCTGTCTCCTCCCTCCTGGACTTTGATCTCCCGTTCCCGACTGTACACACTGGACGGCCTCCCGCTGTCTCCCCCACTCTGCGCCCTTCACTGATTTCAAAATAGATTAGATTTCTAAGGGCAAGTCTTTTTTTTTTTTATAGTTTTAGTTTTTTAGAAAGTAATCGGCACACTTTTTTTTCCCTTGACAAGATTGCGTAAACGAGCTCGGTGAGATTGGGGATTATCGGCAATCTGTTTGTTTGAAGACACACTGTATGTTGGGGTTGCAACAAATGAACGTCCCGATGTGGAGGACTTGATGATTTCTGACTCCCAGCGGAAATGTTGAAAAAGACACCGTGAACGACAATAAACGCTGGAAGACCCGGCGGAAGAGAAACAAAGCAGTTTTCTTCAACATCGTCATAACCAGGCTAAATGCTGAGGTGGATTAACCACGTCGGCTTTGGTTGATCGACAGGTGTAGTTTTCTTAACTACGTCTGTAGTAGAAAGCATTGCCTTTTAGTTCACAAGTTACCTTTTCAAAGCACAAGATATTCACGCATGAACATGAGTAGCTGAAAAAAACAAACTGTGTCCAGGTGAGACATTAAGTCGCGTGATGAAAACTAGCATTTTGCTACTGAAGCCTGTGAGTTTCACTTAATAATTAAGTTAAAGGTAATTGGTGGACGTTGAATTGAGACGATCAGGTTTCCTCTTTGTTTATTCTTTAAGGTGTTGTGTTCTATTTGCGAGGGGGTGTTGTTGTTTTTTATCTGAGGGACTTTGAGGGACATAAAGTCATAAAAGTCATAAATCAAATTGCAGCTTTAATTTATGGAAATGAAGTTTTATATTTCTTGATAATTTCTTGTATATATCTCAATTTGGCCAATTGTAGACATCCATTTTGGATATGATTTCAAACACGTGTGTCGAAACCAGGTTGTTGCTCTGCTGGTTAGGCGGTGAGAATGGGCTGTGCGTGCCAGATGTTTAGCTCTCAGCGGTCCTGATACACAGCAGGGCTTTTAATCTCTGCTATACTCCTCCTGCTGCACTGAGAACGTGTGTGTGTGTGTGTGTGTGATTAGTTTAGACCAACTATTTCCCGGAAATTTCCCAGAATATCATTATTCAAATCTACTCCGCAATGCCTTCATTCACAAAGTCTGTCTTATGCTCTAGTTTAAAGCTGATCATTTCTAACCTCCTCCACCCTGCAGTGTTTGCGCTTCATAGTTAAAAATAATCATCGTTAATGAAAGCTCTCGCAATCCCAGATCCATGAGAGGAAATGAGAGGATTTCCTTTCTCTTTGACAAAGTAAAAGGGCCCCGTGGCAACAGTTACAATCCTGTTATCGTTGTGTCTCATGTATCTACAATATTCCAAATGGATTCAACGCATGGACTTTATTAAACGTAACCTGTCTCTCTTTTTTTGTTCTGTGTCCATGCCCCCCCCCGCCCCGTAGGTGATATTAAACATTCCGAAGACCAACCCGTGCGTTAGGACGCTCCCCACTCGTTATCTCTGGGTGTCCCGTGCACATGCACGACACCATGGGTAGCTCCCCAGAGGTGCTCTCGTGGACTTCCTGCCCCAGTCTGCTGGTGGGCAAGCTGAAGGAGGAGCTCAAGCTCTCCGGGGCTGTGGACACCGTGAAGAAGTCAAACTCGCCCGACCCCCAACCTCCGCCTCCTCAGGCCCCTCCGTCCAGCTCGCCGCCTCAGATCATCACAGACCTCGCGCCGCCGTTACACCTGCCCGTCCCCGCGCGGACGCCCCGCCAGGGACGAGGACTCGGCGCTGGGGGGTATAAGTCCCCCAAACGTAGCCCTGAGTGTGGACTCGACGCGGAGCGAGGGCAGGCACTTTGACAACAGCGTGCTGCAGCTGCAGGAGCACGAGCAGGAGGAAGCGGGATCGCCGGCCTCCTGTGAGCACGGCGGGTGCGGCAGCGGGATGGAGGAGCAGACGGGGGAGGGCGATTGTCCCGTGGACCACAGTGGAGAAGGGAAGCAGAACAACCACCATCACCACCATCACCACCACCACCACCCCGACGACATCAAGCTGCACTTCCAGAGGGCGGGGCCCGGGTCGGGTGGCTTCTTAGAGGGGCTGTTCGGTTGCCTTCGGCCCGTGTGGAACATCATCGGGAAGACGTACTCAACTGAATACAAGCTCCAGCAGCAAGGTCAGTTCTGGCTTCTTATCTTACTTTTTAGAGGCAACGCACTCTGGTTAAACTCATTTCTGTTCAAAGAATTTAAAATAGCCAACCTCTGGCTCATCACATTACCGCTGTCGTTGAAGCTGTACAGCTGCCTGGTTGAATTGAGGTCATAGTTCGGGTAGACTCACCTTGCTGCAGGGCTCCAGGATCGAGTTACAGTCCGACACAACGGCCCGGGTGCTGTTGTTGGTCAGCTAATGCCCGCATGTAGAGGCCCATGTTATTTTAAAAGTGTTTTTCCTCAAGATAGATTTTTTTTTTTTAAAGGAATAGATCAACATATTGAATTCCATTTTCATTCCTTTTTGTCGTCACAGTTTTTGTAGAGAATATATAACCAAGGTAAAGGTTGTTGAAGGTCATTGGCTTTAGCTCTGCTGGTACCAAATAGCTTGAGGCATCAAGTTGTGTAAATGATCACGTTCAAATATATGAGGGAAATGACAAAGCAGCATTCCAAGTAAGTTATTAATAACATTGTATACAATAGTCCATCTCCTCCTCTCTATGTTCTCGGCCTTCTCAAACTCACACACACACACCGAAAGTGCCTCAGGCTGCCTCTAGGTCGCTCTATAACATCTATACATAGCACATAATGTATTTATGTACACAAATCTACTCATCCAACTCTGCGGCTAAGCTTATTTCTAAAAATGCTGAACTATTTCTTTAAAGAGCTAAGAATATTGATGGAAATAGATGCTAAACCTATAAAGAATTAGACGATTGCGTACAATTCCAGAAGCCTCCATCTTTAGCCTTAATCTTGACGAGCTGTAACCTTTTTGTTTCCAGACACGTGGGAGGTTCCATTCGAGGAGATCTCTGAGTTGCAGTGGTTGGGCAGCGGTGCACAGGGAGCCGTCTTCTTGGGAAAGTTCCGCTCTGAGGAGGTGGCCATCAAGAAGGTGCGTGAGCAGAAGGAGACGGACATTAAACCCCTGCGAAAACTCAAGCATCCCAATATCATCAGCTTCAAGTAAGTCCAAATGCATTTGCACACTTTTAAAAAACAAGTTTGTCAACATCAAGATCTGCGGGTTGTTAAATGTGTGTTTTGTCCATTTTAGGGGGGTGTGCACCCAGGCGCCTTGTTACTGCATCATCATGGAGTACTGTGCGCAGGGCCAGCTGTACGAGGTGCTGAGGGCGGGGAGGAAAGTGACTCCCAGGATGCTGGTGGACTGGGCCACAGGCATCGCCAGCGGCATGAACTACCTTCACCTGCACAAGATCATCCACAGGGATCTCAAGTCTCCCAAGTGAGTTTCCTCGTGTTATTGTAAGAATATCGCATCATTTCTTAGATTCTCCCTGCAGTCTTGATTATTGTGGCTGTTTTCCTGTCACTGCTGTGTATTCAACTAAAGTACATTACGCAAGAGTCTCCTTTACAATTGGATTGAATAGACGACAGCTAAATAAAATAAACATGCTTCAGTATGTGTGAGGCCAATTGTATATCTCCTCCTGATCCTCAAATGAGTAGTCTGCTTCTTGGTGTGTCTCTGCCATGGTTACGATGGTCAGAGCAGCCTTCCTTAAGATGTCTTTGCCCACAGCTGCAACAACAATTTCTCCTTCAGCTCTGAGACGTTTGACATTAACTCGAATGCCGTTGTCAGACTTTAAAAGCTATAGTCGCCTCGGCGTAAGACAGCGGCCGGTCTTAACCCGCTCCTGCAGTCTCCTCCTCGGCTCTCTGTAGCCCTCTTTGTTTCTCTAATCAATAGCAGCACGCTGCTGCAGCGGCAAACACTGTATCAGTCAGCAGGATGGTAGCGGGCTGAATGTGCTGGGAAGGTCAGTCTCATTCAGCTAATGGGGGGGGGGGGGGTGGTTCAAATGCAGAAATGTGCTTATGTAACAGTTTTTTACCACAACCAATTGTTTTGAATGATTACCGTATTTTCCGCACTGTAAGGCGCACTCAAAAGCCTTTAATTTTCTCAAAAAACGACAGTGCGCCTTATAATCCGGAGCGCCTTATATATATATATATATATATATATATATATATATATATATATGGATCAATTGGTTAATCGGTTGATCCATACTGGTTGTACACGGCACTCAAGGCGCTCTGCCAAACATGCCAAAGCTCGGTCTACGACGGCGAGATGCTGAGCGGGCGCTCAAGCGCGTGAGATAGGGAGCTTCTTTAAGGGCGCGTCGGAGAAACAAAGCTGATGAGATACTGGGATTAAAGAGCGAGAGACGGTGCCCTTTTTTTTACAGTAGCTGAAGCATCTTAACGGGGAAAATAAGTTATTCTAAAAAGGGCCCTTGGCAGGCGGCGCGGCTGGAGAACAGCCGAAGATCTAAGGCGTGGATGGCGAGGGAGGCGGCCGGAGCGGATGCACCTCGCAGCATCGGTCGGACCCTGAAAGCACCGTCTCCCCACATCTCCACACCCCCCCCATCCTCCCGCCCCGACGTCAAACGTTTGACTGCAGTATTATGCGCTTTATAATCCGGAGCGCCCCATTTCTGAAAAATGTTCTAAAATACGTCATTCATTGAAGGTCCGCCTTATACGGTAAATACAGTAAGTCATCGGACATGGATTGATGTTGGTCTGACGCTAAAATGTGAAAGGGTGAACCAGTTTTTTGATATAGATGATTATTGGGCTGCTATAGAATTGACTTGGGCCTCTTAATCACACGGTTGGACATGGCTAACAAGTCTGTGTGTATTCTGTTTGTGTCTGTTTGTAGTGTTTTGGTCACCTCCAACGACACCGTGAAAATCTCCGACTTTGGAACGTCCAAAGAGCTCAGTGACAAAAGTACAAAGATGTCCTTTGCGGGTACAGTGGCCTGGATGGCCCCGGAAGTCATAAGAAACGAGCCCGTGTCTGAAAAAGTAGACATCTGGTGAGAACTGTCTTAGTATTTATGTGTAATATATCAAGAGCCATTTGTTTATACGTCTGTAGTGAGAACTGACTTACATTCTCTGGTTGAAGGTCATTTGGAGTTGTGTTGTGGGAACTTCTGACCGGAGAGATTCCCTACAAAGATGTGGACTCCTCGGCCATCATTTGGGGTGTTGGCAGCAACAGTCTTCACCTCCCGGTCCCCTCGACCTGCCCGGACGGCTTCAAAATCCTCATGAAACAAACATGGTGGGTGCTGATCCGACGTAATGTCTGTGCCATCTTGGTGCAGCACAACTATTAGCACAACTATTAGCATTTATTTTGTTGAAATGGTTTGACTCAATGCACCACACCGGATTCTCATTGAATCATATCTTTCTCTGTCACGTGCCGACTGCAGGCAGAGCAAGCCCAGGAATAGGCCTTCATTTCGTCAGATCCTCCTACACCTCGACATCGCCTCTGCTGATGTCTTAGGAGCTCCTCAGGAGACCTACTTCAAGTCTCAGGTCAGCACTGCTACTGCAAAACGCAGCATGTCTGCTTGGTGTGAGTCACAGAGCTCCGTACACTTTTAAGATGACTTTAATTATGCATCCACATTGAGTGGAGTTCGCAAGCCTTTGACACTATTTACTTCTCTTAGATAATACCATTCTTTTGATGTGTTTTGAGAGTGAAATGGCAACTTTATTTTCATTGTTCCAACACTACAGTCAGAATGGAGAGAGGAAGTGAAGAAACATTTTGAGAAGATCAAAAGTGAAGGCACCTGTATCCACAGGCTGGACGAGGAGCTGATCCGACGCAGGCGGGATGAACTCAGGTGTGTAAGAACACGCACATAGACAGATATAAACAGAACGAGATCACAGCCATCCGTAGCGTTTCCTGATTTAGACCTATTAATGTGATTTACCATCAGTTTAATTACTTGTAAATATATCGATGTCTTTCAGTTAATTGAATAATTTCTAAATCAAACCAGAAGTTGTCAGAAATGTATATTTGTCTGCATTTCTCAATCTCTCAGGCACGCTCTGGACATCCGGGAGCACTATGAGAGGAAACTGGAGAGAGCCAACAACCTCTACATGGAGCTCAGTGCCATCATGCTGCAGCTGGAGGTCCGAGAGAAGGACCTAATGAAGTACGTAAATAACTCCTTTATCACAACAGTCATCAGCTTGCTTCACCACCGACCTGCTCTAGTGTGTAAACTAGCATTTCCTCTTCATGACAGGCATTTTCAATCGTTTTTTATATTTGAAATGATTATATTGGCTAGTCAGACAACTGACTGTATATTCAGCTAGTAAGAAGAACAGGACAAGAAGTTATTGTTTTATGTCTTTTACACTTTACCTGATTTCTGTCTACTAAAGTTCAGAGTAATGAAATCACAACCCTCTGTAGAGTCCTATGTGAATAATTTGTTCCCTGTCATATGACTCCTTAATAATTCTGCCATCCCTGCAGGCGAGAGCAAACCGTGGAGAAGAAATATCCAGGGACCTACAAGCGACACCTCGTCAGACCCATTGTCAGGACCAACGCTGTAGAGAAGCTCATCAAGAAGAAAGGAAGCATGTCCCACAAACCAGGGATGCCCCCCACTAAAAGGTCTGAAGCATAACAAACAGCTAATTCCAAATGAAAAGGTTTTGATTTGATGTTTCAGCTGCCACGTACCCATTAGCGTGGATTAGCAGGTTTGTCCAGATGATTAATATCCATTAAATTAGAGACAATTCTCAGTAAAGTATTATGAATTACTAGATGCTCTGGTAGAGCCAGATGTGTCATTAAAAGGCATTGGATATAAGTGTTATGAATCGATTCGGTTACATTGTGTTAATGTTCTCAAATGAATTTATTTCAGACCGGACCTGCTTCGTTCCGATGGCATCCCCAGCCTCGACCCACTCCCCTCCCCTCTATCGGCCAGCCCCAAGCTCTCCACGCCTCCCGGAAAGGCCCGCCACCGCAGCAAGCCGCGCCACCGCCGGGCCAACAGCAAAGGAAGCCACGGCGAGTTCTCCGGGCTGCTGAGGCCTCTCGCCGCGGCATTGGAAGACACCCAGTCCCTCCAGGAGCAGCCGTTTCTCCTCCACCAACACCACCACCACCCGCAGACCGAGGCGCCGTTCCTCCCCTTAAAGGGCCGGGAGCAGGCCGTCGTAAACTGTGCCAACAACCTGCGCTACTTCGGCCCCGCCGCTCCGCTGCGTAGCCCTCAGACGGACCACCTCCAGCGACGCGTTTCTGAACCCAGCCCCGACCTCATTTCCACCGCTGTGGATGCGGACACGCGACTGCGCACGTCGCCCGCCGGCCCCGACCCGGTTCCCGGTGCCGGCGCTGGCACTTTGTGTCCCTGCTGCCAGGCTCACCCCTTCCCTGGCTGCCTACACTGCCAGGAGACCCCACCTGCGTCAAGCCATCCGGAGTTGCCCCACTACTCCCTACTCAACACCCAGGAAGGCACTGCGTCTTCTCTCGGGGCTCCGGGCAAAGATGCAGCCTCGGACGGAGAGGCCACAAAGAAGGCTCAGCCACAAGAACAACAGGCGTCCCAGCGCGCTCACACCCTGCTCACTGCACTGCCCCGCACTCTCAGGCCCCTCAGGAAGGTGGGCAAAGACGGTTTTAGTTTTTCTGCATGGGTTTGTGTTCGTAAAACTGTGAGAGATGATTTAATAACCGCTGTAATTGCTTCTCTTGCAGGGTGGCGACGAGTCATCTGAAGAGGAAGAGGGGGAGGTGGATAGTGAAGTGGAGTTTCCGAGGAGACAAAGGTAAAATACGTCTTCTTCCGCAGTTGCACTGGCCCACAAGGCGGAAATGAAAAGCGGACTCTAGTTCTCATAGGACTGCTACTACATACGCCGTCAGACCTGTTGTCTTTTGGTAGGAGGAGCTTAGGAAAAAGTGGAGCTGCAGGGCGAAATCAATGATTTGCCGTTTCCAGAAAGCTTTTAATCTTTAAGGTTTGCCACTTTGTGCCTACCTGCGCTCTAACACTATAACACTATCACCCCTTCCTCTGCCCCCTCACAGACCTCATCGCTGTATGAGCAGCTTCCAGTCCTACTCCACCTTCAGCTCGGAGAACCTGTCGGTGTCTGACGGAGAGGAGGGAAACACCAGTGACCACTCCCACAGCGGGCCCCTGGAGAGGCTGAGCGCCAGTCAGGAGGAACATCTGGACGAGCTGCTGTCTCACACGCCGGAAATCCCCATCGACATCTCCACCCAGTCAGACGGCCTCTCCGACAAGGAGTGCGCGGTGCGCAGGGTGAAGACCCAGATCTCTCTGGGGAAACTGTGCTCCGACGAACACAGCTACGAGGTACTCGCCTTAATCTCAGCCGCGCTGGTCACGATGAAATAATGCGCTCGATGTTATGGAGCAGATTCTGAGTAGGTCTTTTCGCTCTCATTTTTCTCTCAGAATCCACTGCAGTTTGGGGATTCAGACGGCGATACGTCGGAGGCGGAGTGCTCCGATGCCACCATCAGAAACAACAAAGTCGGGGCCCCTTCCTCCTGGTGAAACCCAACCACAGGGCTGCGTTCAGTTTTTGCCTGGAGGCCATCGTGTCCCACTCAGCCTTGCAGAAAACCCAGCAATAAGAGGACGACATCGTATACAAAGCTCCTTATAGCAAACCCCTCCACGCAATCTCTCCCAGAACCACGCTTCCCTCCGTGATCCCTCATTTCCCATCCTCTCTTGCACAGCATCCAGGCAACACATGGCAGGGATTCCCTTTTGAATGATAATGTACAGTAGATCGTGGAACATTCATAATTTATTTTTGTCTGCGTTTCAAAATCTGAAACGTCTCTGATCATTCAGAGAAAAGGAAAAAAACCTTTTTAAACTGAGCAATCGTGTGTTGTGAGGACGACGATGATGCGAAGGATGATGAGATGAGGTGTGATTTATATCGCTGTGATATTCGTTTTTTCAGGTGACTGACGCAGACGAGAAGTGTCACTACAAGCCTTTCGATCATTGCTGCCAGCATCTCATTGTTTTAGACTGAAACCCACAAGGAACCCCCCCACCCCCCCTTTTACTAAAATAATTTCATCATGAGTTTACAGCACAGATCCCTGTTACCCCACCTCCACCCCTCTGATCCCTCCGCTCCCCCCCCCCATTGGAGAGTGGGGAACGATCGCTTTTCAATACAGTTTGAACACCAGCATGAGCAACTTGCCTCGCAACCGGACACTCTTCCTTTCTAAATAAATAAATAAAAACCCAACGTGTGTCTAGTCGGTCGTCAGGATCCCCGCTGAACTGTCAAAGCATGCCGGCGCAGATTGCAAAATGCAAACGCTGCCAGAAGACTGCATGAAGCGGACGAGTTGGCAGAGCAACGGAGACGAGGACTGACAACTAAAACAAGATACAAAAACACCGGGAAAAAAGAGACTTTTCCTCTGCTCATCCTTCTCCGAGACACGGCAACGTCATTGTCATCACCAATCAGATGTGAAGACCGGAGTTGTTGAGGGAGTTGTGCGTGTGTGTGTGTGTGTGTGTGCGTGTGTGTGTGTGTGTTTGGGCGTCTGTGAGAAAACGGCCCTTTCCTTTCCATTCATCGTCAGTTTCGGGTCTCATCTCAGGATTGTTCCAGGTCTGAGAAACTGGACTGGACCAACTAGTATGGACCATACAGGAATATAAAACGAGTCTTACAGACAGCCTCGATGTTCAACCCTGTGTTGCTGTAACTGACATTAATCTTATGTCGAGACGTAGAGCGTCAAGGTGCAGTACCCCATTTTCTTGAAACCACCATCATTTCCATTTTCCAGCAGTGTCATCTGTACTGGCTGATACACGATGTCCAAAAATAAAAATAATTGTTTGTGGTCTTGTGAATAAAACTGCAATATGCAGGTTGGCGCTCAGGTGAGAAAGAAGTTCCTTGCTCGGGATCTGCGGCGTCTAGCTGGCTAGACACAAAACAGTGAGCGGTGGCTGTCGGTGAGCAGCAAGTGTTTAGCAGCTTGTTATAAATGCTATATTCTAAATGTTCATTAATTGGCCTTTGGAGGTGTTTGATGCTCAGGTTTTATGTCACTGATTGGAAGTATGAGCAATATATCAACCATTTTACTTTTTATTCCTGCCAAGGTAATTTATCTGGAAATCCAAATCCTAAAAGACCCAGCAATATAACCATAATTTTTCTTGTTGTCTTTGAAAGGGGATACTGCACCGCTGAGAGCTTTATATTTATCCCTATGAGTGTTAGTCATCCACCAGATCGTGCGGTTGAATAATAGTCAGCCAAGGTTGAATTTAACAACAATGATGTCACATCGTCCGCTTACATGTTCCCCGGCGGCTGAGATTCTGAGTTAGGAATAAAAGCCAGAGACGAGGCCACAGAGCAATAAAGACGCTCTTGGTTTTCAACAACCTCATCTCAGTGTATGTTACTCCTGTATATCGGCGTCTATCATCTGTTAATGTGATCTGTTTTTCCCTATAACGTCTAGTTGAAAATGAGCAGGAAATCATCTGTATCGCGTCAGTATTGGGCACTGCAGGAGGGTGCATGAGCAGCACAAGGTGGATCTAAAACTGTACTAATGGATCAATTACCTTTTGCTTGAAAGCTTTGGAAATAATCACACCTGATACAGAACGCAGCTGCTGCTTTCCTCGAGCCTCCTTCCACCTCCTCCCTCCGTTTACGTTTGTGTGAAATAACCTAGTGTATTGTAATAACTGGGTAATCAGACCAAGCTGTTAATAGCATTGTCTTTCTGTCATATACCCTGTGAAGTGTGATTTGTTGTAAAGTTTTAATTTAATATTGATTTCTTGTTTTTTTTGTAGCTGGCCTACGTGATTATTGAATTAATTTATTACGAATGACTGGTTAGGTTTCAGGCAGCTTAAGAAATGTCACGATCCATGATTCCTCTTGGGAAGTATTATCAAAAGGAAGCACAATGAACAGGGGAGAGGACAGTATTTGTATGGGAGGACAAGGCATCGGCATCATTTTGTTTCTTTGTGACTCAGCAGGGGACCATTTAGATCACGGTGTACTGATTTGACAGACTTAAGTTACCAATGTCAAGCATTCCTAAGGTTTTTTTTTTTAATTTGTTTCTCTACAAAGGCTATAAGGAATCACCAGTACAACCAAAAGCTGTTGCAGCAGAGTAAATAAGACCTTACGGCTGGAGGCATGTGTGATGCTGATTTCTGCACTTCTGCAGAGATCCCTTCTCTGTTTTAATTTTAACCCAAATGCCAGACTTCTGGGTTTTGGTGGAATTGTTTCCAACTGTAGACATCATGTTGCCTCGTCCAATGTTTCAAACATGTTTTTTTTTTGTTACTCTCATCTCTAACTCCCTTTCCTGTCGAATGGCATTACGATCAACCAATCCTGTCAGTTTCCTGTATAATCCAGTGTACAGTGCATTTGGTATCTGGGAGAATAAAATCAGAGCAAACAACTGCATGGAATAAATGCTGATGTACTGTACCCAACTCGCTGTGGTCCACCTCTTCTGTTCTCATTTACAGATCCATTTATTCATAGTTTATTCTTGCCTGTTTCACATACGTCCACAGTACATATAGTACTACGGCAACATACAGTTTTGTAACAAAAGTGCTATACATATGAAGAATATCTAAATTCCCATGAACAATATGTTTGTGACGCGTAGTTACGAAAATAACATGTTTTTTTTTAAAGCCGGGAAGCACGTTTTTCTAATCTTAAGTGTTTTAAGCATTAAGATTCATTTAGTATTTTCTAGTCAAGTGTTCACTAAACTGAAAATTATAAAAATGAATAAAACTTTATAAAAGGGGCCCTCCCATTAGCAAATCATGCACTTTATTTTCATACATATTGTAGGTTTTTAAGTCTTTTAGCGTGGTAATAAACCTGGTTGGGTGGGGTGGTTCGTGTGGTACGTGCTGTTTTTGCACTCGTCGAGGAGGCGGGGTCAATGACGTGGCGCCCGCCGAAGCCGTAACGCAGCACCGCCGCGAGGTGCCGAGCGATAAAGCAAGCGCTCTCTCCACCTGGGCGGGGCCAGCTCGTAGTAACTCCTGTTCCGTCGTTCACTCAATTTTCTCTTGCCCACAACTGACAAGGAAGCGACTCCCGAAGTAACGCCCTGTTTACCCAACGAACCGCTCAATTCAACCTGTCTGCGGGCTCGCTTGCTTTTTAGTTTCCACGCAGGTTTCGTGTTGTGAACTTGGGGTGAAGATGTGCTCGATGGACTTGGAGAAGCTGAAGATGACGGGAGCTGGTCGAGCCATGGCAGTGCTGACCAGCGGCGGAGATGCACAAGGTGACTTTTAACTCGGCCAAATTTACATTACATTGCATTCCGTAGCCTTTAAATACCTTCTTTAATATTAGGCAAACTCAACAACGGCGTGAAACAACAGCAATGTTTTGTTTTTTTAATGGAGAGAATACGATTTAATCAAAAATAACAGTAGGAATATGCTCACGGGTCAAAGGTCGTTGCATCCACATCCACATGACTGCTGTCGATAGATCCTTGACCTCATATCTAAGCTGACCACATCCCATCGGGCTCGGTGGAAAGCCGTCATGGCGTCGTGGGAAGATGTTGATGGTTGAGGAGGAAGAAGGAGAGTCGATGGCACTTGGAGGCCGTTTGACCAGCGCTCCTGCAGACAGTTCGAGCCTGCTTTTTTTAAACACTTTCTGACAAATGTGCATTTCTGCAGACTCCCGACCAAAGGTAGTTACCCACAATTCACAGCGATGTGACGCCAAACATGGAGACCTAAAGACAGGAAAAGGGTAAACAAGGAGCGCTGCAAATAGGTGTTCTGCAAAGGAAATCACATTGAGACACATGAAGTCAGAGAGACATTAAAATAAATATTTATTCATAAATGTTTTACTAGTTTAACCAAACCGAGGTAGACCATTTGAAAAGCCCTCTAATCCTGTGAGGAAAAAGACGTTCAAATCAAGGAGTAAAAGACAAAGATCTGCTGTTGAGTTGTTTCCAGAAGCCTTCAGAGAATAAACAGTGACTTCCTGTTCCAATCCTCTGTGTTTGTAAATATGCATTCATGTGGAAACGTGGATGTATCTGCACTCCATGCCATCTTTCATTTGTTATATGTCTGTTGTATAAATAAGCTAATTAAGTATCATTATTATCAGTTAAACCTTTTTTTTACACAATATGATGTTAGCGGACAATTGAGCTAAATACTCTGCCTTTTCACCCTTTTGACCTTGTGTGAATTTATTATTGTACTTCCACTGCCAACATCATTGCCGCTTGCAGTGGACTCTTGACTACTGTCACCAGAGAGCGGATTGCACCTTTGCACCTTTTACCTGCGTTTGATTTTGCCATGCAGGGTCATTGTGTAACAGCCTGTGTGTATTGAAACTTGCAGGCAAATATTATAATCTTTTTTTATTTATGCAACTTTCCTCGCTCAAGGGATGAATGCTGCTGTTCGAGCTGTAACAAGAATGGGCATCTATGTCGGGGCCAAGGTCTATCTTATACATGAGGTAAACAATTACTATTAATAGGACACTGTAAAGCATTGAGTTATTGTCTTAGAAATTTTTCAAATAACATATTTCAAAATAAAATGACCTTTTCAGGGATACCAGGGCATGGTAGACGGGGGAGACAACATCAAACTGGCAAACTGGCAAAGTGTGACCAACATCATCCAGCTGGTAGGTTCAATACTCCTGTTGTAGCTGTAGTTTGGTCTTTTTTCAGGTCAGACGTTTTGACTTGGGTGTTACAAATAATGTCAACGGTGTCATTGTTCTATTCAAGCTTTGCTATAAGAAGAACCATTGATCATCTCATCATCTGTGACAAAGGCCTATTGTGTCTTTTTTAGTTTTCTTAATTTCTGGTTTTTAATACCTCTTTCTTTTACCCTTCTGTGTTTTTATGGTTTTATTAGGGATTTCATCCATCTCTTCTCTCCCTACCTGTCTAATACTGGTTATTACCTGGTATGGGGCTTTGCTGCACGTTTAAGCCTTATCAGTTGTAGATGCATAGTTGCAATCCCACTGTTATTTCTGCATTTGTAAATAAGGGAGAAAATGTGTTTTGTATTGTGCACCACCCACATGCTGGGGCCCCCTGCTGTATAGGGAATGGATGGCAGTTCACAGTAATCAAAGCAATACTATATTTTGACTGACTACTTACGCTCTCCATTTCCTGCTTGAAATAAATCAAATTTTCCATCTTAGATAATTCATATAACTAACAATGCCATTAAGAGGCACAGAGAAAATTTATATTCTGTGATTCTTACTATGATATTATTTCTTGACGGATAACAATGTTGTGTCTTTATTTGGTTTGTCACTTGTTACATGACGTCTCTGCTGCAGGGGGGCACTGTGATTGGCAGTGCTCGATGCAAGGCCTTCACAACCCGGGAGGGAAGGATTGCAGCCGCCTTTAACCTGGTGAAGAAAGGCATCACCAACCTGTGCGTGTGTGGCGGAGACGGCAGCCTCACCGGGGCCAACATCTTCCGCAATGAGTGGAGCAGTCTGCTGGATGAACTCTTAAAGAAAGGTAATAGCCTGCAACCAGACAAGTGGCCACCTGCCACCTAGAAAGGATGCAAGTTAAAGCTACTTAGTCATTGGCCTCACTTTTCAGGCCCGGAGGCTGCTGCCTGGTTCAACAGCACTGAATGAAGCTAATGCCGTTTAAAAAGAAAAAAACAGTTGTGCAAAATTTGACTGTGCAAAAGCACTCCATCTGCAGCATACTTGGGGGAGAGCTATGGTAGACAGCATCTGGTATACCGCTGCTTCCTCTGGAGCTAACCAGCTGACACAGATGTCACCATGGATGAGCAAAGAGGCCGGGACACATACGTCTTACATCAAGCACAGCCTGAGAGACGCTGTCATTCTGAAGCTGTCTGACGTCGGACTGGAGGGGGAGGGAGGGAGGGGGGGAGCACCTGTTGTGGCTCATTGCCATTAACTAATACGTGGTGCTTTTTGTGGTAGGAAGCTCATTGTTTGCGTTTGTGCATATAATAGTAAGCTACTAGAATGATGTGTGCGTGTGTGTGTGCTACTTCAGGAAGGATCACCGACACTATGGCCAAGCAGCATGCCAATCTGAACATTGTGGGGCTTGTGGGCTCCATTGACAATGACTTCTGCGGTACGGACATGACCATCGGCGCTGACTCGGCGCTGCACCGCATCATGGAGATAATTGACGCTATCATGACCACAGCACAAAGGTCAGCCACGGTGGGATGTTGGGATATATATATATATATATATATATAGAGAGAGAGAGATATATATACTATAGGATATTTTGAAGAATCAGACATTTTCAATCAATTGTTTATATAAGTATTATATGTATATGATATTATTTAGTATATTATTCTTATTATAATTGTGTGTCTGTGTCGTCTTGTCTGTCTGTCTGTCTGTCTGATTCTTCAAAATATCCTATAGTTGGTTACAGCCCTACACGTAATGTGTATTTAGTCCTGCATTCTTTATTGGGGAACGTTTGTTCAACACACCCATGTTTGGTGTGATGTCCATGGTCGTGCTCCGACTTGCCCCCCTGGATCTTGGCATGTTGCTACAACAGCCAAATTCTCAGTTCTATGGTTTTTACGCTCCCATACTTTAATCTGATCGCTGGGTTTCTTCCACAGCCACCAGCGCACTTTTGTTCTGGAGGTCATGGGTCGACACTGTGGGTGAGTAACGCTTGAACACGCTTTGCGTTCCTTTAACACACGGTCACTGAGTAAAACGAATGTCCTGTTGCTACAGATATCTGGCCCTGGTGTCAGCACTGGCATCTGGAGCGGACTGGCTCCTCATTCCAGAGGCTCCTCCTCAAGAGGGCTGGGAGGACCGGATGTGCCATCGTCTAGAGGGAGTAAGGCTTCACAGTTGGTTTGCCGGTTACTACGGAAGAAAGACATGCTTTGATCTGGAAAAATTTCCGTAATACTGGAAGAAAGTCTGTGCTAACTAATTTGATGGTATCTGTTTAACACAGAGCCGCACAAAGGGGTCAAGACTCAATATTATAATCCTCGCAGAGGGAGCCATCGACACAAATGGCAAGCCCATCACCTCCACCTACGTAAAAGATGTAAGTTCAAAGATGTGTGTACCGGTTCTGAGTGATGGGTGTCTTATTCTGTGTGACGCAAAAGCCTGCAATGTTGGAATATATAATTCAAATGTTACACGGGCAGAGGTCGATCTGGCGCACTGAACTGCCTGTATGTGTGTTTTGAAGCTGGTGGGGAAGAGACTGGGTTACGACACCAGGGTGACTGTACTCGGCCATGTTCAGCGAGGGGGAACTCCCTCGGCATTTGACCGAATACTGGTGAGCTAGATACCATTTTTTTTTTTTGGTATAATATAATTTGAATACACATCTCAGCCGACCTCAATGCCGGACATGGCTCTCATGTAGGCGTTTATTACTGATGTGTAAGGGGTGATTCCTTTCAACCGACATCCATGCATGTAAACGCTGTTTTTAGAGCTGTAAGTTGGGGGTGGAGGCGGTGATCGCCCTGATGGAGGCCTCTCCTGACACTCCACCGTGCGCCATCGGCCTGTCGGGTAACCATGCCGTTCGCCTGCCTCTGATGGAGTGTGTGGAGATGGTGAGTCGCTCTCCTCCTCTCTGTAATCCTTTCTGATGGACACGTTTGGAAGCAGTGGGAGGTTTGTGTAATCTTGTGACGGTGCCGTCATTTGCAGACTAAATTGGTGCAGACTGCCATGAACGAGAAGAGGTTCGATGAGGCTATCAAACTGCGCGGAGGGTGAGAGACGATAATATTTATATCAATACAATAAAATACAAAACTACCTTGATGTGTGTCAACATATTCTGGATTGGATGGATTATTGATTTAATCATGCACACAATTGATCATATGATCTTTTTTATTTCAAGCTAAAGATAGGGATTTTCTTGCAGGAGTTTTGAAAACAACTGGAAAATCTACAAGCTTCTTGCCTTCCAGAAACCCGTCCAGTCTGAGGTAATCTGCGTCTGGCACAAACACGCACGGTTGCAGCCTCAATATGTGTAAATGAATCATCAATGTTTATCAAAAATGTGTTCTTTGGACTGGTGTTCCCTCAGACCAGCTTCTCCCTGGCCATCCTGAACGTGGGCGCTCCGGCTGCCGGGATGAACGCCGCGGTGAGGTCTGCGGTGAGGTTGGCGCTGGCTCACGGACAGAAGGTCTTCGCCGTCCACGATGGCTTTCAAGGACTCGCCAATGGAAATGTGAGTGCTTTTCCACCTCTACGCCTGTGTAGCACACGGCAGTAGATCTGGGGCTGGACTGTCGGGGACTGACACCGTGTCTGTCCGCAGCTTGTTGAGATGAAGTGGCACAGTGTGGCCGGCTGGACGGGCCAAGGGGGATCGCTGCTGGGGACTAAACGGTGAGGAGACACTTTGGTGATACAGACATGATACAAATTTAAAGAAAGGCCAAAGCTGATGCAGGATTTAGTCATGTTTTATTAATTGTTGTTGTACCATTAAACTGTGTTATTTATTTCTGTCGTGTCCCTGGTTGTAATGGCCATTGAGGGCAAATTTAAAAAATGTATTAGCAAGTCTGCATTAAATCTAAATTGAGTTATAAATAGGTTGTTAATCATGTATCATTTTGAAAAGAATGGGATCAAGTTACTTAAATTTTCACATAAGCCAACTAATATTGCAAACCTTTAATCAGGGTAACAGGATAAGTTAATGCTGTGTGATACAACCCAGGAATGGCAAAATTGCAAATGAAATTTATTTTTGATTGATGTGATGTTTCAGAACTCTTCCAGAAAAACACATGGCGGAGATTGTGGAAACCATCACCAAGTTCAACATCTCCGCTTTGCTTGTAATCGGCGGGTTTGAGGTATGAAGCACAACCTCGTACAACCAGAATTGCACTACTTAATACATTTCAGTGCCAATGTTGCATCAAAGAGGTTTTCCGCCGTTGTCTTTCGAAGGGCTACGTAGGTGTGCTGCAGCTGTTTGAAGCCCGGAGTCGCTTCGATGAGCTCTGCATCCCCATGTGTGTAATCCCCGCCACCGTCAGCAACAACGTCCCCGGAACCGACTTCAGCCTGGGAGCAGACACGGCTGTCAATGCGGCCATGGAGGTAAAGCCGAGCAGATGGCAAATTAAAAGTGTGACTTTGATGTTTCAGGATTAACAGCAACCGAGCCCGAAAACATGACACGTAATGTGAGCCGCTGCATCGCTACGGTACACTTTGAACTCAGAGTTGAAAAACAGAGTTTAGTTTTCAGTTTTTTAACTTTGAGAAGAAGGTGGTGTGGGTCATCTCTTTAGTTCACCCCTGTAGCTGGATGTAGCCCATAAACAACATGCAATTTGTGCAATGTGAGCTCCGTAGGTGAGGGGCTGGTTAGCAGTAAGCTGCCACAGTCTTTATTCACGCTGCCATTTTGGTTTCTTCCTCAGAGTTGCGACAAGATCAAGCAGTCTGCCTCTGGGACCAAGAGACGGGTGTTTGTGGTGGAGACTATGGGCGGGTTTTGTGGGTATCTGGCAACCTGCACGGGCATAGCTGTGGGCGCTGACGCGGCCTACATCTACGAAGAACCCATCAACATCCACGACCTGAAGGTAAGACCAAAATAAACGTACTCTGCTGTTTTATTCTCTCCTTGTGTAAAGCGCTAACAGCTTTCCGTGTCTTTTATCATATAAAGACCAACGTGGATCATTTGACTGAAAAGATGAAGCAGGACATCCAGCGGGGTCTCGTGCTGAGGTGAGGAGCTGTACTCAATTAATTTCAAAGGACAATTTTGCACTCTATATATTTGAAACATTGTCGGATGCAGGTTTTCCGTTGTTGATCATTTTTTCTGTCATAACAGGAATGAAAAATGCCATGAAAACTACACTACAGACTTCATCCACAGGCTCTACTCCTCAGAGGGGAAAGGCATCTTTGACTGCAGAGTCAATGTGCTGGGGCACCTTCAGCAGGTAAACACAGCTTAGCGACCTACACAGGTCTTCAATTAGAGTTGCAACTTAATGCAACTCACAAGTTTACCTTGAAGACACAGAATCTTATAATGTATCCATACACTGCTTGCATGTTCTGCACTCCAGGGAGGGGCACCTTCTCCCTTTGATAGAAATTTCGGCACCAAGTTGGGTGTGAAGGCCATCCAGTGGATTTCAGAGAGACTGAATGAAAACTTCCGTCAAGGTACAGTTACATTAAGTGAATTAAGTCCAATTACGTAGCTCAGACACCCAAAGTGAAATCACATCAATGTATCGATTAAATCATGTTTCAGACATTATTTTTTTTCACCAGGCCGCGTGTTTGCCAACTCACCGGATACGGCGTGTGTGCTCGGCCTCAACAGGAAGGTCATCTCCTTCAGCCCCGTCACCGAACTGAAGGACAGGACTGATTTTGAGTAAGCAATCTTTTTTTTGCCATATGATAAGAGTGCATTATTGCATTATATGCATCATAAGTCTAAATAAAATCTGATTTCATTTTTTTTTTAGGCACCGGGTGCCGCTGGTGCATTGGTGGATGAATCTTCGTCCGTTGCTAAAAATGTTGGCCAAGTACCAAACCAGCTTCTGTGAATATGTGCCTGGAGAGATCGAACATGTGACTCGGCGCTCCATCAGCATTGACCATGGATTCTAGGTTCTCTGACACTGCGAGATCCTCGCAGACTTCATACTTCACAAGTGTTTTTTAACCCACTGCAATGCATGTTAACTGGACTGAAGAATTTAAAGGAGAGTCAGCATTCTGAAAAGTATTCATACATCCAAAGAGGAGCAGGTTTTTCTATTACTGCGATTCCAATGAAGCCTCTGAAGCCAAATCAATGCAATAACAAGAGACTCAGGTGTGCCACCAAGCTAAAACTCCTATGATTTACTACTGAATGTATTATATCAAAGCAAATGTATGTGGTGTGTGTCATGGAATATTATATGAACAAGAGGGAACCTTAAGTAAAATGTGTGTGTATAATCCATGTTACCCTGCTAAAATGGAAAGCTACTAAATATGTTTAGAGCAACTCTATCATCAGATTTAAGTGTTGTAATGTGTGTGTGATTTGAGATTGTAAAATTCCGTTCAATTTGCACGGTGTCAGAATATAAATGACTTATGGGACCAGTGAGATGGTTATTTCATTGTATTTATACACTGTGTAGGAAACACTGCTCATTAATTAAGAACAAGAATGAGTGGATACACAGTGTAATAGAAGTAACTACTTCTGTCCTTCGAACAGAGGTATCTGTAAGAGATCTGAATGTTGTGTATTGTTTTGATAATGCTGTATCTGATTAAATGTCATTCAACAGTAACACTGTTAGTAGTACATTCTTTGAAACGTGTAAAGCGCTATGGAAAGAAGATATCATCTTTAACAAGGCCAAATACCATTTAACAGAACAATGCTTAAACGTGACTTCAGTTTTACAACCATGAACCCTTACCTAAGAGACGTGTCGTCAACCAAGAAAATAAGCAACAAACTGCTTTAAAAACACTAACTCAGCATTTCAGACATCTGTCATCGATTCCTCAAAAGTTGAATGAAAATGGGAAATCCTCCCTGGTGTCCTCTTTGTCGGTTGTCCGAGGGTTTTGGGATGGAAAGGGAAACTTGAAGGCTTCACTTTGCTCTGGTTGTCCAAACAGGAACTCCGGGCCTATAAATTGATTGACAGTACGTACCTGCAGCGCTGAGCGGATAATACACATCACAACAAGAGCGGGATTTCACTTAATACATACAGGTTGAAGACTTCGGTTCTGAGTTTTTCTGAAAAGATCGAGACACACACAGTAGTTTAGTATTCTGTTCCAGTAGCACCTCGTGAAAGGAAAATGGTTTACAATAGAAAGGTAGTACCTTCTCGTTGAAAAGGGGGCAGGTAAAAGCGAAAGGAGACTCCTGCAAAGCAACTTGGAGGTCATTCCAAAACAAATTTAGAAACAAATTTCTGTCAAACTTTTTCCTTTGGCTCAATGCTCACCTCCTCCTGAGAAGAGCCGCGGTCAAATCCGAACCCAGAGAAGGCCAGCGTGCTGGGATCAGAGTTCAGGGAGAACAGGAAAGCTGGAGATTTGGTATCGGAGGTGCCTTGACGTGGTGGGCTGGCAGGGCTAAAGCTGAAAATGCACCAGTGACACAGTTCTCACCGGCTGGCTTGACAGGGATTCTTCAAGTCAGATAAAGCCTTACGTAAATGGGAAGGTTGGGGACGGAGGAACGGCTGTCATTTCCACCGGGGCCGACTGGGGATTTCTGTCTTGAGATGACGGAAAAGCAGCGAGTCCCTCATTGTCCTCTTCGCTCTGTGCCTCCTCCTCACCGATGGCTACTTCCTCCACCTCGACCTCGACTGCCTGTTGCGCGGCTGACGCTCCGGATTGCTGTTCATGTACATAAAACACCTCGAGTGGTAAAGCATTCCCAGCAGGGCGAGTTGAAATGTCTAAAATGTGCCACTTAAATCCATATTTAAATTTCAATATGTGAAAACAACAGATTTACGGTTACACTGGACCATGTGATCCGTTTGTCCCATCAGCGGTCATACTTTGGTAGAGAACGGTTTACTCCATAAGGTTGGGACACTAGTAGAGACAGTCTATGTATAGTGAGACAATACCAAGACGTGGTCCTCTTGTCTAGATTCCTCCCCATCGTGCTTGTTGCTGTGCATCTCATCTGGCTCTCTTTCCTCTGCAGAAATAATGGGTTTAAAATGGACGTAAATATCCAAACTTGACACCACTTCCCTCTACTTACCGCCCAACGGTTGGCATGACCACGGCTCGTTGTCTTCCTCTGCAGAGGACGGGCGGCAGACGGTAGAATACTGCACCTTGTTTTCCTGACAAATGTCCTGCCTTGCCTCTACAGAAGTTGGATTACCATTCTGAAAGTTAAATGAAAACACGTCTTAATGACCCGAGCTTTATGAAATAGGCTTTACGTCCAGCATACGAGGGTTTGCCTGGAAATCCACAATGACTTCATGTGATTTGAAGTGCTGAGCTGGCGGTTGTCATGGATGCACCATGTGATTGTTTGGCATACCTGCTAAAGGTACGCATCTTCCTTGGTGATTGTTACGAGTCCACTTATGGGATTGCAATCTGCTTGTTTAAAAAATGGTGACTGACTGTTGTGGGCAGTGGTTTGTGTCGAGGGGAAAAAAGCCATGTGAGAAATGCATTCATGACCACAGATGTTAGATCAATTCATCTGAAGCTATTGAGGCAGGAGATTGTATTTAATTGTGGCACAGGAATTATGCGCGAGTCCTTGAACCACTGCGGCACGTTGACACACGGAGGCGTTGAAAATGTTAGTGAACAATGAGCCGCTGGTTTTACTGTAGTGGGTGCAGCTAGACTGATGCACTTCCATCGGGAGGGATGTGAGGTAATTACTGTGGGACCAGAGACATTTTAGGACTCTAAAGGAACTCATGGATGCCATGGAGGTCACTGTCAATATCAGGCCATTTCACAATGGCAAAAATTTGCCAGCTTTACAAATCTGTTGGCCTTTTTTCAATATGTACGAGTACCTTTGTCTGGTCAAGATGAAGAGAAGAGATGTCTATTGATGAATTGCTCTCCTCCTCCATCTCCGTATCAAGTTGTTTCTCTGGTTCTGCTGTGGGCGGCTGACCTGCAACACTAGGAAGAGAAGTGAATTAAGATCAGTTTAATGTGTCATTATTCTGTCTTTGAAATTGGCTTGGCGATACCTGGCATGTAGTTTCTCAGGGAGAAAAGAATTGACGGCTGGACCTGGTCAAGGAGACATTTAATTAACTGCATCACGAATGGTAAATATTTCCGCTCCACCAGAGCAAAGTCTGAGGATATAAAAAAAACGTATTACCAGTGAGTTGATCCAGCTTCTTCTGTCTCATTGTAATTTGATCATCACAAGCCCTGATCCTAAACTCAATCTCCTCCTTTTCAGCCTGCAGCGTGAGGAGCTTTTGAGCTAAAGGATTTTTGCAATAATATTCCTTATGCGACTGGAAAGTCTTCCTGCAGCTCGCCAGTCTCTCTTCATGGACATCCCTTGTTAGGTTACGAAAGAAAACCTTTGTTGTTAACACGAAACAATACGAGATGCAATGCAGCACCACAGGCGGGTGAACTCACAGGTCGTGGTTGTAACTTGCTTTTCTGCCCTCCAGCTCTGCTTTCAGCGTCTGCTCGTACTGAAGCAGCAGGGTGTTATTCGCCTTCATGCTGAAGGTACGTGGATGAAAAGCAGTAACATACGTCAGTCCCGTGTTACGTCACATGTCAAATGTGTTGTAGTCGTCATACCTTTTAGCATTTGCTTTGTTACGTGTCACAGTGATCTGCTTCGCCCTGATTTCCTCCTCAAGTGTTTGGATATTTCTGTGGATCGCTTCGATGGACGACCTCCTCTCAGCAGCGTCAACTCTGTAAACTGTGGACAGAAATGCGAGGCCTTGATGGACACCAGTTCACCAGGTACGTGACATCACAGCGTTTACCAGTTCACCAGATATGGTGATTTTTAGCTCGTTAGTCAACGTTAGTTAGGTTGAGACACAGGTGACGTTACCTTTAATCTGTTGGTTGATTTCATTCTTCTTTTGGGAAAGCTCCCTCGTCTGGAGAGCTATCAACACACAAACAATACAAACCGTCATTATGTTTAAAAGAACGCACACCCAACGTTAGTTATGTTATTATTATTATTATTATTATTAGTAGTAGTAGTAGTAGTAGTAGTAGTAGTAGTAGTAGTAGTACACACATAGCACATATCCCCTCACCTCAGTTCTCACTACCGTTTAACGTTTTCTACCGTTAATAATGATTAGCTATCCGTTAGCCAAGTAGCTAACGGTAAACGGGCGGTGAAACGTCACATTTTCGGGCGAAGGAAACATCAACTGACGACAGACTAAAGTGTAAAAGTACCAAAGATTCAATAACGCAACTCACCAAACTGAAAAACCAGCCTGTCAATGGTATTAAGTGAAAATTGGTCGTTCATATTGTCACCAGCTTAAACCCTGAAGAGCTGACAGCGGATCAGAAATCAGAAACCAGCGAACGCGCCACGAAGCCCCGACAGATAATTAGGCAACGCGCATCAACCTGTCGAATAGATGTTAATTAAAATCATTTTAATTATTATTTTTTTTGTGTATTTTACAATACTTTAAAAACGTTGCAGAGTTTTTAAAGCAACCCAAGTTAATAAAAGCACACTGCGGTCATTTTAGGTACTAACGTTATATACACATCTGGGAAGCTATAACACGTTTTAATAATAATCTAACTCAAAAGCAAATAAAACATGTTACTCAACAAAAAGTACAGAAGTATTAACAGCAACGTTGCCAAGTTATCATACAGATTGGCCCATTTCAAAGTGAAATATTTTGCCAGCAAATAAATACATTGGTGTCTAACGTCGATCGGTTAATGCATCATATTTTACAAATACATCTTTTGTAAATTGTCGAAAATATTTTATATTTATATGTAGATCAATATGTATGCATTAATTTGATTGCTGATGTGAATTTTTATATTGGGTTGTTTTCCCACATAGTTTCCTCGGGGGACAGATGTGCACCCCCGCCATGTTATAAATCTTCGTGACGTCAGGAACATGACGCTTCTGGATTGGTGTGGCCCGGTTGGAGGGGCGGGGTTAGCGCCTTGCTGGAAACACAGCGCTGTGATGTGCGCGCTCCTGCATTGTGCCGCACAAATGCACTGATTAATCCGCACTCGTTACAGTTTAACTGCCCGTTACTCGTCCAAACCACCGAAGGTAAGAATACAGCTCAATTTCAGCGCTATTTGGGGGACATTTTTTTCCGTCTGTATTTTAGTCGTCTGCAGACAAAAGAGCGGACGTGGGTGGGATTTAAATGGGAGGGGATCAGCTGTGTGAAGAATGGGTCGTCGATTTCATCCGCTCCCATCATTTCTGGAAATCCGTATTCGTCTATGAATTGTGTAGGTTTCTCCTTCGATGTGTCTGTAAGGGCGGTGGGGTTAACAGACTGGACCCCCTGAGAGTTAATAGCACATCGGTGCCCTGTCATGCAAAAGAGAGAGAGATAAGCCCCCCCTTTTTTGGACAAATCAATGACGCTTTGTTTGTTATCTATATAGAGCGATTTAGTCTTTAGATGCTCACGTGATCTCATTAGATCAAAGATGATGTGATATTTAGATGATTTCTTTTTTATTATTATCAGTCGTCATCATCACTCAAGCAGTGACTGTGCAGAATCTAGGCCAGAATGTGCATTATTGTGCCTGTATAAAAGCAACGCCACTATACATAACGCCTCTCCCGCTCTCTCAATGTGTGTGTGTGCTTTTGTTTCTTTGCTGTCAGCTGGAAATCTCCCTCACATTGAACACTTACACATAATGGGTGGACACAGGCTGTGCTGCTCCGCACGTCACTATTAGTCTCCACATAAGCCATCCGAAAGTATCCTACAAGAGAGTGTTTGGTGGCTCCGGGGACAGCATGGCACAGGTGGAGGAGCCTCAAACCGAGGGAGAGGGAAGCCCCCAGACCATCTCCTTAAGATCAGAGGTATCGGGGAACCACGTGGACGACGGAGACGCGGGGCCTTCCGTCAGGAGGAAGAGGAGGAAGAAGAAAGACCCGCGTCCGGAGTCCATTATTGTTTACCGCTCTGAGATGGAGAGGGCGCCGGGAGAGGACCAAGACGTTGAAGAGGGACCAGAAAGGAGCTCGGAGGAGGGAGCGAAATTTCTCTGCACGCCTACTGGCGAAGGTGAGAGGGAACAACTTCTTGCTCGCCTTCCTTTGCTATTTCTAAATTTGCCATTGTGTAATTTTCTCAACTTGTGCTACCTCTCCACAGGAGAAGGATGGAGTCTTCCTCCAGACAGCCGCTACGTGACCCTGACGGGCACCATCACCCGGGGGAAGAAGAAGGGCCAGGTCGTCGACATCCACCTCACTTTGACGGAGCGGGAAATCCGGGATCTGGCCAAGTCGAAGGAACGCCTCGACGCAGAGTGCGAGGCCGGGGACGGCGGCAAGCGCACCTGCAGTTTAGGCGTGTGCCACGGACCCCACGTCGTCCTGTGGAGCCTCTCCTGCGCCCCTGTCATTTTCCTCCTCTCCTTCATCACCTCCTTCTACTACGGCACTCTGACCTGGTACAACGTCTTCCTGGTGTACAACGAAGAGCGGACCTTCTGGCACAAGATCACGATATGCCCCTTCCTCATCATCTTCTACCCCATGCTCATCATGCCCGTGGCGCTGTCGCTGGCGCTGTACTCCGCCGTGGTGCAGGTGTCCTGGGCCTTCAGCGAGTGGTGGCAGGACGTGAGGGACCTGGAGAAGGGCTTCTGCGGCTGGGCCTGCGGGAAGCTGGGACTGGAGGACTGCTCCCCGTACAGCATAGTGGAGCTGCTCGACTCGGACACCGTCTCCGGCACTCTGCACAGCAAGGCTCCCAGTGAACTCGCCCAGACGTCCTCGGTGTGAATTTGGGACTTAAATGCCAGAACGTTTTAGTCAGTCCCGGTGAAGCACTTGAAATCTGTTTACTTTTCTGTAAATGAAAACCAAACACTGCCTGATTTGTCCTGAAATGCTGAACTGTGTATTATTTTGTAAAACACTATTGGATCAAGATCATTCTAGATGATTCCCTTTAGCGTGGGAGTGGAAATGTTCATGTAAGTTATTTTTCAATCACTTATTCCTACGCATGACCTTGTAAATACAGGTAGGTTTAGATTAACTGGCGGTGGTCATTCATTTGACGCCTGAAAGTCAAACCAAGTTTACCTTCATCTGTAAATATCTGTAACTAAGTGTGATCACTCAGCTGTGCACTGAAATCAAAATTTCTGTGTTGTATGTGAAGCCATCATAATCACTCTGTCATGTTGTAGTGGAAGTGAGGCTGGATTAGTGACTGTAAAAAGTTAGCAACTGACCCAGTGGATTTTATCGGGAATAGACAATATACGCACCTTACCATGGGCAGTTTTTGTCAGCATGTAGTTTTGAGGATACGGATGGCATTACTTTATATTTTTCCAAATGAACAACATCAACAATGTGCCTCATTGATGTGTTTTAATGTGTATGGCTCAGTGGAATAAGCTACGTCAAGCTTTTGATACATAGGAATAACATGCTGGAAACATTAATCCAGCGGTGATTTTTTATGGGTTTTGTTGAAAATAAGAAAAATATAGAATATTACCAGTCTTATCCTTTTATAACTCTGTTATTGTGGATGGTATTGTGCTTACATATGGCATATTCCAAAAATTAACTGTATTTCATCAGGAAATAACCAGCGATTGGGTACTTGTTGGTGTCTGGGCATCTAGGCTGATTAAAATCATGCCGCCATGTGTTGCTGCTGATGTCTTCTGTACTGTATCTGTATATGTGCGTGACAGAGTACAAAAAGAGAGAGGAAGTGGAATCAATAGGGGCCCACGGCAGGTAAAAACAGTCACGATTTGAAGCCATAGTCAGGACAAGATGAAACATTTGGTGAAGTAACATGTTTCATGTAATCTAAGGCTCCATTCACATGCTATGTGATTTCAAAGTACTGGTTTTGTTCTCACAATTTATTTTCCCACGTGAGCGAAACAGTTCACTGTAATTTTCTACCTTTTGACTGGTGATTTAATTTATACATTTCTAATATTTAAGTCTAGTTCAACTCATGAAATTGTACTACCTAGCTGATTTACTCTGGAATTTTGAAGTAAATGTATTGCAAACAGCCAACATGCACCGGTTGTAATGCATGGCTGATGGAGCTGGTTTAAATAGATCAGATTCAATCATTCTGACGTTTATATTCAGAACTGACTGGCTGGGGTAATTCATCAGTGTTTGTGGATTGAGTCTGTATTCCACATCACATGTTGTGAAACATGCAAATAAAAAGAAATACACAAATTAAATAAAGTGTTATGTCTTTACATCAAAACTATGTGAACATTTTTTCCTCTCTATTGGGGAAAACAAAAACAGCAGGTCGATGATCTTGGTGTGACTCATTATGTCTGGGAAAAAAGCATACATCCCAGCATGGTCCTAACCAATGCAGATGGCTTTCTGGGGTTTGGGGGATGTGATTATTGGCACCCCAGTGTGACACTGTGAGGCTTACTGAAGAAAATCCATATGTCCCAAAACAGTATAGAGATAAAAACACAGTCAGGGTTAATACGTATTTACAAACCTGTAGAGATCCGTGTGGTATGGTCTGTTTTTGTTAAATTAATTTTGAAACAATTTAAGGTTAAAACAACACAGACTGTGGGTCCCATTTGTTTGGGAGTGGGGGATTTGTGTCATGAGTGTATTTTTGTATTATTAATGTACGCATACAATAATCTCTGCATACTTATACATTCATTTTATAATATATTTTTTCATTACTCATTTATTTATGTGTCATAGCATTTGACCTCGTTATTTCAGAATTCCCTGCTACTGCGATGCACTTTGCCAAGACTCGACCCGATTTGCATCACAGCACATCCTTATTTTCACCGCGCGCACTGTGCCATCTGAAGCGCTGGGGGGCGTTTGACCTACATCCCACCGTTACATATCATTTCATTGCATTGACTCGTCTCAAGCTCTAGAACACATCACAGACTGACACAATCTGTCGTTAAAACAGTCGTACACTCATTTATGATGAGCAGCAGAACAGTAACACGTGTGATGATGCGTAAAATGAACGCGGAACAATTATTACTCGGTACCGGAACTACATTCGTGCTTCTACTGTTCACAGTTTCTCTTCGGAGCCATAATAGCGTAACGCAGACTTTGTAAGAGGGAAGAGAGAAAGATGGCAGGGGGCAAAGTAAGTCACTTTTTGTATCACATTTATTAAATAACTCAAGGGCCTTTGCTTCCAGTTTGTTACCTTATGTTTACTGCTTTGAACGTAAAGCTTCTAAACGTTGGAAAGAAGTAGTTCTCAGTCACTGGGTCGTTGAGATGTTGAGACCGAAGCTGTCGCTGTCACGCCATTAAATGCACACGAAACATCATGCAAACTCAATCCATCAGTGCGTGTTGTGTTAACGTTTAAGCGCCTTAGATAATACATGTTGATGAATGAACGATGGTTTCTGGTATCGTTGCAGGCCGCGTTGGTGTTGTGTATGGACGTTGGGTTCTCCATGTCCAACTCGGCCCCGGGTGAAGAGTCCCCTTTTGAACTTGCCAAAAAAGTCATCCAGAAGTTTGTCCAGCGCCAGGTAAACTTCTACCACACAACCCCCCCCCCCCTCCCAATAAAACATCTTTTAGAATAATAAATAAAAATCTATAAAAAAAAAAAACCCTTCTCTGACAGGTTTTTGCAGAAACCAAAGATGAACTGGCTTTAGTCCTGTTTGGCACAGACTCCACCAAGAACTCCCTGGACCGGGACGGCCAGTACCAGAACATCACCGTGCATCGTCATCTCATGGTGCCCGACTTTCAGCTTCTTGAGGAAATAGAGAATGAGATCCACCCAGAGAGTCAGCAGGCAGATTGTATCCTTTTGCCTACTTTTCTTTGTAGTTAACATTGTGGTGTATATGTGTGCAGGCTGCATCCAACGGTACTTAAGGTTTTACAGTGGCAGATTTGGTACAATAAAATACAAAGATGAATGTTTTGAGATTATTTTGATCAAACTTGCTTGGTTGTTATATTATTATTATTTTGTCATTACTGTGGCATCAATGAACATTTTAAGTAACTTTTTGACATATTTAATTTACCGGACCTGCGAAAGCTGACAATCCTGGATTCTTGTTTTAGTAAATAAAATTAATGGTTTTCCCCCAATAATATTCTATGACAACATGCCTTGTATTTATATTTTGATATTTTTGATGTTGTTCATGCATCAGATCCTGTTTGTGTGCAGCTACATCCCAGATGATTCCTCCTTAACTCCCACTCAACAGGGCTGGATGCACTTGTTGTGTGCATGGATCTCCTTAAGACAGGAACACAGTAAGAAGCTGCCTGTATTGGTCACATCATTCTCACCATTCGCAAAAAAAACAAGCTGATGTCCATGCACTAGAATGTCAATTTTGCTGGGGGGGTTATTGTTCCATCAATGATATGACACTGTGTTTGGGGATCTTTTCCAGGGGGAAGAAGTGTGATCGTGTCAACATTTCCCTCCTGACTGACCTCAACACTCCGGCCAACTCAGAGCAGCTAGACGTTATCATTGAAAACCTGAAAAAAGCAAACATCACCCTGCAGTTTTTGTAAGCTTCAAACACATTCACAAATATGATACAGAATCTACTGATAATGAATTAAATGTACAGCATTATAATGGAGCAAATTGTGTGGTAGATATTTAATTTTCACCAACAATTTGTTATTTTTAAAGAAACCTAGCATGCTACACACAGGTTTTAATTTAAATAGGAACACAAACTTGTTTTTTCATCTTCCTCATACTCAGTGAAGTAATTAGAAGTCAATCTAGACATAACGGGCCTTCGGACTTCGATCAAGCCTTCAACGTTGAACTGGTAAAGCACATGTGTAGTGTAGTTTCATGACATTAACTCATTCCTCTGCATGCTCCCTTCCGCCAAACCGACCTCAGCTTGCCTTTCCCCGCGGAGGATGACGAAGAGGATGGAGGAGATGCGGACAGAAGAAGCCCTGGTCGCCCGGGCACGGGCAAAGGTCTGTCGAGGGAACAGCAGAGCGGCCTCGACATGGTGAAACACGTCATGCTGACCCTCAACGAGGAGGACGGTCTGGATGAAATCTACTCCTTCAGGTTGATTCCTTTCTTCTATACATGCGTGTTTCTCTCTTAATAACGTGGCGTTTTTTACACTTCAAATAAATATAAGGCCGTTATCGGATCGGGTCACATGACGTGGATTTTCCTGTGCTTCACTCCCGCTTGTAGGAAGGCGGTAGAGCAGCTGTGCATGTTTAAGTGCATCGAGAAGAGACCGACGGCGTGGCCCTGTCTGCTCACCATCGGCAGCTGTCTGCCCATCCGCATTGTTGGATACAAAGCAGTAGGTTTACTGTGAGACACGCTGGACGAATATACACTGCATGTCTCATACAAAGCCAGATAAAAGTCTGCAAACTAAAAGTAGTTTACAGATTGTGTTTAACAATCTGTAAATGTTTCTGTGACTTCCTGTGTATTCTTTGAAGGCTGCTGAAAACTCACCCACAGCTTTTGTCACATTTTTTAAACACCCGGCGCCGTCGCGCTTCCTCTACGGGGCCGCCTAGTTAACACGAGCAGAAAGAAACCTGGAGCGCAACACTCACTGCGGGGGCGGGGCTTCCTTCTCCGCCTCCAGGTGACCGAGGAGAGGCTCAAGAAATCGTGGACGACAGTTGATGCTCAAACCAACCAGAAAGACGACGTGAAGAGAGAGACCGTCTACTGTCTGGATGACGACAATGAGACGGAGGTGCAAAAAGACGACACCATCCAAGGTGAGCCAATCGAATGAGCTCAGACTACTTCTAATTACCACTTTCTGACGCTCTAATGAAATCGCGTTTGTTCACAGGTTTTCGTTACGGAAGTGACATCGTTCCCTTCTCCAAAGTAGATCAAGAGCAGATGAAATACAAGCACGATGGGAAGTGCTTTGCTGTCCTCGGCTTCACCAAGCAGAACTTGGTATGATGCTTCTGTGCGTGGCGTGAACCCCAAACCTTTTGAGACCGCGCCACGCTTCACTTTGTTCACCGTCTCCCCGCAGGTACGCCGCCATCACTTCATGGGGACTCAAGTCATGAAGGTGTTTCCCGCCAAGGAAGACGAGGTGAGAACAGAAAGGGGGGGAGACACGGCACGTTGCCGGTGACTTTGCGTTGATACTCACCCGCTTCTGTTTGAGCAGCATGCCGGAATTGCGCTGTCGGCTCTCGTCCGGGCGTTAGACGGACTCAACATGGCGGCCATTGTACGCTACGCCTATAACAGCATCAGCAGCCCTCAAGTAGGAGCGGCCTTCCCCTGCATCAAGAAGGACTATGAGGTGAGATCAGAACAAAGCTCACCGAAGGGTCAGTGTGGAGGATTTAGCAGCATCTGGCTTTGTAGTTGCGGATTGCAACCAACTGAATACCCCTACTCGCACCCCTCCCTTTCCAAGACTGAAAATATATTCCATGTCTGCTATTAGATCCTCCACCCTGGACCTTTATAGTGTCTAGTAGCACAGAGGCTAATGTTGTGTGTCTCTCACCCTCATAGTGTCTGATCTACGTCCAGCTGCCCTTCATGGAAGACCTCAGGCAGTTTACATTTCCTTCTCTCGAAAACAACAAAAAATTCACTCCGTCAGGTACAAAACACCAGTTCATAGCCAGTTAATATGCGGCGCAAGCTGTGCTTCTTCCAACAGAAAAATCAATGAGAAAACCTCAGTGAGGGACTGAATGGATATTGTGCGTTTCCTCTAGACAAGCAGCTGTCTGCCGTGGACTCTCTCATTGACTCCATGATGCTGGTAGAGGAGGAGGGCGACGATAATGGAGACCAAAAGGACATGTTTAAGGTGCACCACCTTCCCAACCCTGCCTTCCAGAGGCACTTCCAGGTACTGCTGTTTCACAGATACAGTATGAGGCAGTTAGTAAAGTTTTTTTTTTCTGACCTAGAGCTTCACCAGCTGTTCATATTGAACCAGGATTGCGTCTTTCTCGCTCACTGTCTCACCCAACCGTTTTGTTCAGTGTCTGCACCATCGGGGGGTGAGCCCCGGCGCCCCTCTCCCCCCCATGGAGCCCTGGCTGAAGGCCGCCCTTGAACGCCCGCATGTCATTACTGAACGTTGCCGGGGTCCACTCGAGGAGGTGAAGAGGACGTTTCCTCTCACAGAGGTGGAGAAGAAGAAGAAGCTGAAGACAAGTGCACAGATATTTGGGAAAGAGTGAGTTACAGAGAGAAATGTTTGTCACGTAGTGCTCAAAATCTTCATTGTAGAAGATTGTGTGAAATAATTCAGAAGGTCGTAAGTGATTTTCTTGCCATTCACAGCTCTGAGGAGCCAGATGCCAAAAAGGCAAAAGGAGACGAAGAGGAGGAGGAGGAGGATGACTACAACTTTGCGGACATTGCCGAAGGGTCTGTTACTTCGGTGAGAATCAGGGGAGATGATTGCATAGAAATCATAGAGAGCGGACCAATCTCTACAAAAATCAGTTAGTCCGTATAAAGTCCTAAATTTTGTATTCTTATTTCTTTTTGTTTTTAACATTTTAAACTCTCAACCAGGTGGGAAGCGTGAATCCAGCCAAAGACTTCAGGTTGTTGATCAAGAAGAAGAGCCTACCATTCGGGGAGGGTGAGGATTTTTTTTCTCCTTTCTTTTCTGTTTGTATTATAAAATATTGTGACTCATGTTCGGTTCTTGCAAATTGTGTTTCTCTTTTGTTTGCTTGTGGTGACCCCCGTGTCCTTCCCAGTCTGTCAGCAACTGACTGGGAGGATAGAGCAGTTGCTTGGCAACAAGAACACACCGTACTACATGAAAAGCATCACCTGTATCCAGGCCTTTAGAGAGCAGTCTGTTAAGGTAAATAAACACTTGCTATCTTTCATTCAGGCAAATGCAGGGATGTGGTGGTTTCTGGTGGTAGTCTGTCATATTAGCAGAACGCACAGTTTGGGTTTTCCTATGGAGATGATAAAGAGTCAATCTGAGAAGATTATAATGAGCCCGTTTAAATTCTCACAAATGAAGTCCAACGTCAGTTCTTCTGTTAGTAAATGTACGAGGAAGTTAGCTTTTAGGTGACTCATAAACGGATTTTGAATGATTCATATTTCTGGTAATTCAGCTGGGGGAGGCCAATCTGTACAACGGCTACCTCCAGTCCCTAAAGAGAAGCATCCCAAACAGAGGGCTGGAGGTCTTCTGGGAACTGCTGGTTCAAGGTTTGATAAGCTTCTCTACTCGCGGCCGCAGGATTTTCTCCAAATCATTTCTCCCTTGAGATGAGAATTTCCACATCATTTCCTGGGAGCAAAAAAATAAATAATAATAAAAAAGTAAATAATGCAAAAGTGGGAGCTGGTAGATGCTTAAAATGTGCTGCCGGCTGAATCACAAATCTGCTCAGAGGCGTTTTGGGCTTATTTCTTGTTGTTTGATTGACAGATGCTATAACTCTGATCAGCAAGGACGAGGTTGAAGGAAGCACAGTATCCAAAACCGATGCTGATCAGGTGACTCCCCCATTTAAACCAGTGTGAGCTGTTGATAAAAATGTGATATTTAGACTCTACTCCTACTGACTGAAGCATATTTTGTGTCCTCAGTTTCTGGTTTCTGAGGAGAAGAAAGAGGAGGCGGCCGCTCCGCCAGTTGAAGATACCGGAGATGTTGATGACTTGGCAAGTGTGATTTATTTTATTCTGACCTCTTCAGGTTTTAGATATTTAACCGAAGTCTGCAAAACTTGTTGTTCAGACCATTTCCTGTGTTTTTAGGACGGGCTAACGAGACCTTCCTTTTTAACCTCCCAGTCTTACATCTGGTTTTCCCATCTCTTCCTGTGCAGCTGGACATGATGTAACAGTGGAAGCAATGGGAGCGTCTGCAGAGGGACAATAATACAATCCACAGACCAAAACAAATTCAGCCGTCCATTGTTCTGCCTCCCACTTTTGGACCCTTGATACAGCAATGCTAAGGAGCTACATTCGGAATAAAACGGTGTTTGACTTCACCAATGCCTGTACCAAGGTTGTATACTCTAATAATTGTCTTTAGTACTTTCATATTGTATGTTGAGGGCTTTAAATGTATTTTTTTTATTTGAAATAATCTCCTGTTCCAATTCCATGAAAATTTCAGTATTGGACAATTGGGTGCTTTAAATCTAGAGAACGTCTTAATGCTTAACTTGTACTTTTGATTTATGTATAACAAAACATGCCGAATAAAGTTTTCCTTACAAATGTGACAAAGCACAATGCCATTGGGTCATTTGCAAATTGCACAGTGCACAAAAGAATCTTGGTAAACCAGTGTGAAAATGCAGGATTAACAGCAGTGCGACCGGTATGATGTCGGCGTCCACGTGGTCTGTCTTCAACACACCCACTGGATGAAACGGTCGAACAAACTGGACCGGGCCAGATCAGACAAGTCTTTTCCTCTAAAGATGGCGTCCTTGTCATCCATGGCCAGCTTCAACAGGACTTCTTGGTTAACGTCACTTCTCGTGGCTATCACCGTGGAAACCACCTGTTCCCTGCGCATGGCGCTCACGGCCTCGTCCAGGTTCTCGCTGTCGGTGACGCCGTCTGTGATGAAAACAAACGAAACCTCGGCGTTGGGCCTCGTCTTGCGACCTCGCCCTCTACTAAGGATGTTGTCGATGGCGTAGGTGATGGCGGGCCCGACGCTCGAAGACGAATCGAAATAAGGCAAGCGCGAGATGCCGTCGGCGATGACGGCGCGGTCGTGTGTGAGAGGAAAGGCCACTTTGTTCTCGACCTCCCTGCCAAACGCTACCAACGCCAAGCGGGCTCTCATGGGGTCGGTGCCGCTGCCGGCCAGGGCCAATTTATCCGCCACCTTCTGCACAAATTCACGGACCAGCCGGAAATTCTCCAGGCCGAGGCGCTCCGAGCCGTCCAGCAGAAACACCAAATCCACCGGCCGCTGGACGCACGCAGATATATCGGGCTCTGTAACGAAAGAAAGCCGGGTCATTCACCGAGCTGCGATTATGCCATCGAACGAACCCCCTTCGGCGCGAGCAACACCTACGGCTTTTGCAGGGGAGATCGGGGCACACCATCACAGGTTCTGGAGGGGAAACCAAAAGGGAGACATTTAGAGAACCGCTCAGAAGTTCCAGTGTGGTCTTCCCACTGCGTGTACCACTGGCGCGGGGCTCACCGGGACAGAGGACATTCTCCATCGTGTTGGTGAAGACCTCGGACACCAGGTCGACGTAGCGACTCATCTCGATGACGCGCTCCTTCTTGTTGCACGCGATGGAGTCCAGGATCTCGTTATCCTGGGTCTTGTCGAACATGTCGCCGACCCCGATGGCATTGACCACCACGTCGTTGTCGCAGAGGTACTGGAGCAAGTTGTCGTCGTCGCGCGGGTCGAAGCGGCCGTCTGTGATCACCACCACAGACACTTTGGCTTCGGCTCTCTTGCCGTCCCTGATGAGGTTGTCGTAGGCAAACTTTAGGGCCGAGGGCGTGAAGGTGCCGCCGGCTATCCACTGCAGCTGCTTCACCGCCGCTTTGAAGGCCGACATGGAGTTGATGTTGGGATCGTCGAGACGGATGGCCTCGAAGGTCCCGTTGTGACTGAATTGAACGACTCCGACTCGTGTGCCTGGAAGATGTAGACATCAGGTAGGAGCAGAATTAGACATATCAAAGGGTGCTCTTTAAATCCTTGTTGTAAACAGAAATACCAAAACTAAAAATGTATACTTTTTTGGTAATTCAAGTGTAAACTGTAAAAGTTGTCAGTGACAACTTTGAATAATACAAACATTGTGCTGTTAAGACTCTTTTTAAATTTGCTGCAGGATGTGGTTGACGGAACAAGCTCAGAAATTAACCAAAGTATCCATGGATGATTTACATGTTACTTATTTCCTAATTGTTAGACTGCCTAATGAATTAAATCGTGGGTTTGCACACAAAGTTGTTCCCCAAATAAAAAATGGTCCGTTGGTCAAATGTTGATTGTAAGAAATTCTATATCTGTAACCTTATTCATAAATGTGTAGTAGGTGCTTCTCAGAAAAATTCAATCAAAAAATTTAAAAATGCTTACAACAAGAAGTTGTCATGTGCACTGGTCCCACTTTACATGGCTGAATGTATGCAATGCTGACAAACTCCTTACTCGTTACTGTGCAGTCACAGGATCGATGATGCCTGTAGTGACGCCTTTCTCCACATATTTGGGCTTTAACTGTATAGTCAGTGGTGGATTAAGGGTGTTACTTTTTTGGAGACGGCTAATCTCTTGCGGCACCCTCTACTTCCTGTCACTTGATGCCGTGTCTGCAGAGGGATTTGCACGGGTGTCTGCTCGGCGTTTTTGACTGTACCGCTTGGCGACGTGGGGTCGCTGGCCATCGATCCCAACCGGTTGATGGTGTTGATAACAAAGTTCTTTTCCAGGGTGAAGTTTGTCAGCCCGACACTCTCGGAGCTATCAATTACAAATACGATGTCCAGAGCTCCACAGTGCTTCTCACAGTCTGAGACAAAGGACGAGAAGCGGATCAGTGTGTTGAAAGATACCAAACAACGGAGGTCTTTGAGCGGCAATATTTACCACAGCAACCGCACGTCTCCCTGATGTAAGTCATGACATCACAGTCCTGCAGTGAGAGGTGTGGATGTTTCAAGAATTACAATCAAAGTAATCTAATTACTGTAAACTGCACTGCCTTCTGAAGTTGACTTACGTTAAGCCCCGGATCCCCTACTGGTCCTGGCTCCCCCTGCACGCACACACACACACACACACACACACGGATACACAAAGACAAAGCAAAGCAGTTGCTTGCGTGGCCATGCCGTCATTATAGTCTGAGCGCTTGAGCTGTTGCTTACATCGGATCCACGATCTCCTCGGGGTCCTCTCGCCCCGGGCTCACCCGGCTGACCCGGCTCCCCCTGCAGAAGAAGCCATTTTACAGTGTTCTAAGTAGTAGTAGTAGTTATAGTTTTTTCTACAGAGGGCGAGCAGAGCATCACAAACGACAACTTGTTTTAAAAATGGTTGATTAGTTGCTGTGTGTCCAAGTGAGTACAGAACTTTGTCCAACATCTATTTACTTACAGGCCATTAATCTTAATCTAATCCCATGCTACTCATGCTGTATCCAAGGCTGGGAGCAACACACAGCGTGAATTAAATGGCTTTTTTTTGCACATCAAAAAAGCCAATTGGTGTGTTTTTCATCTACAAATGCTGGTCAGAGCACCGATTGCTCTGACTGAAACCCGATTGCACTTCAAATGGTTGTTCATTTAACTTACATAATCTCCTGGTGGTCCGTTATTTCCAGCTTCCCCTTTGGCACCACAATCCCCTCTGCCCCCCCGGGGCCCTTTTAAACCTGGATCGCCTTTGTCTCCCTGGAAAGGGCAGAGTTACTTTAGACTCGGGTGTGCAATGTGCGGGACCTTTGTGAGGTGAACAGGACAACGTACAGTGGCTCCTCTCGGTCCAGAATAGCTGAATCCCTGTCTTCCGTTGTCACCCTTTAAAAGACAAAAAATAAATCAAATAAAATCCATCACAATTTGTAAGAGCATTTTACATCTTGAAATTGATGATGATTTGACCCACTTTTGGCCCTGGTGGCCCAGAGTCTCCCCTTGTTCCAGGATCTCCGGGATTTCCTTTTGAGCCCTAGAACCGATGAGAGAGAAACCAAACAAAGTTTTTATTATCAGCGGTATATTTCACCCAAAGTTGTGAATACACCAAAAACACAAGCCGACAATAAGCGTTTTTTTCGGTGACATTGATGACGCACAATTTCTCCGGGACCACCCAGTTCTCCCGGCTGACCCCTCGGTCCTGGCAGTCCTTGGTCTCCCTGGAAGAGAAAGCACCCGTGAAATCATTACTAGAAATGACCTTCACCCACATACACTGACGTCTTCTAGTTGATGGGAATTTTGCGAATCATAAGCATTTCTTTTGCAGTTCAAATTCCATTGGATAAATGATTTTTACGATAATAAGCTCAGCTCAGGGTATCTTGGCAGCAGATCCAGTACACGAAGGCGGATCTAAATAACGATCTCTCTGCCAGAATCCTCCCATCACCTTTGCGCCCTTGAATCCGTCTTCCCCGGGCCGTCCTCTGGCTCCCAGCGGCCCCAGTTCTCCCTGAAGGAAATAAACCAGTTTGTCAGGATCCGCAAATGTCTACTAAACTTTTTATTTCACAGAATCTGATTGGAATATGCTCAATAGCAACACGGAGCGGAATCACGCTTGGAACAAAAGTGATTCCGATGAAATCACTGCGGAGGGGTTTGAAACACACGATACTCGTCTCCCTCGTGATGTTGAATTCCAGTGTTAGGTCAACAGAATCTACTCCTATGAGCTTTTAATCTCTGGAGCAGCGCTGTTTCCCATCATCATACTGCATGTTTTTTTTTTTTTACAGCACATTGCACTAAGTTGAGTGTTGAATTTCTGTAGAACTGTATGTTTTTGTGCTTCCTCTGAGCGCTGAATTTACCCGTTCTCCTTTCAGCCCATCAGGACCTGGTTTTCCCCTGGTCCCTGGGTCTCCTCTCCTTCCCTGTTGATATTTATTGGATGAGCCTTTTTTAACAAACTATGGATATCTTTCTTAAAATAATGAAATCTTTTTTAAATGAGTGGGTGTGACATACGTGCGGGCCGCTTTCTCCAGGTGTGCCAGCAACTCCCTGCGAGATTTAACACAATTGGGTCGGTTTGGTAACTTACTCAGTAATACAATACAGTAATACAGCAGAAGTAATTCAAATGACAATAAATGTTGCTCCATACAACAAAACCCTTTTCTCCTGGTGGCCCTGGATTTCCAGGATGTCCGTCTTCCCCCTGATGAACAGAGATTTTTCATTTGTGTTTTTTAGCAAAGGACAATGTTAATCTTCCTATAATGTTTTCTGTTCCGTTCAGGTCAAAGTTTACCTTTGCTCCTGGGTTTCCCTGAAGGCCAGGACGACCCGACTTTCCAGAGAGGCCTGGATTTCCCTAAAAAAACAAATGAATTTATCTTAACATATTTGCACGGATGCTCTCAGCTCCAATAACGATATATTTATAAATATAAACAGTAGCTGTGTTGGTTGATGGGTCTTTAACTTTGGTCCCAACTGAAGCATCTTCTCTGCTGTAAAAAATCCTGTGACCCGTGCAGGATTCCCAGAGGATGAATCCTGCTGACGTTGGTGATCCATTGAACTTTCCTCAAGCGCCGCCACTTAGTTGAAATGTATTTTTTTTCATGGGAAATTACCTCAAAGGTTGAGACATTCATGTCCCCCTCAGTAATAACGCCATGATGAGTTTACACTTTATGACTAAATGCCTGTGAACTGACATCTTCAGCAGCCTCAGCTGTACGTTTTATTGGGTGTGAGCAAATATTAACGCACACGCTAAACAAAGCCGGTGAACATGGTAAACATTATACCTGCGTGTCGTAGCGATCGAGCATGCATCGCGGGAAAGCACATCGGTGCTACACAGCGCTGCCGGCATGGCTGTTGTCTCTTAATCTTGTTCCTATCGGAGGATCATTTACAGCGGACAAAGATCCCAAGTTTGTTCAAACACAAACCTTTACTCCGTTTTCACCGGGTGGCCCAGGGGCTCCAAAGTCTCCATGGTAACCTTCTGGTCCCTTTCATGGACATAAACAGAAGTATACAGTAATTCAGTAAACATAATTATTACGACTCAAATGAACAATTTCATCTAATAAACATATATAATGTTAAGTAAGACAATAGTAATAACACTGGATCCATTAGCCACAGATAAACTTTCTCACCTTTCATATAAGTTCTTTACTAACCTGGTCACCCGGATCACCTTTGCAACCGGGAGCTCCAATATGGCCCATTTTACCCTGAAGAATTCCCAGAGACAACGTCATGACATCAGTGTGCTGAACAGACTAAGAGTCACTGCACACCGCATATATTTTGTCTCATGAAGACTCACCTTCTGACCGTCAGTTCCATTCCCGCCAGCTACTCCCGCCACACCCTGAGCATTCAAGTCAGAGAAAACAGAGAAATGCACGACAGTAAACAAACCGCTGATGGCGTAGCATGTGGTGGGATATACAATATGTGCAAGGACACATTAAAACACTTATCTACCTTTGCTCCGACTGTTCCGATTTCACCCTGATGAGGTAATGAATGTCCATCAATTTAGCAGAATTTCATTGAATTTCTCAGATGAATTGAAAAGCGGGAGTATAGAGGTCGCTCTCACCTTGTCACCTTTCAGACCGGTCGCTCCCTACATGAGAGCACAGAGGCGCACGTTATTAGGAATGACAAATTAGTTAACCACGAATGTGTAGCACACAAGGTCATCAAGCAGCAAACCTTTGGACCGGGTTGTCCGATTGGACCTTCAATGCCGGGATCACCCTGGAAAGTAATAAATCATATGCAGCTTTAAAATCATTGACATCAGAAACCGAATCTCTGTTATAATAACAGTAATAATCTTTGACCTACCTGTTTACCCTTTGCTCCTCTTCGCCCAGCAAAGCCCCTCTCTCCTTTTGTGCCCTTAAAATAAGGAGAAAGGACAACAAAATATTTGGCACAAGCAGAAGTATAAATAATTTCCATATTTTTTATTTAATTTTTTGGTACTCACTTTGAGACCTTCAGGCCCCGGTCGTCCAGGCATCCCAGGTGTCGCCAAGCATTTTGGCTGGTAACACTAAATGATCAAATGCCACAACAAAATCATGTAGTAAATCAACTGTAGTAAAACACGAAAACCGAGATAACGACAGGTTTGTCCCAACTTCTATAAGAAAAAGGTATGCCTTTTTAATGTCCATTTAAAATAGCATATATATATATATATATATATATATATATATATATATATATATATAATTGTTAATCATTCCTTACCTGTACATAGGCTTGATGTTTCTGCAAAAAAACAATAACTTTAAATTAAAAGTGGCCCATAGTGGTACTGTAAATTAAATGTGAATTGCATTATCAGTATGACTTCAGATCACCATAATTTGTATGATACGATCGATGGATTCGGTATTTATTTCCAGTCTCCCACCGACGATGTCCACGACCTTGTAGTCATCCCGGTACACTTCATGGAGCGGGCCGGCTATGTCCTTCATTCCAGATTCATCGACGCTCCTCGACGCGGCCACCGAGAAAATTTGGATTCCCTTTTCCCGGGCCTTATCCGCCATTTCCCTCATCCCTCCGCACGGTTCTGCCGTCACATAGCCGTCAGTGATGACCACAGAGAAGAGGACGGGCTTGGCCCCTGGGTAGTGGCTGGTTAGTTGTTGAGTCATTCTTTGGAGGGCGCAGTCGGTGTGGGTGCCTTTGCCTTCGTACACGATCCTGTTGACGTTCCTGATGAAGTTCTCCTTGGTTGTGAACGGACTGAAGACGTGCTGCGTCTCGGAGTAGTTCAGGCCTCCAATGGACCAGGACATGTGGACCCGGCTCCTGTACTCCTCGTCGAACAGCCTCTGGGCAAAAACCTTGGTGAACTCCATGACGGTTTTCACCAGGCTGCCGGGCGGGGACTCGTGTAGGGCGATGGTCTCTGAGGTGTCCAGGGTGAAAAACACCTTGATGGGACAGTCAATTCTCCCATCTGCTGGAAAGGACATTGACAAAGAAAGTTTAGTTATTTACTGCGACGTTACAAATGTAACACATGCAAGCACATTGGCTGAAGCGTTGTATTTAGGTTCTGTTTGAGGTTATTTTAGGCGTTTTCATTGCCCCTACATTACAGAGGGAAGTAGTGCATTTTTTAATAAGCAGAACTGTAGAAACTCATTCCTATGAAAGCTGCCCAGTGGCACATGAAGCAAATCAAGTTCAACTGCAGAGTAAATAATTAATATGACTGAAGAAAAATAACTTTAAATAAGAGTCGGTTTACCTAAAATTAAATAATGTGCTTATTTGCCATGTCATTTTATTCATTCTACTGAATGTGTGTTCATCTTATCTACTTTCATATGTTTTCACAATCCAAAGTTCCAAGGGTTTTACTTGTCACTGCAGGACACATTTGCAAAACGATATTTAGATTGAGGTCCCAATTCGCCTAATAGGAAAGAAACAAATAAGGAAACGTTATACGGAGGGTGATTTAAGGAGTCGCTCCGCCGGAGCAAAGAAGCTGTTTTGAGGTTTGATAGTTCAGCAGATTCCAGATGGCAGCAGGGTAAAAGGTTTGTGGCTGTGGTGGGGGGGTGGAGGGGGTCTTTTAACGGCCCCCCACAGAGCGCTTCACAGCTGCTCTTCTTACCAATATTGTAAAATGATATTTTGGATGGTTTTAATCACTTGCTGTAAGTTCCAGCACATCTCGTGCTTGTTTGTAATGTTTGCGGTCAGAATGCACATCTGTAAAAGTTAACAAGAACTTGGCACGAAGATTAAGTTCCCGAGAGAAATACAGACGTTTATGAGAGTTAATGTCCCATAAAAATATGTTGTTGCCAGTTTTATTGAGGTAACATTTTGAAGGATGAAGTATATCTACATTCTCATATTCTAGTTTAAATAAAATAAAAATAACTCACTCATACAACCTGGGGGTATCGGTGGTGGAGGCGGAGTCGGATCTGGGCTGTCACCTCGACCAGGTACTGGCCTCGGACCCCGAGGGACCAAACCTTGAGGAGCCGCAGCTCGGAGCACGCACAGAAAGACGAGCGCCGAAATCATCGCCATTTTTCCTGCAAAAAATACAAGACCGAGGGGAGAGGACAGTTGTTGAATGCTTTCTTTTCACTCCAACACTCCCTTCAGATGCAGGAAATAGCTGTCAAACAAGTGAGTCTTCGCAGAAGGCATCTCCACAGAGCTCAGGAATGTTTATCGTCGTTTTAAACAATGTCTGTGAATAACCACTCTGTGCTGTAAAGAAGGACTATTTAGTATTAATATTTAAATCTGTGTCTGAAATGGAATTTATTTTGCTGCATCCCACACGCCGAGGGTTCTCAAACCGCTTCACGTCATGGAGGATGCAACGGGAAAAAATCTAGATTTGGTTTTGTTTAAGGAGGGTCCACATCTACGGAGGAGTTGTACAGCTTGGCGGGGGCAGATTGGACAGCCGTTGGCTTTATGTGAGCATGACTTTGACTAAAAGCATTTCATAAACTACTAAATAAATAAAACACAGCTTGAACACTGTCAGTGTTTCCAATCTTAAGAAACACGGGTGGAGATGGATGGGTACGATTTTATTGAGGGAAATCAAATCTGGGAAAGCTGTTGCTCAAACGTAAGAACTGTATATTTACGTAGACTATTTTGAGGTACTAGTCACGAGTATTTCCTGCTACTTGACATTTCTTCTTTATTACAATACAGCAGGAAGTACAGTATCATACGTTTTAGCCCATCATTTATTTAACAGCTATATACCAGCACATATTTTACATTAAACATTGATTAAATGTCCCAACACTACAGTAGATTTTGCAAAAGGAGCACTGAAAGAGGACAGATGATCGGTTTCATGTCTCACTACTCTCAATAAATAGTGACAGTATTAGCAAATATAATAAATATTTCTATTAGCTACCAACTATATAGCTCCAAAACTAATTACAAAAACATTAAACATTGATTAAATTTCCCAACACTACAGTAGATTTTGCAAAAGGAGCACTGAAAGCTCAACTTAGCTCAACTGGATCACCTACTTAAGTTTAATTTTTTTGTTGGTTAGGTTGACTGTGTATTTGATCTCTTTCTTAATCGGGCAATCGTAACGTATATGTTACAATATTTTGTAATCAAAGTAGAAGGTACACCATTCCCCTCCAAAATGTACAGTAATAGAAGTATAAAGTATCATTAAATAACCAAGAAAAGTCAAAGTACCTTAAATGTTTGGTCTTTACTTGCCGTAACCTAATTGGCTTAATTATAATGGTTTGAGTAGACTTGTTTCTTTCCACAACTGCTGCTATCAGTCATTTGGTTCAAATGCTATAACATCAAAACATATCAAATGTGGTATTTCTGGCCAAATGCTACTTTAATTTCATTCATCAATGGTGAAGTAAAGTAACCGAAGACAAACCGCTTTATATTTCGAACTGCTTTAAATTAAAAGTTAAAAGGTAAAGTGAACTCACCGCAGCGACTGGACGCACCGACCTGCTACCGCGCGCAAACAGCCTTTCGGGGGATTGAAGCAGTTACCAAAGAATGCAAACTGAGAATAATGTTCCCAATCACAGCTCCCATCGCAGCTCTCGGTCTCCCGGACGCCCACTTTGAAATCCCAATCCACGCGCACGCGCACGCGCTACGGAATTCGATTTGAGCGATGGTGTTTACACAGTGGTCTGGGTGCGTGACGTGGAGCTGCCGCAGCAGGCCGACCGACACCAACCTGTCTGAAATATTGGTGTAAATCTGCACAATAAAGTAGCTTTAAATAAACACGCGGTGCTGCAGTAAAGTGTTCATCTGCCCGGTTTGACAGAATAAATGCGCGCGGCAGACTGACTCTCTCCAAACAGCAGCCCCGCGGACGCGTGCACGCGCACGCGCCGCTGCCGCTGCATGTCCTTACATGGGAAGAGCTGCCGGTCTGTTTACACGCAGCAGCAGAGATGTCATGTAGGAATTGAAATGCTTTATATCCCCAAAGTATGAAGTAAGGATTTCATTAATCAATCAGGCGATTCAAGTCAAGATTGTTTGAGTTTTGGATGGATTGTGAGATAAAAACCAGCTATTCAAATACGTCTCCACAGTATTCTCCACTTGTATTTAAAAACAAGTACAAAAATGTGAAAAAATACATCCTGCAAACTGAAAAGTATATTGTAAGACACCAGGAGCAAGATAAGAGGTGCGCTTGGAGAGAAGGGCGTTTAACGAAAGAGGAGAATAGATCCGACCCATCAGCCATTTGCTGTTTATTCGGTTTCTCTGTCACCACTAAAACAACAGCCTCAGGTGTAGAGAGAAAACGTCCCTTTAAAAAGAAAAACAAAGAATGGAAAACATGGAAAATACAATGAAAAACCTTTTGAAAACAGCAAGCAGGACTACTGACTAAAGAGCACTATCAAATGTGGAAATAATGGCATAGCTGATCCAGATTTTGCTGAATACAATTATAAAGCTGTGTTGTTTACAAGGGTTGGACATTTTTAGGGCATGTGCCCTAGTTTGAGGGATGTATTCTAATCAAGACGCACACTGTTCTCTGCCACAGTGTGATGAACAGCAGGAATGCAGAGGAGCACCAGGCGGTCTGTTTATCGACATTCAAAGGCATCCTGCTCAGGAAGTCCCTCATCAGTGGCCCGGTTAGGGAAATACATGTGGTGCTGCTATTGACCTGCTCGCAGAGCGCTGCTGCTGTTTATAGAGAACCCAAGTGTGTGTGTGTGTGTGTGTGTGTGTGTGTGTGTGTGTGTGTGTGTGTGTGTGTGTGTGTGTGTGTGTGTGTAGGGTGGTGGAGCATCTGACGAGATGCTGAGGTAGCAAGTGAGACATTATTAAGAAAGAGGCTAGCGTTTTTTTGTCCTTAGCGTCTCACTTTTTTTTAATGGCCGGCTGCATTCAGATGATCATTCAAAGGTAAAGAAGCTGTGAATCTTACACATCTTACACATTACGTCCTTAACTGTTCATTTCACAAATAAAGACTAAATCTTTTAGTCAGAATATAGTGAAATTGTTAGTTGTGGAACTCATATATGTTGAACCAATGAACAGTGGTGCTTTGCCTCTTTTAGCTTCAATATCACCACCACTGGGCAAATTAATAGAAGTTTGTATTGAGGATATGATGTATTTTCATAATAATATATAATTATAATAATATATAAAACAACCCATAATCCAACCACAATGCAAAGATGTTACAAGTAAAATGACAATTTATTAGATATACATGATTGAGAAAATGAATATAGCAGCAAAAATACGATTTGCTATCTTTCAATAGAGTGATTTTGCTTTTAGTGTGTGTTTGTGCACGTGAGCACAGGTTTGTCAGTGCTGTTGCTGCTGAGCCGGTCACATATTAGTATAAAAAACATTGGAATCGTCAAAGTAAAGGCCGTAGTTACCATAAAAGTCCATGTCTCCTGCGTGTGTGGGTTTCTCTCTTTGTGGATTTGTGTCGCGGGTATTTAAGGATGAGATTCTTGAGTAAATGTACGTTGTTACTTTTTAATGAAGCCTAAACTGTACATTTACCTATGACAGTGAGTACTTGTAGTTTGAATTGTTTTATTGCAACAGTACATTGAAGTATCAGCGTTGAACAAGCTTACTAAGAGTTTCCTGTGTCCAGAGCTGTGAATCACATTCTGTCACTTGAGCGTAAAGTCAAAGCTGGTTTCAGTCAAAGTAGCCAGAGAGAGAAGAGTTCAGCAATAAGCCACCAGGGGGAGAACACAAGCTGCAAAAACCTGTTACTGAGAAACATTTCTATTACTGATCTTACTGATCTTTTTTTTCACAAGAGGGACACAGAATGTGATTCATCTTTTCAATTAGTTCCCTGCTGGCAAAAGTCTAGTTCTCCTAATAAGATCATTTATTTAGCAGTGGCTGGTTGTTGGCTGGTTGTCGACTCACTCCAAGAATGTTGTGGGTGGGAATTTCCTCCGTACTTCCTGTTTGGAGAGTCATCCTCTTGTGTCTATGCAGATGCCCTGCATGGGGCTCTACATCGCTTATGTCTTTTCTGTGACAACTAACCCACAAGATTCTGCCTCAGGCTTCAGTCGTTCTGGACTCTGAACAGGTAAACGTCTGTGTAGGAAAAAGGATGGATTCAAATGATAAATAACCTAACCTCAACTCTTAAGACTGCCTGTCTTACATTTCTCCCAACATTACCACTGATCCTAGCCTCTATATAACAACTATCACTCCATCAAACCTCAATGACGACCATATGTAAGATGTAAGCCTCAAAGGGAGAAGAGGTAGCAGAGAGTGAATGACCGTCTGATAACACATTGTGTATATATATATATATATATATATATATATATATATATATATATATATATATATATATATATATATATATATATATATATATTTATATATGTCTGCAAATAGCACATTAGCTGTATTCAATTTGCCCAGTTTCAAAGGTTCAATACTGTGTATAGTCTGCAAAAATGATTTTAGGGTCAATTTTCTGCAGATGAAAGCGGTGCTTATAAAATGGTTTTTATTATACACAGGAATTCTTTGTATGAGTTTCACTCAGGCTTTGCAAATGGCCTCAATTACTTGCCTCAGCAGAGATGTTAGGAATATTAAAAGCTTTAACATTTGATAGAAATCTGATTGATGAGTTTTATGAATGACTTTTTCCCATGTTTGATTAAAACAAAATATACATAACTGTACAAACGAAAAAGGAAATTCTGCTTGGTTTAAATTTAGTCTCATTTTGTGTTTAAGTAATATTTTGGATTGGAGAATAGTATGGAAATTATTAATGGAAATTAATTGCACACCGGGCAGAATTGTTTAGTGAATGTGTCCCTTAAAAATAAATTGCCTTAAAACAAAACAAAAAAGATGAGTTACAAGTATGTCTTCATACTCTGCTACTGTGTTTCTAGAGCATGAAAAAGTTATGATTTCATCAAGTGAAATTGAGCGCAGTAAAATATAAAAACTGGATGTACTCCATAAAAATTCTGATAAAAAATATATATATTCTTATGCATTTGGTTGTTTATTTGAGTTTCAACAAAGCTATATGTGTGAGCGTGTGCGTTCAAAGAGACAAGGTGTGAAGAGAACTGAGGCAAGCAGAATCACAATGAACTCTCTGCAACCTCCCAGCTCTTTGCAAGCTGAATCTATCCAGCAGCCTCCCACCCATTGATATCAGCACTTCATGGCTTAAATAATTCAACAGAAAAATCATGGCGCTCTACCTGACTCTCTGTAGATACTCTACTCCTGGCATTTGATTATAATGAGAAACAGCAGCTGCAAAATCACGGATCCACCAGGTAACATGCAGATTAATAAGGACGATCAATAATGCAGGTTATGCATTTCATGATCATTCTTTGTTTTCCCATCAACAGGTTGATGAAATTCTCTGCTAAACAAGTAAATATGTTTAAATTGATACGGCAAAGTCACTGTGTACTGTTGCTTTGCAAAGAAACCTACAGGAATACAAATCAGTTCCATGACATAAAAGCTTCTCATTGATGTTTTTGTAGGCTGACATTTGTTTCTGTGTCATAAACAATGGAAAAAAGTGTGTCTGAGGCAGAACTCCTAAAAAACATTTTCCCACTGTGACCATCTTTGTTTTTGTTTTTTGTAATGTATCTTGCTAGCGTCTGAATGAGACTCGTCTCTGCACAGCATCACACTCTCAGCCTGTTGAAGTTGTGCGAAAAAAAACAGGTCTATTGGTGGTCAACATGGACTGGAATATTATTATTATCAATAGTTTCTTCTTCGCCATGTACATCAGTATTAGGAGTATAACGCCCTGCACCCTGACTGACTTGCAACTGTTGCACTTATTAAACAAGGAATCAACGTGTTGTTGATTGTATCCCACAAATGCCACTGATTAACTTTGCATTAGTTCGGAACGTTTGAAGGATTTCTACTGTAAAAATACATTTAAAGACAAAGACAATTGGACATCAATACATATTTTAGCAAATATTATTTACCCCAAATATTTAAAAAAATACATTTCCAACCAATTGTGCAAATCAAACCACTTTTATTCAATGCACATAAGGACATCAGAGATGCTTTTTGAAACAAAGAAGAACAGTTGAGATACGTATTTTTTTCCCCCCTAGTTCATGACTGGTTCACCTCCATAAGGCCTCTAACGGACTCCTCAGACCGTAGTGACTCTCATGACCAGCTCGCGTGTGCCGTTGCTTGGTTGTCCGCGGACCTCTGGCTGCCTGAGGTGACTGAGCAGGTGGAGGATGCTGTAGGGACAGTGCTGGTCCGGCACCGCGCTGCCGCCGTCGGGGTCCACGTTTGTTCCCACTCCCTCGGCGGGCGCCACCACGGCCGTAGTGGTGGAGCCGTCGGCCGCGGAGGCCACCGCCATCAGCGAGGAGGTGGAGGTGGACACTCCCACGCCGGTCGGATAACCCGGGCTGGGCTGAGACAGAGTCCTGTCCACGGGGGATTTCTTCAGGTCTTCACTGTCCATCGACTTGCAATAGTTCAGGACCTTCCACTGCTGGTTGACGGCCTGCCAGCGGTGGAATATCCGAAACACCGACGGCCCCTCGTGGACAATCAGTGCTGTGAAGATCAGAACATCAGTTAGACGGTGCTACTGCCCGGCAGCAGCGTCTTTGACTCCACAAAGTGAAATATATCTCTGCGGCGGTAGATTCACTTCAAATTAGCAGTACAAAACAACTAATCTTTAAAGTACTGCACCATAACCTGAGATATGATTTGTTTGAGAGACTGTAGATAGGGCACAAGTTATGACACAGCAATCCTCACCACTTTGGGATTTATGTTAGGAGAAATGATGCATCTGCTCTCCGGGGTTGTTCAATACAATCTTATCACAGTTTAAAATTGCTTATTGATTTATGTTCATTGCACTCAGTATGTGGGAAATTGAAATCCCTGTGCAACAAGAGCTACTTGGACCCATTGTACTGCTTTTATTCCACTATAAAGTCTGTGGAGGGAAATACTGTACAAACGGGATGTTTTTCCTGCTTAAGCTGAGCTGATTATCGTCGGTACAATCATGTCCACTTAAGCCTGAATACAGTATGACTATACTGCTAAACAATTGTAACGTCTTTTATTATAGTCATGGTAGAATATTGTCCTCTGATGTAAGACGTCACATACCGTTCTATGCCGTAGCAGTCTGCTAAAAATGAACAATTAATCATTTCTAACCATTTTTTGTATCGAATTCCTGTCTCTCCTCTTCAGCTCCGTTTCTCTCCCCCTCCAACTTGGTGGCTAAGTGAAAGTCAGGTGTTTGTGTCTGCTCGGTGACAAGTTAATCTCTTTAAAGTGCAGAGTTAATGAATCCACAGTCAATCTTTGCCACCAAACCGGAGACGATCGATCTCCTCTTCCTCCCATCCTGCTGTCCACTGCAGCAGTAAAGAGTGTTTTTTTAGACGCAAAGTGTGGCGTTTCATTCAATGGCCAAAACAGGGGGAGATAATCAAGAGGAAGACAGGAGGCTGAAGGAGGACGCGACTAGTTTGAATCTGGACACAAATCCGAAAGTGTTAAAGTTAAAAATGTGTTAATGAAATACACTATGCCATAAAAAACACAGCAGTTGCTGAATGTAGAACATTTTAATTTATGTTTAATTAATTACATTTTCACTGAGCCTTTTCCTCGAGTTTCATTTTCTTCCTGGAAATATATTAAATATATTGAGCTAAATAAATAAAAGCAAAAGACCATGTGTGTAATTCAAATACAAGCCCTTGAGAAGACTCGTATGTAGTAGTACAGGATGCAGATCGATTATCACAACGTAAACCTTGGATGCCGATGCAGGCGGGAGTAAATGTTGACCACCGACATTATGTCTGCTTTGGCTGTTGAATATAATAACATGCTCATTCTTAAAAAATGCACAACGTTCGAAATGCGCCAAACAAGCGGTAAACCAATGTGAAATCTAGCACCTCACCGATGCAGACGATGTCCATGAAGCCGTACATGCCGTAGCAGATCTGGAACAGCAGATCTTGCCTCTGCCAGCGGGCTGACGGGCTGAAGGACGACCACACCAGCCAGGAGATACTGGCCATGAGGAACAGGGAGCCCAGGATGGCTGCTGCTATCTGCACTTTCTCTATCACGGTCAAGGAGATGGCTTGCCACTGCGGGAAGACAAAGACCACGGTCAATTCGTCTTTTAACTCCACCCAATGCTTGGGAAGCTTGGGAAACAAGAGAAGGACACGGACAATGGGTACTGATTGATAATAATCAGAAAATTAGTCCTCTGAGCGGAAATAGTGCCATGCACTGTTACTGCAGACAGTGGGACATGTATTTAAAACATATGAATTATTGAGATTTGAGGTTTGTTTAGCAAATGTCCTTTCATAGAAGTGAGAAACTGCTTCTGCTCATATTTCTGTGTTCTGTGTCAAAAGGAAACCAAACCTTGTTTAATGAAAAACTTTTGTTGAATTCCGTGGTGTATGATGAGAAAAAGAGTAATTCCCGGGAATGTTGCATCGTCCCAAATAAATGTTGATATTAAATTTGAAAGGGTTTTTGCATGAGTCCCAGTAGAGAGGGGTCAGGGGCTACCCCACGCTCACAAACCCCAAGAGTCGGTTCTCTGTATTTTGCGATTTCTTTTGGACTGTTATGTTGCCTCGACCTTCCATTCTTCGACATTTCCAAGGACAGCGATAAAGCCTTGACTCTGGATCCAGCTGTTTTCCCTTCAAATGCCTGCAGTGCCGCCCTTCACGCCTACAGCTCACCTGAAGCGGGTTCTTGGTGCTGATGGCGATGACCTGGTATTTGTAGTAGCAGAGCTCACACGCCCAGGAGCCTCTCTCGCTGATCCATTTGATGAGGCAGGGATGGTGGGTGCAGCGTACCGATCCGTTGCACCGACATGGGCTCAGGAGCTCCCCCTGCAGGAGAGAGCTAATCAACACCAGCACCCCACGACAAGACTTGGCTCACTTAAATGCATGCATATTACTTGTTTAGGTCATCTGTGCTGCTGTTGGCTCAACGTGAACTTACCTGTGCAACACCGTGATGTAAATTAAGAAAAGGTCGAGTCCTCATTCTGTTGAACTCGACCCTTGAGAGCGGCCCAAGCAGTGCTTTGTGATTCGGGGTAAATATCTCCCTGAAGCATTCATTGACCGCCTGATAATCCTTTGTTTTCTCCCTGTATTTACTGTGTGCAGGTAACCTTTTAATATGCAGTACACTGCAGGTTGAACTGCACAGATACATTGTTTTTGAAGTTCTTTGTGCTAGCGTATTGATTTTGTGAGAGCGTGGCATGCTCAATCAGGCCCGCATGCGTGCATACACACACGCACGCACTCAGCCACATTATGGCAGAACGGGTGTGAAATGAAAGCTTTGCCCCACGGCCACATCGAGTAGACAGGCAAAATACTTGAATACTTGGAAAAGTGGAGAATTAGTCACAGAAGATTTGATCAATGAGAAAAACCCAACCAAGCTATAAAAATACTGCCGTGAACATACACTGCTCTTAGATTAAACGTTGCTGCCACACATACATAAATATTCTTTTGAAGTTCTAAATAGTAGAACAAAAGAATGAATAACAAAGAAAATGATTTTCACCTTTACTCTTCCTTTCTGCTTTCAGTGCGTCCTCCTCATACTGCACGCGAGCTTTCTCAGCTTTCTCAAATCTTGTGTCTGGCTGTCCTTTATTTTTTTATATTTAAGTGTTCATAAGAGTGTCTTTACCTGTTATTGTAAAAATAAATGTGGTTACTTGTCACCTCGAAATCAGTCAGTCAGGGTGTTGTTATAATTGAGGGCCAACATATGACTGATCACTGCGGGGCGGATTAACTGTTATGATAAAGTGTGGTTAAGCTCGAGGCTGCAGTAGCTTAGATCTCAAAGAGAAAACCAGACGCACCCCAGAAGAGTAAAGACCTGCTTTTGAGAAGCATTTTGATCCGGACAATATCATCAATTCACCCCTGAATCCCCCTGGTCAGGCTCGAGAACTCCAAACCCATCAGCGAAGATAATACGAAAGCACTTAATTTGCAATCACTAGGTTTCCACTTAACAGCAATATGTGCTTAGCCAAACGAGTCATTACTCTTAAGTCGCATCCAGCCTGAGGATGTGAGATTTATAATCTTTAACCGTGGGCCACAAGCTGATACAAATATATTTCTAGGCTTGTCATATTGGATTTAGCTGACGACCGAAATGATGTCGGCCCGCCAGCCTTTTTTAGGTCCTGACCCATAAAGCACTTTGGATCCACTAACGTATAAACAGGACCTTCTTGTGTAGACGTGTGATTCTTAGTTGAACTGAACATAAAACCCATAGTAAATGTAAAAATAATAAATTAGCCAACCATTTTGCTGTAAGAGAGCTCCCCATTCAATATGAAGCCACAGAATTGTTGATTCAATATGAAATACCGCCCGGTCCCTGTCTACCATCAATATGGCACAGAGATTGAAGGAAGAAAAGCAAAAGAAAAGTTTCCAAATGACCTCTCCGAGGCATTAACGGGCCGACGTGTCTGACAGACGGAGCGGCACCCTGGTCGAGGAGAAGGGAGGGAAAATTAGGGAGCTGGAGGAGAAAACGGCCCATCTACAGATGGCCAGGGTGGGAGTGTGTTGGCAGGAGCCCGAGAACACTTCTGCCGTGTCCAGTGGGACGCAGACCGCTCACTGTGACTGCCCCGCTTTGCAGCCAAGAGCTGAAACCTACACCACTCCATTACAACTGAGGCTGGAGGGAGCACGAGAGACAGATAACAAATGCGACATTACAGCCCCCACACACAGGACGGGATAACCGAACGTTTTGTTGATCAATCGGCGATGGGCATTCAGAATAGTAACAATAGAATAACTGATTCACTCCCAAAATAGGGACATGAAATTAAACTGGAGATCGCTATTAATGTTTCTTTAGGGTCCGGAATCAAGGAGAGTGGACTCTATTAACTCTACAGCAGGTCGAGGGAAATTGTTGTGTAAAACTGGCTTCACATTCACAGCTCCTTTCAATAAACCGCAGTGAGGCCAAAATGTGTCATATTGCCTGCTGGCTTGTTTTTACCCCATTTTCAACAACTGGAAGAGGAGTTTTCCCATGTTCATGTGATGGAGTACAGATGCATTACGCCTCTGTACTGTGGGGCCATTAAGAAAGAATTATGCTAAAAATTACCCCTCAAGGCTTCGTATTGTGTCTCAGACAAGCACGCTGTGCAAGTGTATTATCTTTGATACGATACAGGAGGGAAAGCCACATTTTTTTCAAAGCACTCACATATTTTTAACATGCAGCTCAAGTAAGGAGAACACATTAGAAGCATTGGACCCAAAGGGCACTTCAATGCAATAACGCATGACAATTTCAGTTTATTCTCCACACTGATATATTTCAACACTTTTCCTTGTAAATCCCCTTTGAAATGGTAAGTTTGTGCGCAACACGACTCTTACTTCGACATCGCTATGATCTGAAAATATAGCTGAGAAAATGCTTATTCCCTGAGAGAGACGAGGTCGGGATCAAGTCTGAAAAACACAGGCTTGAATAAAGCACGCAGGCCAGCCGGTGCCCGTACAGCTTATTGCTGACCTTTCGCTAAACACATTCAATAGATGTAGGTATGTCTCAATGTATTATAAAATAAATTATAATACATGAAAAACCTCAGAGTTTATGATAAAAGACGCATGCCTTTGTGGCACAGGCTCAGCTGTTTATTGCATTGTGTGTGATTAACTCCATCAGAAGCAGTCTGGCTTAAATGATCGCTGAGAGAGTTACTGGTCGTTGTAATCATTCCTCCATCCTGAAGATGTCGTGTAAATGTACTAGAGGTGATGCCTTTGCCATTAACTGGATATGATCCAAAGTATTGACAGTATTGTGCGTGTTAAGTTTTGTATTCATTCAAATGTAGTAATTAACACTTAACAGTTTTATCATGTAGCACTTTGGGATTTTCTTAAATATAAAGTGCATTACAAATTCAATGTATTATTATTATTATTATTATTAATAAAACGTTCCTATTTTTTAAAAAGCAGAGGGACTTTTATTGTGAATCACAAAGGGCACCTCAGAGAAAATGGCACCAAAAAAACAGACGAGTTTGATTAGATAGACTTATTTGATGGTTTCACGTCATATTAAATCAGTGTACAATCATTTTTCAATGGTTGCCTCGGTCAGACACTCAAGGCCCTTTCTAGCGCGGCGCTTGAGGAAAGCAATGTCTCTCGCTCCCTTCTTTACTCTGTCTTGAGTATCTAAGCCTTGGGGATGGAAATGTTTTCGAGGTGGATTGTCAGATCGGATACTGGCTGCCTCTGTCCGTGTGACAACCTGGAGGCTACGGGAGAGCCGAGGATAACTAATGTGTCCACTGCCTGCATCACACAGTGACCCGTACAGACAGCCAACTCATCTCTCTTTCCGAAAAGGAGAGTCGTGCTCTTTGTTCCCATTTACACCTCAGCAGATCCATATCTGGATTTCACCCAAACCAACGGCGGAGATAGGCAAGACAGTGAAGGCCGGCGATGGATGAGAACTTGCATAATGAAAAGATGGCATGGAATCAAGTGCTATTGACTGGCTGCAATGTCTCAAGGGATAATCAAGGAGATGAGTTGGAGGAGGCCATGGGAAACACTGCAAATTGGGAAAGCGGTTATCTGCATGCGCTGCAGTGTGCAAAGGATGAGGCCTTGTCTCTCAATCTCACAAGTAGACCCCATGTCAATGATAATTAACACGCCTGTGCTCAGGCGTTCAGTAATGAAACATTGACATTTTATATTGGCCATTCACAGCGCGATGGCCATTGAAATGATACAGTTCAACCTGACGCTTGAGTAAAGGAAAACCACTAGCACGGACTGACGGATAACAAGTCATGTTCTGCGCCTCAGTTTTCATGCGTTACGCTTTTTTGCAACGTTCCGACCTCCGTTACCAATTGGTGAGGTGTGACATATTTGTAGAGGCGGCTTCAAAGCCTCTGTCAAACACTGTAACTAATGTGTCAGCAAATTGCTGAGAGCGCCCTTGTCTGGTCTAGTTTGATAATATTTATTGTAGCACACCTTTGCCATCTTCTTTCAAATGTTTCTTCTCCTGATTGATGGAGTGTGACGTTATCATCTATATGGCCCCAAAGGTGGAGGCACGCGGTGTGAAGGCTCTTGCCATCGGTTCTGTGCCCATTCTTCTTCTTCCTTTCTTTTTTTCTTTTGCTGTTTCCAGTGTGTGTGTGCGTGTGAACAGCAGAGTGAGGGGTATTATTTGATTTTTTTTTTAATGAATGAAACGGGTCGATGTGATTTCACTGTTGTTACCGAATCTCTGTGTATTGTCCTCACTTGTCGACCACGGGTGCCAAGGTCTAACTACCCTTCCACTGCCACACAAAAGGACGAGTGCAGGATGCAGTGAGATCCCAGGCCAGAGGGTTCCCTATTAAGACATATAGGGAGTAGGTTTTGACACTTGAAAGAAATGTTGGATCAGTGAATCCGTCGAGACTGACAGGTAGGGAGGATTTTTGGATTTAAATGGTGGACAACACCACCACCTGATCTGTTCTTCTGTTATCATACCCCTTGGAGAGCAAGTTGAGCCAACAGATTTCCGACAGAAGTTGTGCAAAATAATTTCATGCAGATGCACATACATGATACAAACAACAACCTTTTCTCACCACTGAACACATGCGGGTACAATTGACTTACGTATTCGGGTCCCTGGAAGCAGATCCTGCACAAGGGAGTCCTGAAACCACTTTCCGTGTAGCTGGTGAGGGAGAACCTCTCCTCCAGTTTGCCCTTCGAGCAGTCGTCGGAGGAGCTGCTGCAGCCGCGCAGGGCCGCCGACAGCTCGGCGGCGTCAACCCAGCACGGCCGCTCTCCGGCCGACGCGCCCGTGGCCCCCGCCGCAGGGGGGGCAACCCGGTCCCCCGCGCGCTGATGGCTCCGCGTCAACGTGTTGTTGTTGTCGGGGACGACGACGACGCACGTTTCGCGAGTGTCCGTGCCTTGGACGCTCATGGGGGTCAGCGGGGGCAGCGGTGTCGGTGGCCCGAGAAGGAGCAGCCTCAGGTCCCCGAGCAGGACGCAGCAGCGGCTCTTCAGCATGCCCGGGCTGCGCAGCATCGGGCTGTGTCCGGCCACCAACTCACGGCACCATGCGGAGGTCAACACTTGCTCATATGGCGTTGAATGCGCGGTGCGGGGTTGCGGGTTTGCAAGGAGCCCTTTTAGTTTTCCGGGTTGATATTGGTGTATTCTAATTGAAAGTCGCTTATCGTCTTGATGCGGTGACAGAAATCCAAAAGGCAAATAAATCCCATCGATGCAAACAAGTGTCTGAAGCCATTAAGTTAAAAAAAAATGAAACCGCTAAAAATAAAATATAGAAAAAAGAAAAGCCACACGTTAGATTGAGAGGCATATGCATTCACGTAATAACGCTGTGGCTCGTTCACAGTAAATTGTCAACCTGCTGTGTTCAACGTAAACTATCTAGACAGGCTTCACCCTCCAGATTCACAAAGCAACAATCAAATCTGCCTCTGATACAACGGACTGATGGAGACTAACAACACGTCAGCGCTCATTCTTTACAATTCAAACAGGCTCTCACAACAACATCGAGACACTCTTTGAAAAAACCATCAGAGCTCAGATTACTGTCGATGTATTTCGGCTTTCAAAGCAAATCAAGTCAATCGAGGGCGTGCCACGAAGCAAAATCGGTCTTACCTGGCGAGACACCCAAAATTGCCATACGACTCACAGTTTCAGGATTTTTCTTCTTCTTCTTCTCGTTAAATCTCCTGCCAGACTGCAGGTGGCTGACAAGTCCGCGTGAAGCTTACATCCCAAATGACCGGATCCCCACGTTCCACGCGTAGAAATCCCTCCCGTTAAAATCCAACACGATGGTCGGACTGTCCTGTTGTGGGTGAAAGCATCCGTAGCCCCGGATCCTCCCGTGATCATTGGCTGCTGAATCGCTGCTGCAGCTGCAGCAGCAGCAGCTTCAGCACCATGATTCCTGGGACAGCTCCCAGACGCCACACGTCACCACCGCGCAGTGATGCAAGCAGACCATCTCACACTCAACCGAGACGAATGCACAAAGAAATGGTCAAATTAGGCCGAGACGCACATCGTCGCAGAGTGAGGCATTTAGTAGAAGGTAAGGAATATATATATATATATATATATATATATATATATATATATATATATATATATTTTTTTTTTTTTTTTTCAAAGAAGGTGGCGTTTACTGCCTTTCATTAGAAAAACAGAGAGCAGACGAATTAAGTTGAGCCAAAATTATTCATATAGACACAGTTCAATTATCAGGAAACACATGGTGAACACTGATTATTCATAGCAGCTGCTCGGCTAATCGAGTCATTTTGCTCAACTGGAATATCAACTAAGTTGAAGCTAACACAAATAAAATGATGAACATTTTAATCCGCGCCAAAGGCAGTGGAGCAGAATTATAAAATACTTGAGTAAAGTAGGCTACTACAAAGGTCATAAATCCAAAAATTGAGAGAAGGCCAAATGTGCTTGATTCATTTTCAGCATTAATGAATAATGCTCACGTGGGAGGCAAGAGTCTGTGTCTTGATTAAACAATTGGAGTCAAGTAGACAGCTAGTAGCCATGGAATAAATATTTAATAGATTGCCAACAGTCCTGCTGGTTTTGAATATGCTAAAGTTCACAGCAATTAATTAAGACATTTTCACATCCATCACTTAACTCCGCTATAAGTAAACATGCTGGATTCAAAAGGTTATTTTTTCTCTCAGCCAGCATACAACAGATACCTTAACTACATTTCATCGACACGACAACATAGAATATTATCGTATTAAATAACACCTTTTATTGTGACAGGTCTGTCTTTGCGATCTCGCTTCACCCCCAAGCGGCGCCTCATCCACGTGTCCGCTTGTTGTTCTACGTCACTTCCTGCGCGGCAAATACTCGAAAAGCTAGCAAATGTTTGACTTGTGTTAGCTTAACATTTTCTCACCCGACTTCTCCCAGATTGTGTTTGTCGTCTTTCTATCACACTATTGTGTTAATTTAAGCCACTGTCGACATTAGTGTTACTCGTGTTCCGAGGTAACTGTCGTTAGGTGTTACTGCCACCGAAGCCGCCCATGCTAACCACATTAGCAGATACCTTTAGCGAGGGCAGACTACGTAATACAAGTTAGCGACATTTTTAAAAACAGTGGTACTAGTGCTGATAGTCCAGATGGGTTCACTCGGCTCGCTTGTTCGCAGGTAACCACCGTTAAGGCTAGATGTCTTGCGAGGACTATAACTGATACTCCTCCGAATTTGTATAACGTATAATTAGCATTAGTTTAAGCAAAGTTGACCATCATGTCAAATCAGCTGACCGCAGAGCAGCAACGAAAGATCGAGGAAAACCGGCAGAGGGCTTTGCAGAGAAGAGCTCAAAGACTTGGAAATACCAGCAGCATCAACACGAACGCGCCAGTGAGCATCATCCGCACTCCTGCGCAGGTACAGCGCTCGGATCAGCAACGACACCCAGGGGCACTCGGCTCAGCTTTGCCACCAGAACGGGATGTTCAATCCTTCAAGAAGGATTTTACGAGCTTCAATAACTCTAATCAAGGACAAAAGTATAAGCAGCTGCCTGGCAACCAAATCAAACAGGGTCTTCTGCATAACTCTGCATCTGCAAGACAGGTGAGATTTGTGTTGTATTGTTCAGTCATTTGATGTTTTGAGGAGAGAAAGCGTTAAACCGATTCCTGATCCCTTGCTTCGTCCTTCCTTGTAGATACAAGTCATCGACCCGCTTCCTCGGGCACAAAGCCGACATGTGAGCAGTCCTGTCTATCCTGTTGGTGGAAGCTTTGGTGCCAAGCCGGCTCATCCCGAACCCAACGTCACCGCCAGCGGTTCTGGTGGTGCGGTGGGTTCATTCTACAAGCAAACCGGTAAACCTGACCAAAGGTCTGTGGCACAGCTCCCCTCCAACTCATCAACTTTGAACGCCGCACCTGCTAAGAAGCCTTCCATCGCCGTGAGAGGAAAGTGTTTACCCCACGCGGAGGGCCGCTTCCGAGTGGAGGTGGGCTACCACGTAGGCTTGATTGCTGTTTTCAAATCCATCTCCTCAAAGAACTATGGTAAGTTCCTGCTGTTTCACCGGCACACAGCCGTCTGCATGAAGGACATTTAGTACCCTTTCAGCGCCAGTACATTTTTAGAAATACTCTAGTAATGTAAAGACACTTCATACATTCATAACAATATTCAAGATGGACAGGACGACAATATCTTTCAACATTTATTTCCTCCTGCTAATTGGGTTCCATCCTGTATATCCTCATACCAAGAGTTAATACGCAATCTTGAAAAAAACTATTGTTTTTTAAGTGCTGACTTTTTGCATCGTGTTTTCTGGCAGCAGACATGGAAATGTTCAAATAATATAATAAGCCTGAGGGCTCGATTGCATCCTCGCACACAATCAGGACTACCTGCACTCACTGACTGAACTCACAGCTGTTCAAAATAACACGGTCATATTATGTGGCCAGACCCAGACACAAACTGGATGCACTTCCATCATAAACAATATCAAACTATTGTTTATGTACCATATATCTGAATGTCTGCACTGTCTTTTTGAATAAAGTATTCTGTTCTTCCTTAGAACCTGCCACAAAGTTTTGGAACTTCAGTCTGGAGGACTATCAACAGCTAAGTATGAACATCTGCAAAGTATTAATGGGATCATGCACTTCTGATTCATTCTTTGCTGAAGCAGCCTAAAACAACGTGATCTGTTGCAGTGGAGGAAGCGGCCGCTATACCCTCCGTGTCCCTGAGGCCTCTGGAGGGAGCGGAAGCAGTGGATGCGGCCGAAGCCCCCGGCCGAGCTCACGAAGGCGCGGCGCTGGCCGCCCTGCTGAAGCTGTGCAACGGCTGGCAGAAACCCGGAGCCACTCTGCAGGGCATGTGCGTCCTGGTGTCCCCGACGCGGTTTGAGGTCGACGTCGGTTACAACGCCGATGTCGTCGCGGCATTCAAGCAGATGCCGACAAAGAGCTACGGTAACAATGAAACAAATTATTAGTAGGATTATTCTTATGTTTCATTTCCTGTCTTTACGATCTTTGATCATGTTGTATTTTCATTTAACAACTTATGACGCACAACATTATGTCATTCTTATGTTGTGTGGCAGACATGAAAACGAGAAAGTGGAGCTTCTCACTGGGGGATTACAAGAGGCTCTGTGAGTGACAACATTTTGCGTTGTTTAGCCGGTTTATCTCCGTGGTTCTGTTTGTGACCGCGCTGTGCCCCACACCCAGTGGATCTCCTCAGTGGGATCGCAGCAGTGGAGGTGGAGCCTCTGCCCAAGGCTGTAGTCCAGGCCTTCTTTGCCAGGTTCGACGGGACCGAAGCCAGGTCTTCAGATGTCCCTGCGGCGGACCTCTCCGGCATCGACCCCTCGCTCACCTGCAGCCTCATGCCCTTCCAGAGGGACGGAGTCAAGTGGGTGTCTTTGGAAAGCCGCTTGGGCTCTTTCTGCATTGAGCAGCCAATAATTCAATACCATCTGTAATTGGCTCAGTCTTGTGAAAATAAGGAGACAGTTGTAGATGTGTTGTGTATAATAAGAGAGGGTTTTGGAGCAGTGTGTCCACCATCTGTCCCGACTGTTAATTTTAGCATGTTTGTGTCCTTGTAGTTTTGCGGTGTCTAAACAAGGCCGCCTCCTCCTGGCTGATGACATGGGCCTGGGGAAGACTGTGCAGGCCATCTGTATCGCAGCCTACTACAGGAGCGAGTGGCCCTTGCTGGTGGTGGCTCCCTCCTCTGTGCGATTCACGTGGGCCGAGGTAAAAAAAAAAAGAACGAAAGAAAGAACTTTGCAGTGGGTGTTTTAAAGTGTTAGTTTAAAATGTACTGCAGATCTTTAAATCCAGGAGGCAGACGGCCTCTTGAGTATATTCTTCTTCTCTCCTCGGACAACAGCGCTACATCTGTGCTCAGAGCTCATCTGCATTTCAGCAATGTTAATGCTCAGGGCTGCTTGTATTCTGTTCCATACTTCATTTTCAGCAGGGGAGATCACGTTAGTATTACATTGATTTCCGGCTCTACAGTTTATTTTCTTTGTTGAATGGCTTTTGTTGTTAAAAATGCACTTTATCTGACATTGCTGTTAAATGTTAAATATTTTCACAGACTATATTCAATATGGCTTTTGAATTACATTTTTTTTTTTTTTTTTAACAGTACAGCTAGACTGGTCTTAGACTACAAGGCCATTATGACGCCCCCTCGGCATAATTTAAATGTTACCCTTTGTCTCACTTTCCTTTTACAATATCACCACTTTCTAATTTCACGTTGGGTGTCTCTTTTCTCGTATTGTCGTCTCATTTTCTGCAGCATCTATTGTCGGCCTATCTCGCATTCCCGGGCTTCACTAGCGGCACTTTCTCCGAGGAGCTTTACTTGGCTTTCTGTCTATTGACACAACGAGACAGTCTGCTCTCTAAATAGATTTCTTGGCTCAAGCACAGTCTTCAAATCAAAACTTGGAGTCGCCAATGAGGGTTTAGTCACACGATGTCGGCCTATTAAGGGGCAGTTACTATGTCAGTTTCTTTTTTTTCTTCTTTCTCATCTGCCCTGTTCTTTTTGTGCACTTGGCCAAATCTACTGCTGAACACGGAAGCTATAATTTGTGAGTTTAAGTCCGGTTGACAGGCGAATGGGGAGCGAGTAAGAGGACTGTCAGAAACATTTGACCGCAGGGGACATTTTTCTTTACTACACGATGGGTTATTTCTAAAAGCGAACACTGTCGCAGCAGTTAAAAGGAATTGTTTGCAATTAGTCACATTAAAACCGGCTATCAGTAACACAATTCTAATTGGCTGTGCTCATTTCAGCGTCTCGACTAACTCCCGGTCTAAAGTACAGCGCTGTTTTGCCGACGAGTCCCTCCTGCTTCTCTGACATGACTAATTATCTGTACCCGAAGGCCTTCAGGCGCTGGCTCCCCTCCCTGAGTCCTGACCGCATCAACGTGGTGGTGAAGGCCAAAGACGATCTGCGATCTGGTTTGGTCAACATCATCAGCTACGACCTGCTGAGCAGGATGGACAAGCTGCAGCTGGGACACCGCTTCAACGTTCTCATCATGGTGCGTTTCTAGTTCAACTATTCTCGTCATTGATGTGCTTTTATTTGATGTATTTTACCCATGGGAGAAACTTCTGTGTATGTTAAGCGAAATGTATGATTGTGTTGTTGTGTGCAGGACGAGTGTCACTTTCTGAAGAACATGAAGACTGCTCGTTGCAAAGCGGCTTTGCCGTTGTTGAAGGTGCTTATTCTTCTCCTCTTTTTCGTTCAATGAGGTCCACGGTTCATTAAAATTCTTAGATTGAGAGGCAGATTTACATAAAATTGGCTGTCAAACCCCTGTTGGGCCAGTTAACCAGTTTCATGTGAAACCAGATTTGGGATTTCTTCCATCAGACAAATAACATGTTTTTGTGTCAACCAACAGTGACAGTTTGCGTTCAATTAAACCAACATGTTTAGGAAGAATCTTCTTCAATCCCAAAGTAAACAAGGACCACTGCAGCACCATTCAGAACACTGAAGGGATCCTTTTCTACACAGTGGGCTACATTCATCTATCAATTTCTTCTTTTGATTGTACATTCCCCACAGTGTGTGATGAGATCCCCACATTAGAGCACAATCTTCCCTCTGACGACACATCAGAGATGAAAGTGCGTAGTGTATTTGTGTATTTACCTGTAACATAGATCCACAAACCGGCTGAAGCCCGTAACATGCACGCAACATTTGGCTCACGGTCGGCTTTGCTTTTTCTGCCTCGTCAGCTCTACTCCCCCGACAGTAATCTGATCAGACTTGTTTTCTTCCCATCCTCAGGCTGCAAAGAGAGTGATTCTCCTGTCCGGGACTCCTGCCATGTCCAGACCCTCTGAGCTCTACACCCAGATCCTGGCAGTCAGGCCGACGCTCTTCCCTCGCTTCCATGAGTTTGGGATGCGCTACTGCGGCGCCACACAGGTAGAGGAGCCCTGTTTGTTACGTGTGATGCTCAATGCTTTTTATTCTCAGACAAACCTCACAGGATACAGGAGGATTTGGTGAGGCAGTGTTTATTTATCCACTTTACCTGCCTCACTTACACGTAGGTACGTGAAATTGAGTGACCTCTGTGATTATGAACTGAGCATTTTAAAGTGTACATTGGTGAACGGCGTATTACGGTACGTTAAGACTGCTTTTAAGATCCCTGCAGATTCTTCTGCTGTGATTTTTCCTGTTGCTTTGCTCTTTCCACTTAATCTCCTAATTAATTAATTTGGGTGGGTTCAAGTAGGGAACAGCCTTCATGATTTAAAGGCCGATTACATGCCTAATTTGGATGCGATGACTCATTTAGAAGATTTTCCTTCTTAAATTTCTGCTTTCGTCCACCGTGGAAGTCACACATCCACCTCCATCTGAGAATGAAGTCCTGAGCTTTTCAGTCTTTCTAATCTTCGTCTTCCCATCAGCCTCTATTCCTGCCTTCTTAATTTCTCACCGTCCTTCCCTGTCCCCCTCTAGTCCACCTGGGGGTGGGACTACTCCGGCTCCTCTAACCTCGGCGAGTTGAGGCTGTTGCTCGACGAGTGTCTGATGATACGCCGCCTCAAGTCCGACGTTCTGTCCCAGCTTCCCGCTAAGCAGCGCAAGGTTGTCACGGTGACCATAGATGGTGGCAACACCCGCGTCAAAGCTGCTCTGTCAGCTGCTGCCAAGCGGTTGGCCAACGGACACCAAAATGTAAGTTACCAATCCCCGTGAAAAACTCAGTCACAGAATCTGTAGTTTTGGAAAGAGGAGTATTTACAAACTAAAAATAATTCTGTCCCGGCGCTTCCTGTGTTATGAATCTTCATCTTTCCAACAATGGCTGGCAGAAATAACTCTGTTGAAGAAATAAAATAACTAAGAATACTGGCAGCTATGTCAGTTTTCGACAGAAAAAGAGAAATGTCCTAAATGTCTTTATTATCGAGCAAGAATTGTCAACTTTTGGTTAAATATATCCAAAAAGCTAAACGCAACAGTGTGTTCTACTTCAAATGGAGTTTCTGTCATTAACACGGCAACATACATAAAATAACATTTTGTTTAGTACAATGACGTTATGTTACTTCAGCCCTTTACACAAAGAGGAGTTCTTTTACACTCGTGAGAGTGAGCGGCATAGCGGCATTGTTCATTTTGCCACCGCTCATCTGAGTAATGGCCGTCTTATCAAATCCTCTATCAGGTTCCTCCGTCTGTTCTTATCTTTATTTGCTATTCCTTATCTCTCTCTTTTAGAAAATAGAAGAGAAACAAGCCCTCCTCGTCTTTTATAACCACACAGCGGAAGCCAAGCTGCAGGCCATCATGTAAGTACGACGGCGCTCTAATACTAGAGATCAGTAAGTCAATTCAGCTCCGATGTTGTGAGCACCGAGATTAAAATGTAAGAAGAATCCAAACCTTTGTGTCAGGCCGTTGTGCGTGCACTGGATCTGAGATCACTTGAAGAGTTTTAATAAATCCATTCGGGAACTGAATAGTTCTGTGACACAGGGAGTACATCACCGACATGCTGGAGTGTGGGAGGGAGAAGTTCCTCGTGTTCGCCCATCATAAGCTGGTCCTGGATCACATCTCCACCGAACTGGTAAAAAAGGTTAGTACGATACGGACTGCACAGGAGACTCAAGTCCACACCGCCGGGAGTGTGGGCAGCAGCTTGCCGCTGCTACTACAACTCATATTATAACCTAAACCCATCTGGGCCTTTCTAATTTCTCCTCCAGAACGTCACCCACATCCGTATTGACGGCTCCACTCCGTCTGCTGAGCGGCAGCAGCTGTGTGAGAAGTTCCAGTTCTCGAGCAAGACCTGCGTGGCTGTGCTGTCCATCACCGCGGCTAACATGGGTCTCACCCTGCATGCTGCTGACCTGGTGGTCTTCGCTGAGCTGTTCTGGAACCCCGGGGTGAGAAGAGGAACCAACAAACGGACCCAGGAAACATTTTGTGATGCTAAGAAAACTAAAATGCTGTTTTTTGTTTTCCTGCAGATTCTGGTTCAGGCGGAGGACAGAGTGCACCGTATTGGACAAACCAGCAATGTGAACATTCACTACCTGGTTGCCAAGGGAACCGCAGACGATCACCTGTGGTATGTATCCATGTATGACCCAATTGCAATGATAATTACGCAGCATTTTAAAGTAATTGTTCGGCCAAATTCCACTAAGGGAACAGCAGGGGGTCTAGATAATTAATCTGGTTATTTGGGAAATTAAGTTGTATCTGCTCTGTTACAACAATGGTTCCAGGCCTATGATCCAGGAGAAAATGAATATCTTGGAGCAGGTGGGCCTGTCTGAATCCAACCTCTCAGACAAAGCTGTGACCGCCAGCTTCCACTCGAGGGTAAGCTTCTGCACCCGTGTAGAAATACATGTGTCGGCCCGTTGGGTTTTCAAGAAGCATTGACCTGGAGCTCACCGAGCGCGCTAGATCGAGAGTGGTGTCTGCACATTGAGTGATTAAGCTGATGGATTGTATTGTCTCAGGACACCAACCAGAGGGACATCATGGAGATGTTCCAGAGGTCTTTCACCGCAGGCGAAGACGACATGGACGAAGACTTCTTACTGGAGGCGGCAAACGACTGGGAGGACACGCCGCCTCAAAACGGCTTAGTTGACAAATGATACCAACGTGACTCTGTTTAGATCTTTGGAAGAAGTCCCAGTTTTTAGCTCAGCATCATGACTGATGTGAACATTCATTCGTTTTGTAAAAGCTAACAAATGCATCTGCGAATTTGAAGAGATGTAAAAGAATAATCTATTTGTACATTTGCTTTACGCTAAGAGAAATTAAATAAATGGCTAACTGAAGGGTTTTTTTCTTAATCCACTGGGAATTGTAACCTACATGTAAAGTCGTAATTAATGTTCAGTTCAAACAGTTGATCTGATTTTGCCTTTAGTTTAATAAACCTCGGCCCAAGTACCAGCAAGCTGTTTATGGTACAGCTGTTTATAACTTGATGTTCTAATAGTTAAATTAGTTGTAATAGTAAATTATCCTCAATTGTTACGATATTCTGTCAACATTCAGCTCAACAGAAAAAAAACACAAAGCAATCAACTAATCATGTAGAAGTTAAAATTGTTAACACTTTATTGTAGGCAAACCGAGGATGATTGAACACTTTGGATTAGGCTGAATACTTCTGTGTTGATGAGTTGCTCTGTGGGATCCTTGTCTTGGTTGTAAAGCTTACAGCTGCTGTGTCAAGAATGTCTATAAACGGTCAGTGACAGTCAGCACTATTTAAAAGGACGCCAGTCTGCAAGTACTCCCTCTAACTGGCTATTGATCTTCCACATGCATGTCTACGAAACACGTGTCTTGTCGATTTCCTGATTCGTGGAGTGATGGATTGTTCCCCTAATGTTAGAGAATGAGCCCACGATACAAAAGAAACTACTGTGCTAAGACCGCCGATTCAGTTTGCGTGTTGTCACCTCCTGCCGGCGGGCTGCGCAGATTCAAGTTCGTGGTTTCACCTGTAAAGTAAAGAAGGGGAGTTAGCACAAAGCTTCTGAAAGGCAGCTGCGTATTCATACTATAGAGGGGAAAATCCTGCAACAAATAAAACTATTAGATGTTATGTTATTCATCAGGAAAAGGACTCAGAAACATTTTATCACCTAAACCGCTGAAAGCATCAACCAAATGGAGTTGTGAGAAGGAATTGCACGTTTGAATTATTCTCAATGCAGCTGGTGAAGATTTACTTTACTGTCTATAAAAGCAGTTTCATCTCCATTCCAGTTGATGTTAAGTGACATTATGAAGACCAATGGCCTCATTCTTCACTGAATCAGATGAGATGCCTCTCCATACTCTTGCAATCTATCTGCTTGTTAGTCTCACTTCGCAGGATGTAATGCAGTACTTGCTGTGTGTTGATTCAAGAGATTGACACCGACAAGGACCCAGGTACAATTTTAGCAACACAAAGAGGAAAAGTAGCTTTTGTTTTGGGCAGTACCCATCAAATGTTTATCATGTTAAGATGATAATGTTAAAATATCAGCGGTAACCTGGGAAGTGTTACCAAACTCAAGGATTCTAAAGATGTCAACTTAGAAGGCTTTGATGAGCTGGCCCTTGAATTCGGATAGCTAATGTGTTAAATACTCCTTGCCAACCTTCGGGAAGGTTGTCAGACATTTCTCCAGTTGAACATCTTGAGTTTCTTGTGTCTTCATTTGCAGAATCGTCTGTCTCTTTTTCTGCAAGAAACAGATCTTTATTTTACGTCTCAGCTTTGCACCATTTGTCTTTTTAACTGTAAGAAACATAGCTGGATGAAATATTGTTGATAGCAGGAATAAACATCACAACAACATTTTTATTTATTTGGAACCAGATGGTGAGCCAGATGGGAATAACTGTCACACACATCATGTGATTACCCAAACTGGATGTGTCAGTCTCTCCATCACCGGCGAGCTCCGTGCAGATGTCACCAAAGATGAAACGGATCTTTTCCTCTGCGTGCTGCTCATCGGAGGAGCCGTGCACGGCGTTGTGGAGGATGTCGGAGGCAAAGCGGGCTCTCAGGGAGTTTGGGGATATCGTCTTAGCTTGATCAGGGTCTGAAGGGCCCATGGCGGCCCTCCAGTCCTCCACTGCGTTTTCCTTGGTCAGTACGAGCATCATACAGGGGCCCCTGAAGCAAACGGGCATCATTATTTCCTGGTAACGTGCATTCAAAAGGTGAGGCTCAGGTTTCATCGATGACACAAAGGGCTGGTGAAGTGATGGCTGGCTGCTTTAAATGTTTAGCTAAATGTAGCTGCTTTAAATCACTATTTGTAGCAAGAACCTGCTTTACACTGAAATATACCCGTTGATTAAACACTTTTTAAATTAAAAGTCGTACAATTTTAACCTTAAAATTTAGATCAATGTTGGAATGCAAACCAACAAATTAGAGATATATAAGAACTATAACTTTAAAGAATACCTTTGCGTTCATATTGCTTTTTCCAGCTAGAAATACTGTTGCTAAGTACATTCTTGTGCTTGAGTAAATGTTCTTAGTTACTCTCCACCTGACATCCCCTCTGGGTGTGGTCACATGTGCAGAAAAGCACACTTTCCAACCACACCGAGAGGTGAAACGTCCAACCAGAAGGTCTGGTGTTAAGTTACTCCTTAAATACATTGTAGGATAAAAAGTGGTAACTTAGCTAAATGACAGAAATAAATATGAAATATTCTACAAAGGTGAGAATACAAAGCGACACTTTAGAGTAAAGCGAAGCCGATCTTGAAGAAGACGGACCATAAAGGTCATTTTCTCAGGCTTCAGTGCTCAGCCGCAAACATCTCTCTGCTCATTGTGTCCAAACAGTTGTGTAACAACCAAGTAAAGGGACTAATCGGAGCGGAAGATCACTCCAAAATCTAGATCAGCGGAACGAAGGATGAAATTGAGATGGACTTCTTTAGCCACTTGCCTGGGGCCTCTTGGATTTTAACCAGCTAAGATTACTATTAAATGTACTGGTGATACTTCCAGAGGCAACGGTCTGCTGTGTTCAGGTGAGTTCTTACCGACACATGAATTCCACCAGTTGGCCGAAGAAAGGCTTCTCTCGGTGCTCCTTGTAAAACTGCTCGGCCATCTCCCTCGACAGCACCATCTCCTTCAGCTGCGTTACGGAGAAACCGCTGCCTCGGATCTCCTCCAAAATATTTTCTGTTGCAGGGGAGAATGATGACCGCAGTTAGATCATGTGACTGCTTGTGCAGATCCAAAACACAAGCAGGTTTTTATTTTGTACTAAACGACCAGGAGAAGAACCTCCGTGCTGATTCATGGCATCGGGTTTGATCACTGCCAGCGTGCGCTGTTTAGGGAAGAAGAAGTCGATCTCTCGTTTGGCCTCTTTGTGACTTTCGCTGCCATGCAGCTGGTTGATCGGCTCGTTCTCCACAGCAAACTGGGCCCTCAGACTGTGATGAGGGATTCAAAGGTCAGCATTAAAGGTGGGATTAGACTGTTGGTCATCATCTACATCTAATAAATTGTTTCAATCTGCTTGTCCCAAAGTCAATTTCTACTTACCCTTTACAAACGGTTTGATTCATTTGGACTCATCAAGTAAGAACAAACGTCAATCGTTATGCTAAATCTTTATTTGAAGTAATAAACCTGGAGTTCCACTCATCTAACGCACTAAACTCGTGTTTTTCCATTGTGTGAAGGAATAGAGGCACATGTCACTCACCATTCAGGACTCTCCTCTCTGGCTTTATTAACATCAGCGGGACCAAGGATGTTCTTCCAGTGATGCACGGCCCCCCTTTTGGCCAGAGCCAAAGCCAACACTGGCCCACTGTAAACACACACAGGTTGAATTCCTGTCGGCAGTAACACACTACTCTGTAGCTTTGATTAGAGCATGTGTAAGTAACCTGGTCATGCTCTGGAGCAAAGCAGGGAAGTAGTCCTCCTCAACATGTTGGAAGTAAAATTGTTTGACCTGCTCCTCTGTCAACATCACCTCCCGTTTGAGCGCCACGGTGAAGCCTGACCTGTGGATTTGAGCCAAGATCTCCTCTGCAGAACAATAATAAATACAAATTATACATTCATTTGCCAGTTTATTCGGTACAGCTAGCTAATGTGGTCTAATGAAACAGCCCAGCAATCAATCTAACCTTCAATAAAGTTAAACCCTCAGTTCCTGTTTTAGCAGTGTTCATACATTTAATTGAAATATATAGCATTTGTTTTAGCTAGATGTACATGTGGCATGAAGAGATGGCCACATTCCAGTTTGAAAGGTGATACATTTTCCTACATTGATCAATTACCTGCAGCTGCAGCTTTGTCATGCAAAACCTCTGTTGTGTGAATCACAAAGCAGTCCCACCATGTCAGTATGAACCACCTGTGTGTGTGTGTGTGTGTGTGTGTGTGTTTATTTGGCACAGGCCCACCTCTGTTATCTCTGGCAACGTCAGGCCGGATGAGAGCCAGTGTCCTCTCCACACGCTCTTCCTCCCCATCCTGCTCCGTCACTGAGGCCGTCCTGAAGTTTGGGAAAAAGAAGGCCAGCTCCCTGCTGGCCTGGTCCGTGTCCTCACTACCGTGCACCGCGTTGAACAGCGTCTGCGTGCCGTATTGTGCCCGCAAGCTGCAGGAAGCCAGGGGGGGGAGAGAAAGGAGAGGAGAGCAGATGGTTGCTCGGCTGGTGCTCGGCTAGAGGGAAGCAGAATGTTTGGGTGTGTCTGAAGGAGCAGGCGAGAATGTGCTGTTTGTTTGCTTTCATTGTCTCACACTGTCGCAATCAGCGAAAAGTTCTTATATATAACTATAACACTATATATATATATGTATAATATATTTTATGAATGTAACGTTTGTGTCATTTCCAGAGACCAACCTTTGTGGTTTATCTCTCCTAGCTTCCTCTATGTCAGTTGGGCCAATCAGCTCTCGCCACGCTGGCACAACACCAGCCGAGCCCTCGACCCGAGAGAGCACCAGAACATGGGACGGACCGCTGGACATAAACTGCACCAAGTCTTCAAAGCCAGCCTAAAACCACCATCACATACACACGTGCACACAGACGGGTTGACAAACACATACAGAAGTCTTGAATCAGACCTTAGATTTCCAAGGTGAGAAGAGGGAGGAACATTTGTATTTAATATATTTATAAAAGTGTCAATACTGTATGTATAGTACTATATTATTTCAACAACAACAACTAAATGTTCCGTATTTCTGAGTCTTGAATCATTTAGTCGCAGCACAAACAGCCAGATAAGCAAAAATAAAAGGTGCTCACACAGCAGATCTATTTTAAGCCCAGTGCAGAAATGCACATGGAAGTGTGATGTATTGCAAACTAATTGAAAGGATTTTTGCACTGGTTGTGACCGCTCTCCCACTGGCATGTTGGTTGAATATAAATGGACCGATATTAACCAACTAATAGTTTGACTAATATGACAACACCTGCAGTCAGATCAAAATGTGTGTGTGTGTGTGTGGGTGTGTGGGGGGGGGGGGGGGGTGATGCGCTCCTTTGCTACTATCCTGTTCTACTCTCACAGTACCTCTTCTGCTCTGTGTCGGTAAAAGTCTTGAGCCTCAACCTCAGTCAGGGTGCGTTCCTCGTGGGCCAGGATCTCAAACCCAGCATCTTGAATCTAGCCAGGGGAGTAACGTCAGCGGGAAGGCTTGGGACAATCATATCTTCTCAGGTAGCGAGCAGTGTTAAGTCTCTGGGTACCTTCATAATGATCTCATTTGCTTTGCCGTGAGCAACAGCATCTGGTTTGATGATGGCAACTGTGTAGGATTTACTGGCGGGAACTAGAGGAGACAAGAACAGCTTGAGTCTAGATCAGTAATGCAGATCCAATGCTGAATCATGATGATGCTGGTAAACAACAACGATAATCACGTTAATAACATTACCAGCAATTAATGACTAATTTGATTGGATCGTTTTTAGTAGTACCAATTAAGCTTTCGTCATTTTCTGACTGCTGCGGTGACTCCTCCTCGTCCTTCTCCTCAGCATCCTTCAGACCATCATCTTTAACCTGATGGACACAACAAAACCGATTTCTACAAAACGCTGGTGTCTTTTACGCCAAAGAGAACGTTTGAAAACCAGAACCCAAGAATGTTTAGAGTTTCTGATGGTGAAATTACTTAAAAGTATATATTGGAGTATATGTTCAACATAAGTAGAAAAAAAATGCTTCAACAATGAACTGCTTGTCTAAATAGTAACTTATTAATTTCTGTCTACAATGAAATTAAACAATGGGCAGAGCTGTCAAGTTAAATCTGCACAAAGAGGAGAAGAGAAAAGAGGAGGAAAGCATCAAATCAGATCAACGATTAAATCAGTGGTAAATTGTTGTTACACCCCGAGCCGAATCGACATGTCAAAATCACACCAGTCTCACTTCCCACCGTTTTGCGTTCACCACCGCGCTCCAGAACCGACTTCTCGTGGGCCAGTTCCTCCACAATCATCCTCTGTAGGAGAGGAGCGTTGGCCCCTCGCAGCACAGCCACCATTTCCCCTCCCTGTTCATTCGACACAAAGACATTTCAGATTTAATTACACACCCCGGGCCACACAGATATGCGTTGACAATATCAGGCCCACGTAAGTAAGACGCAAAACAATCAAATAAGTCTGAACAACTAAAAATTGTTAGGCAGAGTTCAGGCAGAAGAATGAGCATAATTCTAATACAACTAAATGAATAATGTAAATGAAATAATGGGTAGCATATTGCATCACCACCAGAAATCAGCACCCCGTCCACAACCCTATTTCCTGGCCTACATTATTACACTGTGTACAGTAAAATAACACACACAGTATACAGTATATTAACACTCTTCATCTCACCCCATAGAAGAGGAAGGTGGGCTCACATTTCCCTCGGTACTTCTCCAAGGCGTCGATGCCGTCTGCCTCGGCCTCCACCAGCAGCGACAACACACACACACACACACACACACACACACACACACACACACACACACACACACACACACACCAGTCAACCTCCCTCACTCATTTAGTCCTGAAATTCATTTGTTAATTTAAGTTTTACATTTTCTCAGGGCTCACCGTGGCAAAATGCAACAGATCATCACTCAGCTCGTTCTTTATTTTGCGCAGGAGACTGACCACTGCTCGACAGGGACCACACCACTGCTGGTACACGTCTACAACTGGAGCAGAGACAGTGGGAGGACGGGTGCGCGCGATGGACCTGCAGTTACCCCGGTGAACACAGTGGGGCAGCAACGCACAATAAATGACACTCACGGCTCGTTTTACACGACGCTATTGAACAGATGCTCAGTCTTGTGATTAGTATTCACCTATGACGCCACATAACGCTAGTTGTTTTAATTCTGAAGGTCTTACCTGTTAAACCTTTGGTCGCAAGCATCTCCTCCCACTGCTCTTGGTTTGTGACGGAGGCCTGCACAAGAAAAAGCTCAATTAATATGGGAGCTTTAAGCTTTAAACAAACTCATGTCAACGTTACACGCGGCGCGTTGTGTTCGTCCGACCTGGAGACTCGCCTCTTTCTTCTTGCCCGCCATTCACCCGGTCGAATGGAAAATATCTCAGAGGTCCGTCGAGTCACGTTCCGGAGGAAAGTTAACGTGCCGAGTTTTCTGCTCGCGCTTGTTTGAGAAGTCGGTTGCTAAGCAACGGTGCCTTCCGCCCCGCCCCCCCCCGTGGCGATCCCGCTATCACCGACCAATTAGGCCGCAGGTCGCGGCAGCCGCTATATAACGTTCTAATAGAATGTTTTCGTTATTAATTAAGAGCGAAACAGGTCCTCGTTTCTACGTCTTAACTCGGTGTGTTACCTTCACTCGGGTCTAAAAGGCTTCAATGAAATGTAATTATTAATATAATAGATCATTATAGTTATTAATACTAAGTCTGATACCAGTAGCACAACATAAAGTAGGCAACGTTATATGTAACGTCATGTCATACAGTAGCAGAAGTGGAAAGTGAAATTAATCTACTGAAATGGTCTATTTGTACCCTAAAGTTAAGTTACTAAATTACATATCAGAAGGACGTAGTTCTTTCAACGCCACTTTATTTATTTTACCGTCACTAATTAATTTCTACTAAAGAAATTCCACATTCAAAGCATGTAATGACTTCTGAAAATAATGAATCTTCAATTGTTGAAGATATTGTTGTTTATTAAACTATCCAACATCATAACACAAACGTCTACTGACATGTTGATGAATCAAGTGTAATGATGCAATTATATAAGCATTATATAATGAACGCTGCGGGGAGCAAATACTTCTGTAATTAATAATAAAATATTGAATGCGCCAAAACCACCAGAAAAAAACAGTTTATTCCTTCACGTATGAACAAGTAACCAGACATACTGCACCTCCATTTTCACTTAATCTCAATTCACTATTGTTCTTGTTCTTGTATATATTTATATCGATATTATCTACTTGTTAAATGTTTTAACCCTCTGCTGTTTTTACTTCTTGTGTTTTTATATTCCTCTTGTTTATTTGTATAAAGAAACAATATGTACAAAGTTCAAATTCCATGTTTTCTTATGCATGCATGGCCAATAAAGCTGATTCTGATTCTGAAAGCAGGGAACTTAAATGCAACCGAAAGAGTGTGGGATCCCGTATTCTTTGGAGCTTCACTCATACTAAGGATTGAAGATCTCAGTATTGCCACATAGTGACAGATCTTTTATTCTGCTGCATTCCCCTAAACTAAATGGGAGCAGTTCCCCATAGAAAGAGCCTTGCATTCTTCCTTTTTAGTTTTTTTTAAACCTTTTTTCTAGTTGTAAATACTATTATGTTATTCTAAATCCTTATACTTTCCGTTGCTGCTTTAGTAGGCAATAGCATCAGGTGTTTACAGCAGGTTTTTGGATAATTATTTAATAAAAAGCACACTGTAAGATTACCATTTCCTGACACCTCAAAGAGGTTTCCCTCAAACGGACGTTTTATTTAATAGAGAAATAGGACTATTTCCTCATACGCTTCCCTCCTGAATTCCCATGAGCTGCTTGCACCTTCAGCTCAACAACCAAAAACAAGTCCAACAATTTGAGTGATATTGTTAAAAACGAAATCAAAGCACATTGCGACAGTGAGCCAGAAGGAGCATCATAAAACGAGACACTCAAAAATAAATTGTAGGGCCCTTTATGCTATTGTCAAAACGGTTTGCCACGCGGTTTGTTTTGCTCCCGCTGCGCTGTATTGTATGGCATGTTTCTATTAGTGACCCTGCGTCTCGCTCCGAGCTCATTATTCAGCCAGATGGGAACTACAATTTCCTCACCTCCACCATGGCAGCTGTGACAAGGTCCTTGCCCTCGGAAAAAAAAAAGATTCATACAGTGCCCAAATATTCAGGCCTGTGTTTTTGTTCTACTTTTCATCTGAGAGATTCGATGAAGTGATTGCTTTTGTTCTATCAAGTCAATACAAAACATTCATTTGATGTGTCCCATGTGCCCAATTCAAATCTTGGCCTTTGTGTTGTCAAACGTCATCAGCAGCGACTGCTCCTGAGTGTTCGGCGGTTGACTCTGTGCTGAACAGATATGCTCCGGCAAACTGAAATGTGATTGCTCCGTCCCGGGGGACGGCAGTGGCAGAAGACTGTTGGAGGGTATTGAGATGAGATGCACCAATCTCATTCCAAACGGGCGGAGCTGCATCACTCATTTCTGTAAGTCAGTATGTCAACTGTTCAGACAAAGGGTGGCTGTGTGCTCTGCAGATTAATTTAATTAATTTATGTAGGTGGTGAGTGATGGTGGCCGTCTGCTTTTTGTTGTCTGTATTCTATATCATTATATAATCTTGATGCATCAACAGAACAGAGAAACCTATGTTCTTACTTATTTTAATACAGGTAGATGATCTCCAGCGTTCTGATTGGTTGAGAGTGAGTCACGGGGGGTACATTATTGAGCAATAATGTACAGTTGCTCAAAGTGGCAAGTTTGATTTTGTGCGATTGTTAGTTGACATTTTAGCTTTTAGCTCGGTGGCGATCGCCGAAAACCCCCCAGAAATCTCACAAATGATCAGTTTCAGGCAATGCGAACTTCTGCAACCGGACAATTAAGGTGGACGTCATGAGCGATGTGATTGAATGAGATGGTGCAGGACCCAATGCACGTATGGGGACTATGTTTTCTCTAGACTACTGAAATGAGATACACAGCGTTTGGTGGCTAATACTATTCTGTGCTGAAAGGCAGCTACTTACTTACTATTTATAATTAACCGTATTTTTTTTCTGCTTAGATTATGCCTCAAACATTTTTCTTGGGCGACATCAATGAAGACGTGTGAATGCAACAGTACTTTGCTACTGACCCTCGACGGAACTCAGAGAACATGAATCTGCAGGATGTCAGAGGCTTTGCCACGGTCGATGCTTGGCGCCGGTTAACATGCTAATCTAAAAGGTTTCCGTGTTGCCGTGCAGGTCCCTCTCCAGGATACAAGCCTCCAGTCCCTCTGAGGCCTTGAAGAAACCACTCGGCATCATCTCTGGCGGATAACTGCTAATCTCTCGTCAGTGAGGGAAAACACAGAGGATTTCAGGCTACGACAGTTCTGGAGATTAAACCCCATTAGCACATCTTACACACACAGAAGTCATATTTAAGCCTAATTACCAAACTCCATCTGCTGTGTTTATTCTTGTAAGAAGCTTCATTCTACCCTCTTCAAAACATAAGCCCTAAGGGTTTTGGTCTAATTGTTCAGAAAGAAATGTTGTTGCACTCCCAGTTGATCTGTAGCTTCTTGCCTTTAAGGATTTCTTCAAAACAAACTAAATATCTTAATCGTTTCTTTTCTTTCACTCTGAGATACAGTAATTTACATGTACAAACATGAGAGTAAATGGACTGCGGTAGGCAGAGATGAACATCTTCTTTATTGCTGAATCTGCTGAATATTATTTTTTTAATAATTTGTTAAAAGATCCAAAAGGTGACATCTTCAAAGTTTCCAATATCTATTTTTGTTTATAAAAAATGACAAAATGCAGTATTGTGTTTGCTGATTATCTTTCTGTGCATTGTCGGTTTGTTTTAGTTTAGCGCAAGTTCAAAAAGTATTAAAAAAAGTGATGTTGCACATCTGCAATGCAGAATGTCCCAAATTGGCTTTGTTAGACGAGGATGAAAGTTTCAGATTTATGTCAAAAACGTATCTCATTTCACTTGTGACATGCGAGAAAGAGAAAATGTCAGAAATGTTTAATTGACAGATCTGCGAATACTTGTTACTTTTTCTGACAAAAACATCAGGATGCATCATCATACAACAGAATTAGGGATGAAACAAACACGTGTCTTTGCTTCCCAAGAGGGCACTGTTGCATCACCATTGGACCACTTACTCCCCGACTCACTCCTCCCAAGAGTGCTTCAAAGCAAGAAAACCCTGTGCTTTCAAAATGCTGGTTGTATGCTTATCAGCTCTTGCAAGCCGAAAAACGTATCCAACGTGCAGCGATGGAATACAGAATGGCTTAATTGTTTTTAAAGATTTAGAAAACATTTCACTAGAGTGCAGTGACAGGTGTCTTCTGCGTGATATTCTGCTGGATGTAATGTAAAGACCCATTTTTATCAGCCAAATTCCCGATATTTTCTTTTACCTCCAAACAACCATGACCAGACGAGTCTGCGTGTATTCACACACATGAAAGATACCATTTGAGAGATTACTTTTTTCTCTTTTTGCTGCACAAATGGATAATCTATAGAGAGTGAAGGGGAAACCGTGGGAGTCTCAACATGCAGACAGACAGCGGCGGTGATTGACTGTCAGCGCGTGGAAACAGGGGCAAGCTTTCCTTCGCCCTGACAGGCGGCTCCACCAGTGACAGAGCAAGCCGCTATGGAGGAAGTCATCTGCATCTAAATAAAGACCGCCAATGGCTTTGTCAGAGTCCATTAAGCAAATTGCCACGTTTTATAGATGCATCCAGCATTTATTTTTTCACACGTTGGTACAAATTGGCCTGAAGCAAAAAAAAAAAAAGGGGCTTTTTGTTGGTCTTCCTAAAAAGGGAGAACATGCAATGAGCCATGAGAAAATATTCCAAGGAAATATTATTTTGAAGCAAATCATGAGTGATTTGTGGATTGCCGGATGAGTTGCCTTATGTCAGACCCGGAAAGAACATTTCCTGAGGCTAAACCTGTTTTCACAAAAAATGTGGAAATTCATCGTTCCATTTTTGTCTTTGCTTTGTTAGTGCAGGAGAACTGCAGTGGATTAATAAGGCAGCTAATCTTTGGTCCCACTCCCCTCAATTAAAGTGCTGGATTGTTTCTGTGGCTCGGTGGCATTAATGGAGGCAGATCTCTGTTATCTGTCACAGCTCAAACTGCTTTAGGTTAATAGCTGCAGTCACACAGTCTTTTTATACAGCTCTGCTGCTTGCAAAGATTTGCAGCTCACTTCTTCCATGTGCAGTTTTGATTGGATTGACAAGCAGATATTCTTTTAACTATCAGGTTCATATTTTCTTTCGGTGAAATATTTTTCAGCAATTGTAAAAGTCCTAAAGATAAATACGCCGTTTGTAGAATAAGCAGAAAAAACGAGTGGTTGATGCTTGAGAACTTTGCCCTTTGCTCT